AGATTAAATTTAGTATTAAGATTACTCCATTAATGTCAATTGAATGATAATCTGGTTAAAAATGAACAACAATAATTAAATAAATAGAAATAATAAAAATATGCTTTTTGCCACAAAAAATTCAATATAACATTTCATTTGAATATACAATAATATTATAAACACTTTCAAATTTCTCCAAGTTTATATACAAAATAAGTTAAACATTTTTAAGGAAAACATCCAGTAACCGTTGAAATAAATAAAACTTTGAGCAATTATAGAATAAAAAACTAAAATGAAATTTTAAACAAAAAGAATAAAATATTTTGAAATGTTAGTATTTAATGTTATACAGTAGCTTGAAATTATACTGTTGGTATAGTATAAAAATATAAGCATACTAAATATGCATGTAAATATGCATGTAAATAGTATGCTTACTAATTAATTATGTAAATAGTTAAAACAAATAAGTCCTACTCATAATTTTTTGTATGCAATAATATGGAGGGTATTAATAAAAAATTTGAAAGAATTTGAAAAATAGAAAATTTTTCTCACAAAATTGATTACATTTACTCATTTTCATTGTCAGTATCACTGTTGTTATTAATTTTAGATGTAACCCCAAAAAATATAGTGTCTACTATATTACTATACTACTAGATTTAACTGTATAAAACTCAGAAAGATGGTCTAGTTCATATCCAATCAATTGAACAGTCTTTGTCATATTAGCACCAATGTGTGACATTACAGTGAAAAATTGAGTTTCTTTGATATTATATTTACTATACGTTTTTAAAATGATATTTTTGATATTTACAATTTTATATCCAAAAAATTAGCTACTTCATATTATGAAATACATCTACGAATAAACTTACTTGATAAACTTTAGAGCTGTCTTCTCACGTTGATGTCTTATTTTTGTCACAGTAGATAAAATAATTATTAATTATAGATTTCTTCTACCGATGATATCCCAAGTAGATATTATTATAATTCATTTTATTTAAATATATCATTAATATAACAAAATATGAACCACGAAATGACACGCGTTTATAAATATATTATACATGTATTATTTGAAATAGCACTCGCCAGCGCGCGACGACGTAAAATAATAACAAAATTATCATAATCACCAAATCTTAAAGAAGTTTAATTAATTTTTAAAGCCGCAAAACTGGACAGTCCTTTAAACGTTTTATCGCTTTATGACTATCGCAGTGTAAATAATAATTTAGAAATGTAATATTTTGTGGGCAACTAACATTTTTTGGCACTCTTGATTAGTTCATACATTTTGCTTTGGTAAACTATAATAAAGTTTTTACTAATTCTTACCAAAATAATTCTCATTTGTTATCAAAAATATAAAACGTTGTGAAAATTATACAAATGAAATACTGCTTGACGGTTAAGAACCGTTTAAACGAAATTTTAAGGCTCGGTTCGGTTCTGGTTTGTGACTATCTGAAAATAAAAATTCCTATTCCGATTCGTGTTCGGGTTCTAAAAAATTTTAAAGTTCCGGTTAAAAACCTCGTTCCTGTCTCTGTTATAGACAATAAAATATAAATACAACAATTTTAGTGCCGTTTTTTGAAACATTTATATGTTTGATAAAATATTTTAGATTAGGACTCTATACGATTTTTTTTATTGATGGTATTGCAAGCCTGTGTTAAAATGTCTATACAGAATCAATCCTTTTTGAACAAAATAACTGGTATTATATATAATAAATTGCACTTTTTACATTTTACGATTTTTGACTTAGTTGACTATTAGGAACACTTTTAAGAACCAGGTCCCTGGGACAAATTTTTTTAAATAAAGTACATTAAAAAATCTTTATTATAATATTTCTTTAAATAGCAGGACTCTTCCAGAATATTGACACAAATTGATTGAAATTAAAATTAATGTGCCAAATAAATATTTTAAAACCTATACTTAGGTTAGTAGTAAGATTTTCAAAAAACTACAAAAAAGAAAAACAAGTACAATGTGGTCGTGACATAGTTGATACAAGTATAGATGATACCTATCAGTGATTAACATAAAAACACCCTTCAATACATACTTAATTTTTTTTCTTGAAATTGTGCATTTTCAAGTCATATAACTCATAGAAAAATATCATCAGAATATTTTTTTTTCAACATAAATTACTCAATAAGGATTAAATTTATGTAGATTTAAAAATATTTTATACAAAATTTTAATAAAGTAATTTTTTTGTAAAAATTGCAAATATTTAAAATTAGACGGGTGATTTTTTATAGTAGAACAATTGTCAGACGAAATAATTGTTTTTAATATTATATTGTAATTTGGGAACTTAAATTTTATACGGATAAAAATTTTTCAGATAATCCAACACATTTTTTAAAATTTAGCCAAGTAAACTCTATAAGCATGGTCACTTTTAATCCTTTTCATATTAAGGTTTTCCATTGAATTTTTTATAACAAAATATACATAAATAAAGATTTTTGTTTCTAGATTATATACTAGAGTCAAATTTTTATAGAGTATACTCTATAAAAATTTCATTATAATAAGTGTTTTAAAAAAGTTAAACTATGCAGAAAACAGTTCTAGTAAATCTCATTTTTCACAGTGCCGTGATTGTGAAATGTTTTTTAAATTTCTAAAATTAAAGGGAATTTTTCTAGGTCAGACACTTATAAATTCTATTAAATTAATGTCGTGTTCTGTTGACACGAAGATCAATAAAATCAGTCTAGTGAGAGCTGAGATTTTTTACGGACAGACACAAAAAACTAACCTTTTCAGCTTTGCATAAAAGTAAAAAAATTAGTCGTTTTTAATTTATCTACTTTTTATTTTGTACAAATCAATTTAAAATAAAAAAAATTATATCAATTTCAATATTTATTAAACATTTTGAATTTTACGCAAATTCAAAATAAACGATTTCTTAATATGAGACTTGTTTGCAAAAAATTAATTACTGTTAATCATTAAAATAATTATTTGTTATATTTTTATATTGGCCAAAGAGAATTAATTTATTATTTTAGTAATATGCCCATTTTATTTGTTTTATCGTGATAATTATCTCATTACCAACACATATTTAAATAAACGAATTAAAATAACGTTTTAAAACTTTTTTAGTGTCAATAAAAAATGTATAATATGCAAAGGTCAATTTTACCAGTAAGTATTTAACTAGATAGTTTAAAAATATCTACTTAATTAATCAAAAAATAAAAATAATACCTAGAATTATATTTTTGTTTTCTTATAGTTACATATGTTTCTCAATAATTGAGAAAAAAATACATTGTAATGCATTATAAAAAATAACGCATGTATGATAAATTATTTATCAGCTATGAAGTATTTTTTATGTTTATCTATTATAACTTATTAGGTGTCAGCCATTTTTCAAATTGCTACATATATAATTTAATAAAGTATATTATTTATACGACAATGATCTAATTAATGGCTAGACGATAAAAAATTTTAAACTAGTATTTTAAAAGTTATTGACAATTTAATGTAATGATTGAAACAAGACGCAGGTGATGTTAATTTTATCACTAGTCATTTCTTGACACCCCTCCTGCTATAAAAGTATTATTAAATTCTGAAATTTTTATCGACTAATCATTTGCTTAATTAGGTCGTTATTTAATAAAAAATCTAAGTATGTTTCCATTTAAAAATAACTGAGATGCGACCTTTATAAGACAAAAGAGATGAACTTAAAAAATTATCATAATTGATAAATTGAGAAAAAAAGAGTTACTAAAAGAAACCTAAATAAATTCTCAATTTTTTTTTTTCATTTATTAAGTAGTTCACGATAAAAGAATCACTGGTCATATGGAGTAAAAATTAATGGCCCTTATTTTATAACATCTAATTTCTTTTTAGAATATACAAAAAATTATTCGTACTGGACTAAGATTTAAATCGGGTTGCAGCAAACCATGTTGCCCAGTTTTTGTATCACAAGAATGTCCAAGCATTAAGGAATTACCATGTACTAAACTTACGCCTCCAATACCATACTGTTACATTCCACAAAAAACGAACTTAGGAGATAATTGTGTTGAAAAAGTATGTCGACCGTGCTGCCTTCCAATCGAAACGCCAGTAACAAATGATCGGGCTTCTGAACCTAATCTATCACGATGTATACAATTATGCCCTTATCCTTCATACCCAGAAACTACTAATTATTACCACAACAAACCAAAAAGATGCCGCGCTGGTAAAGTATGTATACCAGAACCCGAACCAAAATGCTATGGAACTAAATTCAGTATGCCTCATCAACACCCATTAGCCAGACGATATTTCTACAACAAAGAATCCAAAGATAAAACAAGACAAAATATTTGTCACAAAAAACCAGACCCATGCGATAAATATTAAATGAAAATATGAAAAATGTTTTAAAATTTACTATAGACAGTATTATAAATTAAACAAACTTCAGAATACTACTAAAGATTTTTGTTGATTTTTAATAATGGATTCAAAAATTGAACAATTTTCCAAATTTCATATTGTTGTAATGATGTTTGTTCTTTTTTTTGAAAAACCATTACTATGTAAATTATCAGAATAAACATTTATAAATTTACAAATGCACAATAATATTTCATCACCAATTAAAGAACTCATTCCATTGATAGGTGTTTTTTTCCGACTATACTCATCTGGTTCATTAGCGTAGTTTGTATGGAGCTGTGGGGGATTCAGTCCTCATAAAAACATTTGTATCCCAACAAAATAATTGGATTTTTTGGAAATTGAGGGAAAGAGGATTGTGGTAGAAAATTCTCTTATCGGGTCTATTATCCAAAATTATGAAATAGGAGTATAACTCATAGATAAATTGTTCAAGCTACGCCAATAAACTGGTTTGACTTTTATGCAATTAAATAATATGTTTGATAATTTTATAGCTAAACTACACAATCAACCAAATATTTCAGTCAAAATTCTTATATAAACTATTATAAAAACAAAACGTAGCTTGAGTTAAATTATATTGTTTGATTTACGTAATATCTTTAGTACATCTATTTCTATTAATGCGAAAACTTAATCAATATTCCAATCATTTAAACATGTGTAATATACTTAATAGATACTTAACATTTAATACATATTAATTAAACAATATTCTTACTGCGGTAATTTCAACAAATATGGCAATTATATTTATTAATTATATATTGTAACAACGGGCAGTGTAAACATCTAAAAATATCATCATAATAATTAACAATTTATTAGTCATTCATGACTTAAAACATATACAGGGTGACTCACAAATCACTGTTGTAACACATGGGTTTCCAACCATTATTTAATAGTGAAATAATTTTTCTTTATAAAAAAATTAAAATATTAAAAATAATTAATTATTATAAACCTAAAAAAATAAAATAATTAGGAAAAATCCCAAAAATTATAATTGATTATTTAATTAAATATCTCATGAAATGTATTTTTGTTAAGTTATTTCAAACAAAAACAATCGTTAAAAACAAAATCTGAACAAACAACCTAAATATTTGATTGAATTGAGTTCCAATCAACTTTTATAAAAGTAAAAAAAAGATCCATAAACGAGATGAAAATCGATTTTTTATTAATTAAATAAATTCATATAGAAATTCCGTCTATATCAAATTTTATTGATAATTGTATACAATGACTGTAAAAATTTCATGTATCTAATAACTGATAAACAACCAAATAATCATAAAGAACAAAATTTGTTTATAATAATCGCATAACAGAATTATAGTTATTTAAAAATATCAATAACAAAAAACATTAAAACATGTTTAATATGCGCCACATTGTGAATCACTCTGTTTATTACGTTGGTAGATAATTCCATTAGCTCAATAAATACTTAATTTTCAGTAATGCGTACGTGCATGTAGTATTATTATTATTTAAAACAATAAGACGATAATAATGATGATGATGATGATGATGATGATGATGATAATAATGATGATAATGATAACGATGAACACAAACTACACTTAAATAGCACTACACATAACACATGTGTAGCACTGTAATGACAGCGTGGTACAATAATTTTTTGGTAACGAAATTTGCATGGATACTATATTTATTATTACGATGTGGTAACAAAGGGGTACATTTGGTATACTCGGTAACGAGCGATGGCGATTTTGGGTATGGAAACCTGGAGTACTGAACGAACCCGCACCTTCAAATCTTCACTTCTTCGTCGTCTTGATATTCAAGTTCAGGTATTTGTCGGTAACGGCTCTCCTCAGGTCCGTCGTTTTCACCGATACTACAGTCTTCGCTATTTTCGTCACCATGATTGTTGTTTCCGCTATTATTGCTATATCCAGGATGCTCGGAAACGGCATAGTAACCGCCGTCGTATATGACACCCAACTCACGAAATCCCCCACGACCTCTGACGGTAGCCCTTATAGTCCAATTGTAACAACAAGTATCCCTGTCGTCATTGCATTCGTCTTGGTCGCCGGGCTCCACTTCCCGTTCCACAGACCTAACGTCCGGGATCTTAGACCGAAGGCGTTCTAAAATCAAACCGACATCCTTCACCGTTAGGCGAGGTGGTACTGTAATATCTCCGTGTGATGTGGTACACGGTCGATCTACGAGCAACAGGTACTTTTCCGCCATGTTGGTGGTTCGAGCTGATGTACCGTCTTCCAAAACAGTAATGTCGTCGGTAGTGGTTTCTTCGGAGCTACTGTCTTGTCCGGTAGGATTCTCACCATCATTGTCCTGTGTTGAAGGTAGGATGGGTGGTGGAAGTGGACCTTCTGGCATGTCCGAAAATCGCACATGTCCTTTTTTTGGCGAAAGACGCCTAGTCAACTGCTGTTGTTGAGGTTGTTGCTGTTGCTGGTGTGGATGTCGCATTGGTTGTTGTGGATTGGGATGTAATGAATGATGATCATTACGGTGCATCATATTAGTATGGGAATGTTGTCGATCGTGATGTTGAGGAGAATGTTGATACTGGTACGTGGGTTCTTGGACGGGCGAAGTGGCCGTTACGGCTATTGGGCGTCCCTCTTCGTGCAGCGCACAGCAATGAAAGTCACATGGTTCCTCAGGGGTATCGAGATGCACAGACGTCATAGTGACGTGCTTTGAAGGTGACAATCCCAGTCTAGGAGGTGAAATACCAGCGGACCTTGGAAGTGGTGGTGATAGACCGGAAGTAGATGTAGAAACATTTGTGTGATACCAGTCGGTAGAAGTGCTTTGATGGTGACCTATAACGTATACAGAAATGTTATAAAGATTTCTATCAGTTTATTGGTATTAGTATTATTTGTATAAGACAAAATGGAAAACCGGAAATGATACAAACAAGATAAGTACACAGGAAGAGAGCGACACTATAATACATATTGCGCAAACGCCGACACTATAGCAATCGATTACCGCGGTATAGCAGGGCGGCAGCGTAATAGGCGACCCCAACGGAAAACACAATATACATAACGTTACACCGTATGAGGGTTGACCTAGTGGTGACCGTTTTGTCGCAGTCATAACAGCCAGTTAGCTTTTAGAATAAAACAACTCGCTTCAGCCTTTGTCCTCTTAAAAATAATAAAAACAATCTGTACCTTTTTTGAATTGCCACGAGAAATACTTCATATTTACATTTATCTTTTGTTTTCAATCATAACAAACATTTAAAAAACTGTTTCAAACGAAAAATTACTTGTACGACAAGAAAAATTAATTTTTTTAAAACTATATTTTTAATTTAGACGATTTGTACTGAACATTTTTAACAATAAATCATCTTAATTATAGATGTTAAAATAAGACTAAGTCATTCTTTCCTTGACCTTTCTTTATTTTGGTTGGCCATTAAGCCTTATTTCGCTAAAAGAAAAAATTAAAAATTAATTTAGTCGCTCTAATTTTCAAAAGTACACTAATTTTAAAATTAATTACACCAATAGCAATAAAATAAGACGAATGTTTCAAATGATTAATAATTACTCGAATACTTAATAAGTCTAATTAATTTTCGGGTAATAACATAAAACAGCATAATCTTTAGGCATTTTTTTATAAAAAATAAAATAAAATAAATCTATAAATTATATCTCTTAGAGGATGACAATTTTACTTTGAATCAAAATAGAATTTTTTTCTAGATCTCTAACTTATCTGAATAAGTTTTATTATAAACTAACAGAAAAGATACTGCAGAGTTAATAAGCATTATATTACCACTTTGGTAATTTGTTTAATTACCAGTTTTTCTCGACTGATGCTGATGGTCCCCTTGTTTAAAAGACGACTGTGGTGATTGCTGCATCAGTGATGCTGACATCCGCCGTTTCTGCTCGATCATCTGTTGCCTTTGATGTTGATCTTCTTGAAACGATGACTGCTTTTCACTAGAACGTGAATCGCTTCGAAATCGTTGATTGCACTCCCTCTGATCAGCCACTATCGATCGTTCTTCATCTTGATCATCGCCATTTGTCCTTCCAATACTGTCACAACCACGATCCACAGCCGTCGGCTTATCCCAATGTAGCACCACTGTAACCCTACCCTTTCGATCGTCTGCCGCAATTGTCCATGCCCCGGGAGCTGTTAAATGATCATGACACCATCGCCGTAATAATGCTCCCACCGTATCACATACAATCTTTGGAATAGCTGTAACTAAAACAATTGAATAAAATATTCCTTTAATGTAAAGTTTATTCAGTTACCACCATAAAATTAATGGATAAAAAGAAAAATTTTTAAATCGGAATTCACTATAAATTACTTTTTATGATCAACAGACGTTTTTGTGAGTATATACTTTGATGAGAAACTGAGATGGTTTTCTTTTATAAATATATATTTAATTGATATATTGATAAATTAATTTTTTAATTTTTACATGAATTATAAGGAATTATACATTTTTAACTGTCTATCTGAAATATTAGGCAGTAGTGGTGGTCAGTCAAATAGTAAGGGATTAATATTGAGCAGAATTAATATGAAAGAATAATTAATTTAATTTAGAATATTACATATTAAGTCGTGATTATTATTTATACGTAGGTAAATTCAACGAGGTGCTCTATTCTTTAATAAATTAAATATTTGAAATAGGAAAAAAAACATTTGTGCATATCTAATAGTTCTTAATAATGTCTTGATATAGCAATACAAATAAAAAAGCTCTGTGGTATGAGGGCATATTTTATGGCGATATTTATCTTCAAGGTTTCCTATAGCAAAATTATTTGGCCGCTGCCGTTCTTAAGTTTATAATATTTGTTTTATAATAAAAACTTTTATGTAAATATTTTCTTTATATAATTATATTTTATACAAAAAATAATTTTATTTTATATTATCTAAATAGCTTCTAATGCCTTACACAATAATGTAAAACATTTAATTATTTAACACAATCTTTTTTATTGGTTTGAGAAACTATGATCTTTTGAAATACAACTAATCAATATTATTTTATTTTTATTGCAAAATCGTATGATATTATAGAACAAACTATGTATTAATTTTCCTTTTTTTTTGTTTGCTCTCAGTATTTTATAAATAAAAATACTTACTAGGTGGTGGTACCGGCCCAGGAAGCCAAAATTCATCGTCTTTGAGCAGCAGAACGACACTATGATCCGGCAATCCTTCAAGATACTCGTCATCTTCAACATGAGTACCATCCGTTTCAAGTACCAGCCGAACTGGGGTAGCATCTGCTACGTTCAGTTTCCGCTTTCCTAAGTAAACAAGTCAAAATACTTCTAAAATATAACTTATGTAAAGTTAGTGATTAAAGGTTCGTTTTATAAGAGAAACATTTAATTTGGTAAATTATGAATCGAATTATGATAATGCTACATAACAAATTAATTTACATAATACCTTAAGTATTATCATATTTTATTTAAATTGAATATACTGATACTTAAAAATGTTTTTAATTAATTGTTATTGTTATGACTTTAGCAACTAACACAGTTTCAAGTTGAGTGAATATCTAATATATTTATTGAAAAACATTTCTTTAAGTTGATATAAACCTTTTCATATTAGACTTTCAAATAAGAACAAGAAAAAATGATTAAAAATTTAATATAAAAAAAATAAAATTAAAATTTATAAATTATATTATAAAATTTAACAAATAAAAATATAATTAATTAAATTTTAATGAGTTCAAACTACAATTTTCATTTTTTCAAACCGGTAAGTCAAAGTAAAAAACTCATCAGTAATTCTTAGTCATTCCAAAAATGTAATTAAAACCAGAATTTTTTTTTCCAAGTTTTAAAAATAATTTTGAGTTATTAAATAAAAGTGTAAAAATCCAGAAAGTTTGTTGATTAACCAAACTTTCTACTTTTCTATTTACTTCAATTAAATTTTGAATACACAACAAAAAAACAGTAAGTCCATTAAGTCCTTACTGAAACCCTAAAAAAGTCGAATGGTTATTTAAGGTGTATACACATAAATAAATTTATCACTATTAATACAAATACTTGCTAAAACCGACACCTTTACCTTTAATTTTTTTAAAACTATTAGTCAGGTACATCTTAAAAGAGTTATTAATTTTAATTTAATTGTTTATTATTATCATTAAATAAATTTAAGTATACTAAGCGGCATAATATCCTTTTAACTATTCAAACTGAAAATATTTTTAAGTAAAGCTTATTCAACGGAATTAATAAAGAAATAAAAGTAGTCAGATATATTAAACACTTTTTTAGTTAAAATTATATATTGAATGCTGAAATATTATTTTTTGAATTTGATTTATAAGATAATTTTATGCTTTACTGTCTACTTAGTTATACCACCCAAATTACAAGTGATTATGAGTTAGTTCATAAAGCAAGAACTATAAGCATCTTTTGTGTTTGGTTACCAAAATAATAAAAAACACGGTTAAAATATTATGTTATTTCTGCTTTCAAACATATTAGCATCAACACAACTAATACTAAAATAAATCTAAAAATACTAAATATATTGTTAAGATTAACTTAGCAATTATTCTTTTTATAAGACAGTTTATCGTAATTTTTATGACCGTGTTCGGTTTTCAAACCGTTCAAGTTACGAGGAGTAACAAAAAAAATTGAAAAATTGTGAAAAAACTTTACTTTTCCCGAGTTTGTGCACTATATATTGTGTAGATAAATTGTAAGTAAATATTGCGCACACCATGTTTATAAAAGGACATCCTAAGCTTTAGTAATTTATTATGGTTTCATAAATTATATGTTAGTATCACGGGCGAAGGTAAATATTATTTATTAATTGTGGAGGGGGGTATATAATCGTCATGTTATAAAATAAATACACATCGTCAATAATGTTTACAATCATAATAATAAGTACTGTAAACGTACTTCAGGAACGTATTTACAAAAGGAATGTACGAGTTGCGTAAACACTCTCCCCTAAAATTCATACGACTATCAAATTTTGGACCGATAATGATACTTGAACAAGGAAGAAAAAATAGTTAATCAAAAACGCATACTATAAAATTATTGAACAATTTTCTTCAGCCCATAAAAATGTCTAAACATCTAGGCGTCTGTTTTACTTGTCTTAAAAAATGTGGGTGACTTACCTCGAACAACCAGGTCGGTGACGGTAGCGGAGCCAGGTGCCAACACCAGACTCTTACGGGTCGCGCGCGCGCCGTCCCACACTTTAAACGGCCTAGGTCGCTTTGACCTTGTTCTCCTAGATTGCCGATCATCGCCGCCATCGCCATTCTGTAAAATAGAAATAATATTTAATATAAAAAAAATATATATATATATATTATATATCTAACATTTCCTAAAAGAAAGAGGATTTCATGACTCTAACTGAAGAAAAAATATGAGATGTACTGGTATAAGTAAATAGCATTGAATTTTCTAAGAAAATCAAATTCTATAAGCCATTGAAATAATTTTTAAGAAAATCACCACACCGTTGTAATTTTAAAACGTGACGATCAAAACTAAAAGATAATTTTTAGAGATCTTTTAAAACTGTTAACGTTTACGTCATGAACTTACTGTTATCAGTCGATCACAAAAGAGCTGCATAATATGCAAAACCCGAGTTGGGTTGGATTGAAAACTTCAAGTAGTCAATTGAAATACTACTTTGATATACATTGATAAATTAATACTGGAATAACTGTATATTTTATTGACACAGCATTTTGATAAAATCTATCAGAAGTTTCTTTAAGCTGTTGAATTTTTTCTTAGATCATATTTATTGATACATTTAAGTAAATAACTTTGGCCAAAATTATTAATTTTAGTTTTCATCTTAACCCTTTCAGAATGTGTTATTTTTAAGCTATGATGAAATTTTCAAGTTCTCTAAACATAATTAATAAACGATGATAGTTAATATTTAGCCCGACACATACTTAAGGCAGAACTTGAAAAATTCATTTTCTTTTGAGTAGACACTTTTGAATATGGTTGTGATTAAAATCGTAAAAATTGTTCATAATACTTAAAAGAAGTAGTGCGCTCGACACAGTTGCTTCACAAACAACTTTTTATTATACCTTCCATAATAAATTTCTTAATGCTCTACTGATTAAAATAACCAATAAAAATGATTTTATTCGCAGTTTACGGATAAAACTAATTGACGAACACTTATTATCGATATTAAAACTTTATTGTTAATTAATTGTAAACATATATATGTATGCATTTCTCGAGAATTGTTATACTTTCTATCTACAAAATATAATGTAATCTACTGACTTGAAGTACATTATGTTTTTGAAACTATTATTTCAAAAAATGTTTATAAAAAACCATTTTGAAATAAACGATTTTCAGAGCTTGAGCTATAGAATAAGTTTAGAATTGAAAAATTACTTCCGAGAAATTTCAAAGTCAATTCAAGCGTTTGTTTGTATACTAAGTGATAATGTGTTGTTGTGGATCTCAGCGGGGGTTTTAAATACGAAGAAAAAGCTATGCGAACCGAATTCTATGAGTGTAAGTGGGTCAAGGGGGTAGTGAGACTATTATCACCACCCGAATAGTTGAGACGGAAAACGATGTGGTGGACCGGAACGGTGCAATGTAGGTCAATCACTATGCTGGGATGACACGGGAAGAAATGAAACACTGCAGTTTAATCATAAAAAGTTGATTTAAATACACAAACCTTATACTAATAGGTTGTACGCAAGTTAGCAAAGAGGGAGTTAAGAGTTTGAGCCAAGGTCACCACCCCACAGAAGTTACAGTTTTTTTTTAAGGTGGCCGCTACCGTGGCTGGCTATGTGAAGTAATTGTAAGATCTCGGGAAACGGGAAAGGTGTTTAATGACATAAGACAAGTATTGACGTTGACATCACTTTTGTCTAAGTAAATGAAGCTGTGCACAATAGAACCCCTTCAGCCATAAGTTGCGTGTGTCGTTCTGTATATGTAATACCGACACGCGCGTATGTGTTTTCATGGATATATAAGTATAATACGTCCAATGTACACATGTAACATTTGTGATATTATTGTCTTACACTGATTATTTGGTGTTAATTAATGTTTTGTTTTGGTATTTGATATTAAATGATTTTTCAAATCAATTTATTTGCGTTCGCAGTTGATATGCATTCATATACATAAAGTCTACAATGAGTTCACTTTTAAACATCGCTCTTCAAAAACCAACGGAACACAGAGCTTTTGGGCACAATTTCTATTCCATTAAGTTTTTTATGACATAAGTGTACACGAATAGATCATTGTTGGTGTCCTTGACCCGTCCGGGCCACACTCGAACAACTTACCGGTGTCGGTGGTGATATCGAAGGCGTTGGCGGCAACGGTTTCGGCGGCGGCGACATCATCGCCGCAGCCGCTGCCGCATTGTAGTTGGCCAAGACGCGTCCATGGCTCGACGGCGGTCCACAGCTGACGAGACCGCCGGCAGCGCGCGCGCGACCAGCAGCCCCGTTAGAGTGCTGGTAATAGTCACATTACGTTGGTCAGTCGCGGCTACGGCGAAATTCACAACGTCGGTGACAACCCAACCGAACGATACCAAAACGGCTGAGAACAAAACACGGATCAGAGTATAACCGCGATGGCAATGGTGACGGCGGCGGCTGTGACGATGGCGACGGACGTCACGAGCGAGACGAGCAGGCCGCGTTATGTGCTGCTCCTGACTGTCCGGCGGCGTCGAATGCGGCTTTCTACCGTCGATGATTCTGCAACCCCCACGCTTTACCCACCGGAAAATTCTGTGACGCTCATCAGCGCGCTCTCTCAACTTTTGGCATCCCGTTTTGCACAACATCTACGCGACACCCCCGCAATTCTGTCTACTATAGTCAAAGTTCATCACCAACAAAAAAACTTGAAAAATTACCGTTCTCGAGAAATGATTTAACAGCTCACATTACTGCTTATTAATTATAGCGTGTAAATTATATGTTAAAATATTTACAGAAGAAAAATAACTAAAATTTGAATAAGAAGAAGGGGGTCATGACCAGTTTTTGGCAAAATTATTTTATTTCACTATCTGTTCTAGTAAACACAGAGTAATAACGAGTGTGACAAAAGGAGATGCGTACGGTAGTCACTTATGAAAAAAACATCAAGTTTCCTATTTGATGAGTGTAAAAGAGAAAAAAGTTATGAACGTGTCTCGTTTCTGCATTTATTTAATCCTACTGATATTTGGATAATTTTTAACCTACAATCCAGAAATTACTGTTTTACTTGTATGTGTTACTTTTAATCATGCTTTTTTATTTATTCAGAACAGTTTTTATTGTTATATTTAAATTTATATTAAAATAAACATTTTCCAATAAGTAATATTTATACCACTTGACACATTCATTCTTAAAAAAAAAAATGAATTAAGTAGAAAAACAAGACATGTTCATGTAACAGAAAATACCGCTATGGTTGTATAATAACAGTAAATTTAAACCAAACAATATTTTTTATAGAAAGGTATAAAATAATTTACATGAATTTTCTAGAACGTTATTTTAATATAAATATTTTAATACTAATAAGTTCATTACAAATAATTTTTTTTATCTCTTGTGAAGTTTACTTTTTGTGGCGTGTCCCTTTTTGAACTCAGCAGTTTATTTTATACAAATTTCTGAATTTGAATTTAGATAAAATTAATCTAAATAATAAATACTAAAAATCTACTTTTTATCAAGTTCTAGGTAAACATATTTAATAATGGGGTACTTACTATTACTTAATAATGATTCTGTATGATATTTTCAATAATATAAGATTATTTGTCTAATTCACATTACATTTTTATTGCATAAAAATATTTTATTTTGAATGGTTAGGCTAAAAGTTTAATTAGGATTTAAGTAAATTTTTCAAAAATATTTTATTGGTTTATTTTTATGCCTCGTTCATATATTTGACTTCAGATACTTTATAAATATAAACAAATGGGATAAACTCGGCGTGTTGAAAAACTGATAATCTAAGATAATATGAACATAAAACTTTTAAATTAAATTTAATTAAAACTGGATATTATATATATTGACACATAAAATCATTTTACTTATATTATTTATGTTGTACGTACAAGTCCAAGCGCTGCGTTCAATGTGATAAGTTCGTGTCTTTTTTTTATATTACCTTTCTATCAATGTATTTATGTAAAAATCATTAAAAATTATAATTAGTTAATGTAATTCAAATTTGTTTAATCTTAATTATACGTAACTCATCACATAAATACTTTCGGTTAAATAAACTTTGTTATAAAGTTTAATTATTTGCAAATAATATTTACTGAAATTAAAATATTTTAAAATGATCTTTTTTTTATTTACTATTTTATTTAGTTTCAATATGCTATAATAATGGAATTATGCACTCTAAAAAACTGTGAATCTTGCACAATTATTGCAATAAGAGAGACATGTATTCGACTAAAATAGAGTGATTTTTTTTAGAAATATTAAACAATATAATAACAGCAGATGGTTTTGTGAATTCATTTAAGATGACACAAATCAAATTGTGTTTGATTTTATAAGAATTCAAACTCTGCTGATAGACATGTAATTATTCTAAAAGTATAAGTTATTTAAATAGTATTGATTTTACTCTACAGTAAAATCGCTGAAAAATGTTCTTAGGTTTACAAACTGTGCACCCGAAAAGACTTATATGTATTGAAATGCCAAAAAAAAGCACACCTCTTGAATAAAACAAAATCTTTTCAGATACGTTAAATAAAACTAAATCACTCAGCAAATTTGTGGATTCCATTAAGACAATCAATACAAATTACATTAAATTGTGTCGGAGATAAAAATTACAATGGCAATTTATCACTACAATGAAAAATGCTTGGGATCTAAATACAAACAACTTCAGTTCCACAGAGAATCGATAAAAAAATGTTCAGACATTTTGTAATCTTGTGCTCAAATAAAACTTTTATGACTGTATAGAAGTTCCAATTTGTGAGTCATATACACAACTTGAGGAATTTTTATGCAAAAAATCAAATGAAAGTACAATATCAGAAAACTCTGAGAATTCCATTCAAATGAGTAATACAAAATGTGTTGAATATTACAAATGTATTGACTATTCAGGCAACTATTTAACTGTCACTAAAAGCATAAGCGGCTTAAGTTCCATCAAATTTTACTTAACAGCAAAATCTTTTAAAATATGTTAAGTCGATTTGCAAATATGTACTCTAAAAAACTTTTATAATTGTATTGATATTTCAACAATCCAGAATTTATAGGACTAAAAAACTATAAATTTTATTTTGAATCATTAAAAATTCATTAAAAATATTTAAAGACCATATAATATGCATTCGTATGTTCTAGTATTAAACCTATTATTTTGAATCCTATACAAGTTGGTTAAGTTGAAAAAATCTAATGATATTGTAAAAATCAATAAGATGTACATAATATTACCATTGTACACTGAAAATATTAAAAGTGTAGAGCGTCACTGTGATATGATATCTTTAAAATTTATGCCTAATTATAATTATATACTTATTGTGCTTAAAATTTTAACGTTAATAGACCAGATCTGTTGGAAAAAAATATCATATTAAGTTACAAGATTTAATACTCGGAATTATTATACTTTTTATACTGAACCTCAAGTCAAAAACTTTGTTCTGAATGTATAGTATATTAATATTATGTAACAGGTTAAAAAATTATGATTTTCATAATGATAATAATTATTATCATCGAATAGTTGTTAAGGTATTGTAGATTAAGTTTAGTTTAATTAAAGTATTTTATAAGAGTACAATAATAATTTTTATGATTATTAGTTGATTAAGTTACTGTCATTGAACATTTAAAAAATAAATTTTTAACAAAAATTTCATAGAGTATTATGCAAGTATATATTTAAACTAATGATAACATTATCTCTAAATATATATTGTATTCATAACTTTTAATTAAATTTTGATTTTCTTAAAGAAGTCCCGGGAAATATTGTCTATCAGTTAATACAGACAATCTTGATTTCTGTATAAATACTACAACCAATTAATTAACTGAGAAAGCCTAGGACAAAACTAAATTTATTTCAGTTTTTACCTCGCATTTGTGATTAATTTTAGTGTAAAGCAAAGATGAGAAGGTTTTGTTTTCACTATGTGCTTTTTTTGTGTCTATTCATGAAAATTCCCAGTGTTCATTGGACCGATTTTTTTAAACTATGCGCCGAAAGAATTCGATTTTTATCTAGTTAAACCTATCGCAAAAATTAAAAAAAAACTCATAAATTTTAGAAATTTAAAATATATCTCAATTATTATGAAAATATTACTATGAAAAATTAAATTTTCAACAACTTTTTCCTGTATTTTAAGTTGCTATAATTTTTTTTTTAGCACCGATTCTAATGAAATGTTAGTAGAGTATAATGGAAACTATAAGTTTTTTTTATACATTTTTTATGAAAGTCCAATGAATAACTTAAAACCATGAAAGGTTCGAAAAAGATCAGTAACGTTTGTCATTTTTGGGTTAAGCAAATATTAGTTAATCAATTTTAATTATTATTACTGAACTTAGTTCCGCACAACACTAAATCGATCATCTTTCATGATCTGTGGACAATAAGACGGTATGCCAATATGTATTTAGCGCTGATGATGGTAACATTGTTTCCGAAACAAATATACGCGATTCTTTAGGCTTTTTGAGTTAAACATTTTAACATTTTTAGTTTTTATTTAATATTTTAGATATGTTTGTAATTTTAAATAATATTTACCACAAGTGATCAATTCTTATTTTATTAATTATCAATTGATTAAAACATTATTTAGATTAACTAATAAACTATTATTACAAAACTTGTTATAATATCAATATCAAAGAAAGACCTTTTCTTTTTTAATTCTTAAAAAATAACTCCTAGCATTTTTTTCCAATTAAAGCCACATGATATGTATGATAACAATTTTAAATTGTGCTGTGTTATTAAAAATATTATATATGTTGGTACACATGGATAATGGTATTTTGTCGAAATTTGGCGACTTTTTATCGGGTGGTTTGGTGTACCTTATTTTCTTCTACATTCTTTCCTGGAGTAAAATAATTATAGATGGCAGAAAAAATTACTTAGCATTTAAATTTAAATAACGGGCCATAGATTAGAAATGTTACTGCTTATATCACAGAATAGAATTCCGTTCTTATACTATCAACATTTTACATATCATTCTTATCACCGTTGAATTCACTTGAATGTGTTCAATAATTATAATTGTATGTTAATTGTTTCGGCTCCAAGTTAAATATTTTAATGAAACTCGATATTATATTTTTACATTTTATTATACCCAAGCACAAATTTTTAAATAAAAATTACTATTTAGGATTGTTTTTATTAACTGTTGGTTGAGTCAGAATCGGTGTGACTATGTATTGTTGAATCATAAAACATAAACACATAAAGGTGTTGAATCAGTGTCATCAATACTACTGCTAACTTGGGTTTGTTTTTATAACATTTCAAATAAAAGCTGTTTTTAATATGGACAGTCACGGCAAAAAAGTAGTCGTCTGTGATAATGGCACTGGAGTAAGAAACAATTATGAATATAATAATAGATTATTTAATATTTTGAAAATTTTTTTTTAGTTCTATGCAATGTAAATGATGAAACTTAAATTTTAAATAATATATCTAGTTTAAGTTTGACATTAAATATAATTTAAAATAGTACAAACTAAATAGTTTTATAAAATTTAATTGGCTACTTTTAATAAATTATTAAATTGATAAATACTTTTATATTTAACATTATATTTCTTAATAAAGATTTCACATTTTAGTTTGTAAAATGTGGTTATGCCGGCTCAAATTTTCCTGCTCATATATTTCCTTCTATGGTTGGTCGTCCAATCATTCGTGCACATAATAAAATAGGTGATATTGAAGTCAAAGTAAGTGATTATTTATTATTACTTTTTGTTAAATACATCATTTCAAGATTATTAACATTATATTAATAAAATAAAACTATATTTCATTGTTAAATTTTATTGAGTTTTTTTTTTTATTTAATTTGTTTAAATAACTTTGTTAGGATTTAATGATTGGTGATGAAGCCAGTCAATTAAGATCAATGCTTGATGTTACATATCCGATGGAAAATGGTATTGTTAGGTAATAAAATTATTCTTAAAGTATTAAACAAGAATCAATTTTATTAATTAAAAATTTTAATTTTTTTTTCCTACTTGAAATTATTAATTTTTATAATGATGATTTGAAAATATATTCTCTAATTTATAGAAATTGGGATGACATGTGTCATGTATGGGATTATACCTTTGGACCTAAAAAAATGAATATTGATCCTAAAGAATGTAAAATAATGTTAACCGAACCACCAATGAATCCAATTAAAAACAGAGAAAAGATGATTGAAGTATTATTTAATATTTGGTTGTATTGTAGTTTGATATTATGCTGATTTTTTTAATATAGGTTATGTTTGAAAAATATGAGTTTGATGCAGTTTATGTAGCAGTTCAAGCAATTCTAACACTTTATGCTCAAGGGTTACTTAGTGGAGTTGTTGTTGATTCTGGTGATGGTGTCACTCATATATGCCCTGTTTATGAAGAATATGTTCTACCCCATTTAACTCGCAGATTAGATATAGCTGGCCGTGATGTTACTCGATATTTAATAAAAGTACTCAGCTATTAATTAAATAATTAATATTAAAACTTAATTTAATTTCAATCTATATTTTAGTTACTTCTTTTAAGAGGTTATGCCTTCAACCATTCAGCAGATTTTGAAACTGTTCGAATGATGAAAGAAAAACTATGCTATGTTGCATATAATATTGAGACTGAACAAAAGTTAGCCTTAGAAACTACAGTTCTTGTACAATCATATACAGTAAGAATAAACTTGAAATTTCACTTTTATAGTATCCCTACTAATTTATTTAATTAAATATTAAGTTACCTGATGGAAGAGTAATTAAAGTAGGGGGTGAAAGATTTGAAGCTGCAGAAGTATTATTCCAACCACATTTGATAAATGTTGAAGGCCAAGGTTAGTTTTTATTTTTTTTAAGTGAAGGATGTATAAAGTAAATACTAATTTAATGTCATGAAATTTACTTCACCGTTATAGGAATTGCTGAACTTGTGTTCAATACAATTCAAACTGCTGACATTGATATGAGAACTGAATTATATAAACACATAGTTTTATCTGGAGGTTCAACAATGTATCCAGGATTACCATCTAGATTAGAAAGAGAAATAAAACAGTTGTATGTCGAACGTGTGTTGAAAAATGATACTACAACTTTATCAGTAATTATAAAATTATATTATTTTAAACTCGTTAAGTATTATAACTTACTCTCCTATTTCTATATTCTAGAAATTAAAAATACGGATTGAAGACCCTCCATTACGTAAAGACATGGTATTTATTGGTGGTGCTGTACTTGGCGAAGTTACAAAAGACAGAGAATCATTTTGGTTGTCCCGTACAGAGTACTTAGATAGAGGTATATCTATTTTGGATAAACTTGGACCAAGAGCTGGGTAGTTATTCTTTATTTTAATAAAACTATGAAGAACTGTACTGGGAAAATAAATATATTAAGCAACAATTTTACCCATACTTTAAACAAAACACTCCTCTTTAATAATAGAGTAATTGATAATGTATAATCAATATTTATTTTATTATCATATTTCTTGTATGAAAATTTTATTTGCTACCAATTTGTATACTGAGTTTCATGCATTTATTAGAAATATACAGTTATATGATTTTTTTAATTCTCTATGTGAGCATATTATGCTTGCATATAGATACAATAATACCACAATTATATTATATTTGTTAAATTATTAATTTTTTTGTAATACTTTTAATAATATCAAATTATGTTATGTTAATAATTTATATTAATATAAAATGGAATTTAAGATACATTGTTCCATGTACTAATATTATAATATATTGAATAGTTAAGTAAAGTTTAGATAATTACTATTACTTTTATTTTATTTTTTTCACTAAATTAATTAACTACAAAAAATAATCTTTTTTCTGTAGTTTTTAAAAATAAAAGACAACTCTGTTGCAAGAAAAAAATGTATTTAACAAATTATGAGCAAAAATGTGCAATTATAAGTATAAATACAAAAATACATTGATTGCGCAATTTGTAAATTTATACAAATAAAATAAACAACAATAAATTACAAAAATAATAAAATGTTCACTATAAATACATTAACAATAATAGATAATAATTTAGTAAGAATTGTAAATCATTTTTAAATGTCAAAATTTAAATTAAATAAAAAATGAACAACTATTATTTGATAATTGAAAATATTATATAAATAATAATTAATTACATGGTGACAATTATTTTGAATTTATTATGGCTTTACTAGAGTAGCCATAAAACATAAAATAATATTTTTTTTTTAATTTAATTGTGAATTTCTGAGTTTAAAATTTGTACAAATTAATTAAAAACACACACGATATAAGGAAAATTATTTTTAAAAAAATCACTAAAACGAATTTAAAATATTACAAATTGTTTAAATTATAGCGTTACTATAAAATCAACACATATCAAATATTTTAACAACTATGATATGAAAAATTTTAGTAACTATGATAAACAATCAATAATTAGTTGCTTTTTTAAAATACAGCACTTGATATAATAGCAGCAAATACACTAAATCAGCACACACAAAATATACTTAGAGGTTCATAATTAATATATAAATATTGGATTAAAATAAGATATATGAGAAATAAAAATCTGAGATTACATAGAGAGTTCTGGGAGAGCATCATCAGGATCTTCATTTGCCATTTCATCAGGCGGCCTAGTCCATTTTATTAACGTTTCAGGGGATCTATATAAGAATACTAGTTTTGCAAACAAATCTTCTTCCAGATCTAACTCTCCACTCTCTCTAACTAGATAAATATCTAAACAAAGCTGTAAAATTCTATCAACATATGGCATATCATCAAACATAATTTTAGCAGAGATTCCCGTGAAAAAATTCCTAACAAATGTGTATACGACAATAACAAATGTTGTGTATAATCCAAGAATTCTGAAAATTAAATATTATATTATTTTTTATAATATAACAATTATTAAAAAGTGAAAAAATCTTCATAATCAATTAATTTTAAATAATAAATTATTCTAAATAAGTAAAATTTGTTTTATTCACCCTTTTCCACTTATCATATTCAGTGTTTCTGGAAATGCTCTATCATTGAAAGTATATATTGTAAAATTATTTTTGTTTCCATTTAATTTACAAGAACTTTTGGGTAGATCATATAAATAGTGTGCACTATTTTGCGGGGGACATTCTTCAATAACATCCCACCATTTTTGAGATTTTTGGTGGAGTAATACACTGATATTCATGTATGGTACAGCTAAAATGTACACACCATAATAATATTTTTGTAACATAAAATAACTATTTAACACTTAGATAGTTTATTTATTTTGTTTAATAAAAGTAATAATTCATTTTTGATACTTACTTTCATTGGAAATCATAAGTTGAGGTACAGCAGAAGCTCCACCGAATCCTGTAACTTTGATAAATTTAGGAATAAGTCCTAACAACATGACAGGAGTGTTTGTATTATTTGATACAAGTAAATTAGCCAACTGCGCACAAACAGTACTATTGATGGTGATTTCATGACTATCCGAAACAGTTTTAGGTTGTTCACCATAAGAATTTACACGATCTATCACCCAACTTGTTTTAACTGTATATGTAGCATCTAAGAAGTAATATTTAGAGTACAGTTTTAATATATAATTCATATATACTTTTTAATTTAAAAAATAATTAATTACTAGGTGCTTTGAGCTCATCAATCATGCTGTATAATTCAGGAGGACTTATGGACCATGTATCAGCAGAATGTGTTGTAATATAAAATACTCCAACATCATCATAATCATAATTTGACAAGAAAGTTTGAGCAGAACGTAATTTTTTATAGACATTTATCATAGAATTCCAATCTGTTTGATCAAAACTGCAAAGAAAAATATAAACAACTAAAAATTATAGAAAAAAATATTATTATAAACTATGAAGATATAAATAGTATAGACTAAAATATGTCATAAAAATTAAATTATGAAAAAATAATATTAGATCATTTTTGTGATATTACTTATCAACATTTCCTTCAATGCTCATTGTGTAAATTGGTTGGTTTGATCCAAGTCTTATACTTATGCTAATGCTACTAGGCAAATTAGGCTCTCCAACTGTACTTCCAAGAGCAAACCAAAGAAGTGGAAATGAAATTGCTGCTATTAATGCAATTAGTGTTCCTCCTCCAATGAAATATTTTTTAATGGGCTTAACTTTAACACCCCTAGGATTGGGGTAATCATTTTCAACGCGTCTTGAGCACTAAAAATACATTTTCAAAATAATAACATTTGTATAAATTAAAAAGAAAAAAATGAAATGAGACTAAAAAATTACTTTCAGTTGGAAAATATGTGCAAAAATATCTTCCATTTTCAACCAATCAGGAAGTGTCATTGATGTTTCTGTCCATACCCAATCCATAATAGTCCGTAATTCAAATACAAATGGACATAACATGTACCTAAAACAATTTTTAATTTTTACTGTTATGATAAATGTTTAAGCTAAATTTCAAGTAAAAGCCAATACTCACAGTTTGAATAAAATCATATTAATATAATTGTAATTTTTACACAATACATTCCCTAAAATTCTGGTGGGATATCCACTTCTGATTTGATATGCAGACAACAACAAATGGAAACATTTAACCATATACCAAACTTGAGGTGGAATGACAGCATTAAATTGTCTGGGAAAGTATATGATGGAAGTTTAATTAAATAGTTACAGAGAAGTAATAAAAGAGCAGATATAAAAAAGCATAATAAGAGATATAAAAAGTGTAGTAATTCATATAATTGATTTCATTATCTCTACTCCACAGCCAAATAGAGTATTATTAATTTTGCTAGTTAAAGTTTTTTTATTTATCTTGACATTTAATAATCACTATTTGAGTCTACTTTTTAAATTAACTTGTACTGCTAAATGTTATACTACCTTTCTGTTACAGCTGGAAGCATAAAAAACATCCATATATGAGATCCAATTATTAAAACAAATTGAAATAAAATTTTCCCTAAAATATATTTTCTTAAATAAAGTAATCGATCAATAGTAATCAATGCAAACTGAAGAGCTAACATGATTAAAAATGGAATTGGAACTTTATTTTCTCTAAAATATTCTGAAACTCCTCCGTCACTTTGAGACTGTAATAAAAAGTAAATGTTTTGTTATTAATCTTAATTTTTATCAAGTTATACAATAAATTATTCAAAATTTGAATAAATTTTTAAAAGATTTAAGTGTTTCATTATATCTAAATATTAAACACAAGAAATAATCTATTTGTATAGTCATGTATATATATATATAGAATTAATATAGCTTAAATAATTCTTTATAAAACTAGTAATTTTATTTTATTATTACTTACTCCAAAAGCAGAAAACCCGAAAACTACAACAAATATATTGAAAAAATCACACAAAAACATATATGTGTAAACATCAGCATTGACACGAGAACTTGAATCACTTAATTGTTTGAAAAAATATACCAAAGGATGGCAATGTTTTTTTAAACTGAAAATTTTTTTGTTTTATATAAAATAATCTATAAAAATGGAATATTAAGAAAATATGTCATACAATGATGGCATTGAATCCATAAAGTTTTCCATTTCAGCAGAATTGGATCTATCAAAAGATCGATCATAAGATTTTTGTATCAAGTTCTCTTCTTTGATGTTAGAGCTTAAAAACTCAGGAGCTAAAACAACAGTAGTTTGTTCTGTACTAGGATCATGATCAATTGATCCTTGATACCCATCAGAACCAATAGAACAACATGTATCTATTGTATCAAATAATGAAACTTGATTCACATTTGTTCCTTTAAAAGACAATGAACTTTTCCAAAGTCCCAATGATTTCAACATAGTCCTGTTCATTATTATAATTAGACATTTTAAAAATAATAATAATAACTGTAGTAAAATGAAAAAATTATTACCGATGAAAAAATAATACCAGAAGTAAAAACAAATCATATGTTGCATAATTTGGATTTTTCTCAATTCCAATGATTCTCGGTAGATAAAAAGGTATATTATCAGCAACAACTTGTTGATTCCAAGGAATCATATCAAATTGAAACATACATTTTATAACAACAATGACCTATAAACATTATTAAAGTTTATCTTTCAATAATGTTCAATATATTTTTTAATATACCTCAGTATAAGCAATGAGCGTAACCCAGAATCTTTTTGTTGGTCTTGGAACAGTTAAGGTTCCCCACAGAAAAACCATAAGTGGTAATGGGAGACTTAAAATTGTAGCAGATTTAATCTGATGTAAGAATATCATAAAATAACATACAAGATCAGAATGAGATATAATTGCAAACCACAAAGCTAATAAAAGACGCATTAACTGAGGCTGATTAGTTGCATTTAACTCTTGTTTTTCTTCTAATTCTTCCAATTTTTCAGCACTTAAATAAAAAAATTAATCAACACATATTTATATTCATTATTTAGTCTTAGGTATTTAGAAAGTATATCATACATATTTAATAAACTTTACATCATTAATTTTTTTAAATAGAATGTAAACATAAAGAACTTTTATATTTTTAATAAATAAGAACGATTCTAATGACATGTTAGTTTAGGTAGAACCCAAAACCAAAAAAAATTTTAGAGAATAATACCTTAGAGTAACACTTTTCCCAATAAAAGGCATGGGTTGCCATATCATTGATGATCCTGTTCTCAAACCAATACCAAATCCTCTATTTTTCTAATATAATAAATATATATTAATTATAGTTCAAGATTGTCTCAAAATTATTTAATAATTTAACGTAAAATATACAAAATATTTACTTATTTTAAATATTAATACTTCAGATATCTTTTAAAATACCTTTAATGTTTTTTTTTCAACAGCTAAAGTTCGAATAACATATCTATAATCACGAGATATCCTGTTCAAATATCTATTTAGTGTAATTGTTGAGCTGTTAACTATAGCCATAAAAATACGAATGTTGTCTTTAATTTTTTGACCCAACGTTTGTTTAGTTTCTTTATCTGAAATGCCTAAATATATTATGTCACCATTATTACTATTGTATTTTTAACTAACTTACCTTGACTGTCAATTTCATCCCTAAAAATATAATATTTGTGTAAGTAACTTAAATTTAATAATATTAAAAACAATATAAATATAAAATAGGTTATAATAAATATACCACATAATGTTATTAAAACATGACTATATAAATACAATATTGGAAAATTAATTTTTGATTTTTTTTAGTTACATATAATTCTTGATTTGTCAGCTAATAATTACTTTTTACAATCATCCCTTATAACTTAAAGAGGTGTCAACTTTATTTTTTTGAATGACAACATACATATTTAATTATCTTATAAAATAGGAAATAATCTAATTAAGAAGTTGACCAGTCACAACTTTTGGATCAATATTTCAGAAGTTTTAACAAATTAAAGTAATAACTGGTGGTGAGGATTGCTATTTTTATCACTAAGCACTTCCCTGCCATACACTCTTTGTCCTGCCTAGGTATAAAATAAGAATAACTTTCAAAGTACTGGTTCAAAATTTATTATCAACCAGTCATTTTCTATTTTATGAATTAATTAAATATGTATGTTACCATTAAAAAAAAAAATAAAGTTTAAACCCTTATTTATTATAAGGTGTCATTCCAAAAAGTAATTATTAGATAAATTTAGAGATATATAACTAAAAGAAAATATTTTTCTTTGTTGTATTTATTTAGCAAATAATCGAGTGGTTTATAATAAACCAATCACCTGTATATATAGTATTCAGTAAGTAAGGAATCGGGTTTCTATTGTTCTCATTGTTTGTAATAATTGACTTGTTTCCTTACTTACTGAACACTCTATATAGACAGCGATTGTTTAACTATAACTCTTTAAACAAATTTAAAATATAATATTTTTTCTTTTCAGAAATTAATAGTATCTTAATTTTTATAATATTAAAAAAAAAAAATTATTGCTATCCTCCTTTTTAAATTTTTATAAACTTAAGTTTTTAATTAGAAACATATATATTTAGCAAACTTATAAACTAGAATAAAATTTCTAGTTTATTCTAATCTATTTAAAAAAATACTGGTCAATAACAACATTTGGACTCATATTTTAAAAGATATTAGAATTTATATAACATGGCGAGAGGAGTAGTATGGTTTATTAATGCTTAAAGATAAAAAAAAAAACCTGTGTTTCACCTCAAGTCTTTATATTACAGAGTTATTAACTTTCAAAATACTCATACAAAAATTGTATTAACCAACTATTTTATAATTTGTAAATTAGTTTAAACATATATATTTCCATTTAAAATATTAAAGTTCATAAAATTTTAAGAAAAAGAAGAAGATAGGAACAGTTCTTTTTTAAAAAATTATAGTATATAGGATACTATTAATTTCTGAAAATAATAAAATAATATTATATTTTATATTGATATTGTGTATGAGTCATAGTTAAATAATCACCTTGTATATACTATATGTTAAATTTTTTAACTTGGTCAAAAAGTTAACTAAAATAATTACTATATGAAATTAATTTTTCCAATAAATACCTCATTGATTTACTAGATTCTCCAAGAGTTGATAAATCTGTTTCTTTCTTTTTCTATAAACAAAAATAAAATTATAATTATCTCTATTAAAAAAAAAATTGTTTTGCATAAGATGAACACATAAATATCAAAATTACTAACTTTATAGTCTGATTTTCCATTTGTAACACTGTCAGAACTGTCATCCATTGAATCTTCGCTTAATTCATTATCTTTTTCTACAATAGAATCCAATTCATCATCAAATTCTTCATCAAACATATAGTAATCTCCTGAGCGAACAGCTATTAAAAGAGAAATAAATATGGTGTAATATATTGTATAAAATAAACATTAAAAATTATATGATGCACATTGTAAATGATCAAAAATAAATAATTATATAAAGGTGGTAATGAAAGTTTGTGCCATGATTTTAATAAATATACTTTTTAAACAAATACAAACACTAATCATGCTTAATTCTTATAATTAAGTATAAATAATAGTGTACATGCTCGCACAATAGAAGAAATATAAAACTACAAACACATCAAAATAAAAACAACTTAATTGGTAAAAATTTACATTTTTAATAACAAATTGCCAAATAAATATTAGCAAATTTTTAGAATAAAGTATAAAGTTACTCTTTTTAATCACTTTTATTTTAGTAAAGATTTGATACAGCTTTTCTTTGTTAAAATCTAATTTAGATTTAATTTAAATTAAAATAAATCGATTTGAGCAAAATGATTTACCATAAAACAGCAAATAGGAATTAATATTTGCTGACCCTTCAAATTTTCAGAAAAAATTACATGTATTGTGTCATTTTGAAATGCCTTTTTATAATTTTCAAAAATAAGTAGATAATACTAACCATCTATAAATAATTTTATTTGAGCTTCTAGTTCAAGCTAAATTATATGAGTTATTTTAATACTTAACAATAAAATAATCACTAAATAAGCAGTCAGTTCAATTATTAATTGTATTAAGCTAAATTGTTATTAATTTTAATACATTTAGTATATACTAGTTAAGTTGTTGAGTTAAAAAAAAAATAAAAAAAAACAAAAATATAGTTAATAAAATCATAAAAAAAGCTATTCAATCAGTAACACAGCTCATTTAACAATATTTATATTATTATTTTATAAAATAAAATAATATATACTAGAGGCCTGAAGAGCTGAGGAGTGAAAGTGATATTTTGAAAATAAATGAGATAAATACAAAACTAAAAAGTAAAATGAACTATTTTATTTGATTGCATTAAAGACAAAATGAAATTTGATAAACATAGCATTATTTATTATAAATTCCCTAAATAATCTGTATTGAAAAGATAGCATTTCTCAATATTTAAATTTAATTATATCAAAACAATTTTTTGTTATTTTTATCTCTTCAGATCTAGGTGCCTCATATAAATATTTAGCATAACAAAATCATTTTAAATAATTCTAATATGTACATTCTAGAAACCAAAAGAAAATTTAATTGCATTAATTACATATAGTTATAGAATAATTATCTACAGACAATATCTAAGTATAAATTTAAAAGATAAAAATATTACTGTTTATATCACTATAATATTTTTACCAACTATTAATAAAAGTAATTTTCAAAACAATTCATACAGTTAGAGTTAAGAATAATAACTCAAATTTAAATCTCAAATATTAACTACTTAATGGACTTTTTGGTTGGGTTATAGTTACTATATAAATAACATTGTATTATTGAATTACCACGTTATTTTTGATTTGTATTGTCAGATATCATATTTTCTCGAGTATTTCAAATACTTCTAAGCATTAAGTAAATTTTTTAAATATAATTAGCACTACTTTTATTTTTTTACTATCTTCCGTCAAACACAATACAATAAGCTGAAATTTTATTTTAAAATTCTTAATCATTAAATTATAACACAATGCCAAATTCAACATGATAACATACTTTATTATAAATACAAATGATTTATTATTATTAATACCAAAAATATTAAAAGATATCTGATAATTTTTGTTTTAAAATAATTAATCCAATTTTTTTTTTTTCACATTAATTTAAGTATAGATTTTTGGTGATGAAACTTTACTAAATATTTATTTCCAGTGACATACCTATAACTTTTCAATATGATGGCTAATACCAAAAAAAAAAAAAAAAAAGTACTGATTTTCTTATAGTATTTTTTATCTAAAATATTAGTTATCATGGAAAATGGGGAGGACTTCGACTTTTAAGCTACCTCAGGATATGCTACTGTTTATCTATATTATTTAGAAAAACATAATCTATTGATTGGAAAATGTAGAATAAACTCTGATAACAAATACAATTATATTAGATGAACTTTTAAGTATCTATACTATATGTGTATATACATTATATTAACTTGTCGATTATAACATACAAATTGATTCAAGAATTTCTTGAACATTTTATTTTATGCTACAAAAAAAGTTTAATAATTGAAAAAATTATCAAAATGTATACTTATAAAGATACAACCTATCAACAAGTTTTTTCATATTTATAATTTTTTCAAAATTATCTTTATAATACAATAAAATATTATAAATGCAGTATTTTGTACAGCATATATGCAAGCAGATATATGTTAGGCAATATTTAAACAAGATAATGAGGTACACACAAGTATGATGAGAATATGTGGCCGAAGCAGATCGCTTGCGTGGGTACCAAGTAGAGGGTACACCCAATGAAGACTGTCGGCGAAGTTGTTGCATAATAGGTGGAGGTGAGAATACCCCAGAATAAAATGCACTTTCATCAAATGATAATGGTCGCTTATTTGTAGAACTACTGAAAGACATCCTCTTAGGATCCAGGTATCCTTCTAATGACACAGTAAGCACAGTGGAGGTAGGTGTTGGTGGTTGTAGGTAAGATAGAGTGGGAGGCTCATCTTCTAAAGGAGTATGAAAGCTCTGAAGAATTGAACTACCAGACAAATTGCGAGCAAGAGGAGCGAATGCCGTTTCTTCGGCTACACAAGTACATTATGCATGTATACAATTGGCACATTAAGTTCATAAAATAATAAATTAATTTTTATAACCTTAAATACATATCATACCATATATTTTTTATTTGTTTTTAAGAATCATTAATTTTAAATCAAAAAATCATAAATTGATATATTCCAAAAATCATTTTATGGGTACATGATTTAATTTTATATCTTATGAGATTTATCTATTGATATATAATTTCTACATTAAACTAATCAAAAAAAATTAATTGTTTCCTTGAAAAAATTAAATGAAAAATATCATAGTTAATTTCTCTTCAATGTAATTTAATTTTAATTTTTAGTTTAATTCATATAGTATAAGTAGATTCTACATTTTTCAAAAAAGAAGTGTATACATATTAAAAAGATGTAACTATATGAATCACTTACTGCAGAAAGGAAATAAATCCATTTTAAATAAAATATTAGTTAAATCTAAACATAAAAATAGAATTTAAATATTATATTCTATTATAAAAATAAGTAATGTTACTTTAAATGTCTACTTTTTGTAGTTAATCTATATTATAAATAATAAAAAATGATTCTACATCTCAGTTTATCTTGTTTAATTTAAAATCACAAAATATTTATATTTAGTATAATATTATGAACATTATTAAAATTTGAAATTTTTTTTATAATATTTCTTACTTTTATAATAATATCAAAAATATCACGTCATGTTTTCTACATAAAGGGTATAAGTTCATAAATTACATATAATAATTAAAGATATATTATTAATAATTTATCTTTTAAATTAAATGAAAAAGAATTGATTAAAATTGATTAAAATTGGGAACATAAATGTTAAAACATTTTTTATTATTTAACAATAGATGTTTAGTTTTCAAACTTTCCTGAAAAAAAGTAGATTTGTTCTCATTCTACAGTTAGAGATTGATATAGGCTAAATTACTCATAAAATAAAAAAATATTTTTGAGAATGTTTTTTAGGCTTTTTTTAGTTGCCATTAAATGAACATTATGTTGATATCCTTATAAAATATAAAGGATGGATAGAAAAAAGATAATAACCAAGAAATATATGTAACTAAAAAAAGACAAAAAGTATTCTTAAATTTACTTTTATTTTGTAAGTAACTGAGAGAAGTTATGATAGATAGGTTATTCTGTATATTAATGATGATAATATTAAATATATATATTTGACACAAATTTATTTTCAGATAATAAAATTATAATTAGTTCGATCTTTTTCATGAAATATATGTTATTATTTAAGGTCAAAATCAGGGAGCAAATCTTGGAAGGCTAAGTCTACAATTTTAATTTATTTGATTTTTGAAAATTGTGTATATTATTGTATAAAAATATATAAAGGAGAAAATAAGTTCAACTCAAAAATAGTATACTATTTTGTACTTTTTTTTTTTTTGTAGAAACAATTTTTTAACGTTTTTAAAAAAAAATTCTTTTTTGACAATGAGCTCCAAAATACTTATTAATATAAAGTGATATAAAAAACAAACAAAAATATCACATTTTTATACAAAATTTACAAAACAAAATTTTTTTATGGGTTAATAAGATCACATACATGTGCTGATATACTCGTTCTTACAACTTCATCGTACTGCTGACTAAGCTTATAATATTAACACAGTGACACATGTATTACTAACACGAGGGCGGACATTAACAATTTTGGGATTCATAGCCACTGTGCCATAATACGAATGACCCAAACGGCAGTTGACTATAATTGTGACTATTATTCATATTGTCGAAGATATTAATATAAATCAGCAACCACTTGTATAGTGCTTGTGTGTGTGTTGCCGTCAGTTCCCTTTTGGATTAATATCATCTCTAGGTATCCCAGCAAGAAGTATTATTTTATTTACTTCGCTAACTTCATAAACTATTATATCGTTGCATAATCAAGAGTTTTATATATTTTATAGTATGACCCTTGGTAGTTTCTCTAAAGGTATATAAAATAAATAAGAAACCTCAGTACCTAAGGTAGATATAGTCTAGCCAGCTATCCCCTGTTGGTTCCTTAGAATAATGTTGATGGGTATTAAGGCACAACCCTTAAATAACCACATAACAGGGTTTATCAAATATAAAAATCTGTTAATTTTATTAAACAAATATGCAATTAAAAAAATCTCAAGATTTGACATTCAAAAACAAAATAACATATTTTGTCACAGTTCAAATTTCACAAAAGTATTTCGAAAAAATATATAAATATACTACCTTTCAAAAAGAATAGTGCCATAATTTCAAAAAACAAATACAAGAGAGGCAAAATCAAGTTGAAACTTTTATACTATTAACGACAAATGAATTTGTTACAAGACTTTCATGAACCAACTTTTAATTTAAATTAATGAAAATTTCCAAAATCCTTTTTTTATTCATATTAGCTCAAAACAATTGAGTTATATTATTATTCTTGCTGATAGATAAAAAATATATATAATTTTGCATTGTAAAAACGATTTCATTAGTTGAGAAACTCACATAAATTGAAGATATCAAAAATCAATGAATAAGTATTGAAGTTAATTTAGAATAAACTAAGTTATATAAGTTTTTCATTGAGTTTTAAACAAAAAATCAAGTTTCTTATTTAAGAAATTATTATTAATCAAATAAATAAATAATATATTAGTTAAATAATACCAATTAAATAATTTAAAAAAGTAAGTTTAACAAATGTTATAATTTACTTTGTGTAAAAATTATTATATCTTCATAACAATTATAAGAATGGAAAACAGTAACAGAAGGCAAAAAACGAAAAATTCTATACTTAAAGGGATCTTTACAGTAGATTTATTAAGCTCTATCAACTCAAACAATAATAATAATAATAATATGTAACATAATTTTGCTATAAAATTAATATAAAGTTTAAAAAGTTCATTTTTGAAATTTTTTGAGTTATTAATAAAATTATTAATTTTTTTTTTTTTAAACCGTTAGGTTGGTTAATATCATTGGTATATCCTGGGATAATTTAAATGCAGTGGTTTACCGTTGCCTTCTGCACTGGGAACATGGTGCTTTTTCGGCCCCGTAGAAGCGCACGCATGGTCACCCATCCGTCCATCTACGGCGATAGGCATGGCTTAACACTAGAGTTTTATCAACAACTAGTGTGACCACCACGCCCTAAAATTATTATACTTGGATTTATTATTTATAATTTAGTTATTATAATAATACTTCAAATTCAAAAATATGGTAAAAAATAGTATGCTGCCTAATATTAAAATATAACATAAGAATTATTTTGGTACTGAAAAAACATTCAACAAGAAATAAATATTTACTGTAAAATACCTTTTTCATGTGATAAGGGATCTTTAGCTCCATATCCTTGTATTTTTTTCTGTGTTGCTTTGATTCTATCCATTTTAGATTTAATTTTTTCTAACACTTTACTTTCAGTTTCATGTTGCTCTTGAATTCGTTTTTGTGCAAGTTCTTGAATTAACTCTGCACCCCTACCAAAAAATAAAATACATATTAATTATTAAATTAAACAATAGATTTAAAAGGAAGTTCAATAAAGATTAAGATTATCTAAAATTAGTACAAAAATTATAAAATGTTAAAAAATTTGGAAACTAGAGCAAAAAATAAACTTTATGAATATGATCATGAAATTTTAAATTTATATACTTAGCACTTACTAGAAAATACTTTGAGAAACAATAAATAATTTTATGATTTTTTTTACCATTACTGTACAATCTTTCAATTGTATTATTACTTAATTAGAAACAAAAGCATTTTTTAACTATTAAAATGAGTCTTGCTAATTTTATTTACACAGTTAATATTAAACAAAATAAAAAATTGCGAATAAAACCCATATCACATGTGTGAAAAACATGAATTTGTAATTATTTTACTTAAGTATAGAAAAATTAATCAGTTAAAAAATGTCTGAGAAAATAAAAAAATATAATATGTATAAAAAAAAAATTATTACTTAAGACTAATATTATTAAAAATTATAAAATATATTTTTAAAACTAAAAAATGAATAAAACATTTTTTAGTAATTTTTTTAGATTATTGATTGAAATATTTTTTTATTTTTTAGTTTAAATTTAATATTTATAATTTTAAATTATAAGATGTAACTTAATATACATTTATAATTTAATATAGTCTTTTATTGTGTTCTTATTTTTTAAGCATCTTATAGTTTTCCTATTTATTTCTTTTTTTATTAAAAATATTAATGAAATAATTAATTTCTTTACATTTTAAGATGTTTGTATACACTATTTAATGATTTATGTGCATTTTTTAAATACATTTTGCCTATGCAATAAGTTATGCAAAAATGAATAAATTGAAAGGACTATAATTTACAGGGAAATGAAAATATGGACAGATTGAATCGTTTGATTAAATATAAAAATTAAATTATAGCATTTTTTTTTACCTTGAAGCTAGTATAGCCATTGCTTTTGTTTCATCTACAATTCTAAAAAAGTAATGACTGTTAAATAACCGTCTTTGAAATATTAAAAATCCAAAACATAAAATGTCCCATGCCAATCCAACGTGCTCAATAGGTATTTCACAATCGTCATTCTCTGAAAAATATATTATTTTTATAATTTTTGTTTTATAGAGCAAATCTAATTTCTATTTTTAAAATTATGAACACATACATAATCTTTTTTTGATTGACTGAGTAACTAATTAATTATTTTAAAAAATTTTAATTTTATAATCAATTACATCTACTACCAACCAATGTTTTACTAATATCAATGTTATCTAACAATTTTTATAAATAAACAATTTAAATTTAATCTATCAATCTAAAAAATGAAATACTATTTTTGTTTTTAATTATTACCTGATTCTAAAACAACAGGTTCATTGGTTGAAAATTTTTGAATACAAGATATACCAAAAAGTTGAATCATCCAGCATGTGTTTTTCTTCATGTAACTCATATACATACAACCAGGAATTTGTAAAATGGCTTTTAATGAAATTACCAAGATATTATACAAAATTAATTTATTCCACCTGAATTTAAATAAATATTTTAAAAAATTACTTAAAAAATTACAAAAACATTCCACTTACCATTTGAGAATTACATTTACTGGTCTTAAATAATAGTCATTTCCTTGCCATAAAAATATAAATGAACCAATGAGATAACCAAGTGAAAATAAATTCACTCTATTAGTACCAGCCAAAAATACAATAGCCAATGTGAACCATATAAATCCAATCAATACAACACGTTTTATAATGTCAAGCCATGATCTAAAAATTTTTATAATATTAATTATCAATAAATACATATGTTTTTACTATACAATTTAATATTTCAAGATATAGTAATTTGTAGCACCAACAGGTGCAAAAACATATACATTATATTTGGGCCATTTTATAACTGTAAAAAATGCATATAGTGCCAGACTGAACACTATTATAAAAGTAATTTATACAAGATTTGGTGTCTAATTTTATATAAGTGGAGAAATAAATAAAAAAGGTTAACTCTAATGTCATAATTAATCTTAATGTTCAATAAAAATAAAAATTATAATATAATAATTTGATATAAATATTAAATTAATGAAAATATGAATTATTTATTAAAATATCAGTTAAAATAGTCAATGAGATTTGTTTATCAAACAAATACCTGGAAAAATTTGTTTAAAAAAAAATTTGGCACAAATTGCATTTTATACATATTAGTGAGACACAAATTACATTCTATAGACAGTTCTCCCTTGTGGTGCAGATTATATAAATGGGTTTTTTTTATGATGTGCAAATTACCTAAACCCTTAGTATAAAAGTAATTTTTGGCAAAAATTACAAAACACCAGTTAATTCTATCATATTAGTAATTTTCTAAAAAATACACATTTTATATTCACCTTATATGAGAAACAAAATCAGGTACTGGATTTACAAAACTAGGTTTTTCTGCTTCTTCTATTATTGAACAATTGGTACCACCAGGATATTCACCATCAAGATGTGTTCTCTCAATTTTGAAAACAATCGATTGACGGGAGACAAATAAAAGTACAATGAAATCACCTAATAGTATATTTAGATATAAACACTAATTTGAAACATAGAAACACTAAATGAATAAATATTTTTACAGAGTAATTTGTATGAATTAGGTGGAGAATCTGGATCAGGTAAGAACATCCAATCTCTAAAATTACTCAAAAAATCGGAATTATCCCAAGGCCAATCTGTAATATCATAAAATATTAATTATTATGATGAAGACTCATAAAATACATAAAACATAATTTTGAACATTTAACTACAATAATAAAAAAAAAACATTTGGTGATGAGGTAAGGGGAGGGGTTAATTGCCCTACTTGTTCCAGTGGGGTCGTGGCATAGTTGGCACAAGTATAGATGATATCTGATAGTGATTAAAATCACTATTCAAAAGGAACGCTTCGATGCAAATCTATTAATAGTGTTTAATTTTAAAAAACTGGTGAATAATTCCAAAAGCAAGAAGGTTAATATCTTTAACTAGACACTAGTTGTGATAATTTGATGTATTGTTTATAAAAATGGGTCAAGTGAGAGCTGACCCATGTTTAAATTTTATTTCTACCTAAAAAAAAATTGAGAAAAAATTTAAAAAAGTTATTTCAATGGGCGGGGTTTGAGCCTCATACCCCAGCATGTAAGACTATATATTTACGTAGCCACCGTGTATTACATTAATTTTGAGCTAAAAATAACAATTTAAACTTGTTCAAAAATTCAAAGCAGCCTTTTTTCTAAACTTTGAGGGGTCAAAATAATAAAAATAAATTTATATTTATATTTAATATAAGTTAGGTTAATGTAAATTTTATAAAAATTGGTGAACTCATTACTATGGTAAACCCTTGTAAGATATTTTAAAACAAAATAATTTGAACACAAAAAAATCATGTTTTTTTAACTACAGCAGTCATTTGCACATAGAAAGTAGATTGTTGGGACAAATTTTTTTTTGGAAGAGAACGAGGGAATTTTTTTTCAATTTTTAAGGGAATGTCTTCAACTAAATACGATTTGTAATCTTTTGACTTATTGTTGAAAGAAATCGGTCCAGTGAGTGCTAAGAAAAAATTGCGACATAAAAAAAAAAAAACAAATTATAGTAAAATTAATAAAAATGAGGAGATCAGTGACAATAGGCGAAGACGTGATAGGAGAAGTGGAATGTTTTAAGTATTTAAGATCAGTTGTGCAAATGAGCAGTGGTATTGATGGGATGTAAGACATAGGATTAAGTGACGGTGGTTAAAGTAAAAAGAAGTGTCCGATGTGTTATGCGATAAAAGAATTTCAATGAGGCTGAAAGGTAAGTTCTATAAGACTGTATCGAGACCAGCTATGATATATGGTTCAAAGTGTTGGGCAGTTGATAAGAAAGAAAAACAGAGATGAGAATGCTAAGATGGATAAGTGGAGTGACTAGAGAAGATAAGGAACAAACATATAAGAGGGAGTTATGGTATAGCGTCAATCATAGATAAGATGAGAGAAAATTGTCTTAGATGGTTTCGTCATGTTATGAGGAGAGAAGAATCGGAAGCTGTAAGAACAGTTATAGAAATTAATGTTGAAGGAAGAAAAGATAAAGGAAGATCAAAAAAGAGATGGAAGGATGCTATTGAATGCGATTTGAGGACAGCTGATGTGAGCGTAGATGATGTGGGAGATCGTGTCAAGTGGAAGTTTAGGATAAGGGTGGCCGACCCTAAGTAGTTGGGATTAATGTGAGGAAAAATAAAATTAATACTTTCTCAGCTTTGCATCAAAGCTAAAAACTAAGTTTCACATTGCATGTGAACCACCAGTATACTGGTATACTACAAAAACTTCTACTATTTTTAAATATTTCTTTTTTTATAATTAATATATTCAAAACTTACCAAAACATAAATTTGGAGGTAATCCAATTACAATAGCATACTGAAGGGGAATAGTTACTACAATAAAGAACATAAAGACTAACCATAACTTAGCTAATGTTTCTCTAGAAAGCATAACAAAAAACAGTAACCAAAGTGTATAGATAACTGCATACAAATCCATGCGTGTACCAATAAGTATTGCAACAGAGATTAATGTTATCTAAAACATAAAAATATTAGATTTTTTATTCAAATATGACATAGTTTTAATTATTACCTCAACACCAAATCGATAAAATCCAAAGTTAAGTAGATATTTAAGACAATGAGGAATATCTTTATCAACATCTTTATATGTAATACCAGGAAACATTCTCAAAGGCTTTGCTAATGATCTACCTTTTAAATGTCTTTTATATTTCTGACGTGTAACTACAATTCGATGTAATGTAATTACAAAAACTATACCTAGTTAACCAAAATGTTTTTTATTAGTTTCATAATAAAGAGTTCAACTATCTAATTTAATATATAAGGTTAGTTCTAATTTAAAGAGGACGACTCATTTCACATTATATGCGAATGTGAAGTCTTGTTCACTACTAAGATCAAACTACTTGAGCAAACCTTTTCCTGAAAAAGAAGATTTTAAAAACCTAAGACCCAGAGAGATTTTGCTAAAATGACAGGACTCTATGGTCATCCATAGGGATGACTTGATGTACCACCCTTATACAATGATAGGTATAATGTAATAACACTTAGGTGGGTAAACTGAATCAAGACAATTTGGTATGAGGTGCGCACAATGGACCAACAGGTCTGAGTGCATGGTTATTATGTCAACCTCACTAATAACTAAAACTAAAACTAGTTCTAACTTAGATAATGACAAAATTTCAAAGTTGATTTAACACTGCAATTAGTGCAAATGTTTTAATTTCTACAAATAATTTAGAAATAAATAAATACACTAAAAACCTAAATTTATCTAATTGTAAAAAAAATTACTTATGTAGCCTTTGAGTAATGTGAGTAGTGAAACACCATCTGCAGCTTTTATAAATCCAACCCAGTTAGCAGTATTATAATACTTTATTGCTTTATCATTATTAGGATCCTTTTAAAATAAAATAATTTAAAATAATTATTTTTTTAATTAGGCATATTTTAAAAAAATTACTTACCGCGCATGTCACATTCCATGTACCTTCACGAATGTATTCAATTTGATAGATCATTTTGGCTAATAACAAAACAGACACATACACAGATATAATGTAAACAATAATAGATTGAATCCGACTATTGAAAACCAGTGAAATAGTTACTAACATAACCAGCACAAAATGAACCACACAAACCTATAAAAAATATCTTATGACACTAATGATGATAATAATATTAAGTAGTAACAAAAGTTACCATTATTTTATTCAATTTTTCAATACGTAAAATTTTTGTATAATTAAGATTAAAATTATAATTTAACATAGTAAATTTATTTAAAATTTAATAATATTTTAAAAATTAAATATACCTCATAAGCTGCCAAAAACATAACACATAGTAAAATAATTTTCATCATATGTAATTCTGCATACAACCAGGTCAATTCTATTATATAATAGAGATACCTTTTTATAATCTTGAAGAATGTGCTAAAATTTATTTTTGGGAGGTCTAAAATATATAAATATTATTTAGATAAATTAAATCAGATTAAAAATTTAGAAAAATACTTTTAAAAATTTTAAATGAATGTCTTTCTGAAATAAAGCTTGATCTGGCTAATCGCCGAATTCTATTCTCTTTCTCTTCTGCAGTTTCATTGGAATCAGTAGCATTTTCACTGTCTGAATACGAAAACTCATCATTTGTTTTTGATGGCTTTACAATACTAGTACCCCTGCAAGATTATCATAATAATAATCGAACAAACAAAATGTTATTTTTTATTTAATACATGGAAATATTTTACCTGCTTTTTATATCATATATAGCTAAAAAGTCCTTGTGAAAATAGTAAAGTTGAACTACAGTGATAATAACAAAAAAAGTTGGAGTCAAAAGCCTTATAAATAGTTCACCAGTTTCAAATGTCTCTAAGCCTATATCTAATTGTCTATAAAATGAATAAAAAAATTAATTTGGCTTAATTAATTTGAAAAAAATGTTTAAAAGATTTATAAAAAAACTCACAGAGTAGGCGGAATTTTCAAATATTTTTCCCAGTAATATGGAAAATGATCAAACTGATAAGTATAAGTCATAACTAAAATTAACATTGAATAAATTATGACTGTGAACCAAAATCCATACATCATTTTTCTCCATATCACCCAAGAGAGCTGTAATAAAGATTTAAAATAGCATCATGTAACTCAATAAATATACAAATAAAATGACATATAATTTTACTTGAAATGTTAATAAAAATACTAATGCCAGTGCCATGTAAATTATTCTAAATATTGTCATTCTTTCACCAGTGATTCCAATTCCAAACAATACAAGAGCAACAATCCAAATCCAAAACTTTGTCAAAATAATTTTAGCTTCCTCGCCAAGTCTTTGCATTAGTTGACTACCTTTTGTAATTGAATCTCCTCCCATAGCTATAACATAAATTATTAAATTGCCCATTAATAATAATTTATTTATAGTTATTTAAATTCACTGTTTATATATAAAGATATATATATATATATATATTTGCGTAATTATAGTGTTAATGTAGAATGGATAAGTTTTAGTTTAAAAATACGAAGTCTAACCTGTTGCAGTTCCAACTGTAACTTGTAAAGGGGCTATCATATTAGCTACAGCTGAATGACTTCTTGCTTCACGTCTTTCTTGCATATATTGTCGCAGAGTAATCCAAAACATTATAGTAAATAAAGTCTGATAAATAATAAAAAAATATGTTTATTAAAATCATAAATTACTATTGAATATAACTTATAACTTTTACTTTAATTAACAATGGTTTAATTGGATAATGAAGAATTTTTGTAAAACCAATTTGTTGTAAGTTCCAATCTTGAATTTTTTGTGGTAATTCAGAATCAGTTAAATTCATACAATACAAAAATTGTGAGAGCAATAAAAATTCTGCATAAAAAACTAAGAAAGGTGAGGAACGTAACATTGTTTTTCTTTGTTGAGGAACCATCCATGAAATACTAGCCCACAGTAATAATATAAATGTTAACCAACTATGATATGTTATACTCCAAGCCTATAGAATAAATACAAAATAATACCATTGTTCAAATCAAATTTATGTGTCAACATTATTTTTAAAAAAAATCTTACCATCATAACAATATTAAGGCCTATATAAGAAGTACGTGTTATAAATTGAGTAACTGTACTTAGTACATCTATGAGATAATAGAAAATATTTGACTTGAATTCTTCTAAAAAAGTTAACATTTATTACTACAATTAAAATTAAATTTCATATAAAAAGAATAATGAATTTAAAATTAAATAAATTACTTTCATCCATGTGATCATCTTTTTTTATACTAGAATCTTGTTTATCATTTTCATAAATACTACACGATGGAGTTTCAATTTGATTAGGACCAGTGGTATAAAGTTGAGATTGACCACGGATAAGCTATATTTAAAAAATAAAATAAAACATTTCATTGATTCAAACTACAAAATATAACAATGAAAACAGCCATGTTAATGTATGATGTACAGCTTTACAAAGTTTTTCTTTTTTTTTTGATTACATTAAAAATCTTTGTATAATTACCAAAAAAGCAAATAATAGTAAAATTATTAACTTCAATTCATTATAAAAAGTATCAAATAAAATAAATTAAAAACATAAAAATTAAAAAAAAAATAACATACAGCTAAATGTGCAAAATGCGGAAGCAATAATAATAGCTATTTATAAAAGTGATTTATCCTTCAGTGCTACACAACCTTCTACTGATTTCTCATATATTACTATACTGCTATGTAATGTTAACTTAACAAACAATATCTATACATTTCTAGTTTTAATATGGAGAATTGTATTATTGATAAATGACAAGTAATAATGAAATGAATTAATATACATGGTATATGATGTTATGTAACCCTCTGTCATAATGATTGAAGCAGGGTTAAACAATTTTTATAATCAAATAATAACATAAGAAGGATTCATCGATTTGCATTTTTTATTTTCAATTTAAACATATTAAATTGAAAATAATCACACAAATAATTTTAAAATCACATTACAAATGGTTTTAAAAACAATTTTATTAGCTAAATATTTCATTTTCATGATAAAATTATTTCATCTTTTGTATTATGTGTACTTTAAGCAAAACAAATTAATAACACAAAGTTAATCAAAATTAAAGCCCACCGCATTTTAGCCAGAATTACATTATTTGTGAATTTTTATTATGTGTAAAAATTGGTAAAATATTCAATATAAATAAATAACTACTATTAATCTAAAAATCATAAAATATCATTAACATCAGAATATACTTGATGGCTAGTTAAAAAACAATTTAAATCTCCATAAATTAAAAGTTAATTTATTATTTACCCATGATTCATCTAAGTACAATAGAAAAAAATTTGTTCACATATAACTTTTCAAAAATAATGTAAAACTGGTGTTAGTCATCTCTTACTTGTGGTACTACCAAATTTTTTTCTCAAATGCTACATTTTTCTTTACCTCTTTAAGCTGTACATCCTGTCAATTTTATTCACATTATTATAATTATTTGAAAAAATAAAAATTAAAAAACTTAAATACCATACACATACAGGTGTGCTTTCTGTTGGCTGTGAGCTAATTGCAGCATATGTTGAAGCAAGCATCTACAATACAAATTATAAATAACAGTGAAGTATACAGAGGAATTATTTACAACAAAAAAAGCAATGTTCTTAAATATATAAGTTTATCTTTGCACAAAATTATAATATTACTCAAAGCATTATTATAAAAATTTCAACATTATAAAATAATTTTTAGATAATAAATGCCAGCTCATATAAAAAATATAATTTTATATTAATTTTACTCGATTAAGTAGAAAATAACAATAACTATTATAATAGACCTTTATTTTAAAAGTAAATTTCTGATTTATTTTACTGATAAAATATGTAAAATATAAAAATACCTTCTTAAACACATTTATATACAAAAATTAATAAAATAATTGGAAAATCAATTAAAAAAATTAAGGTGCATTCTATTAATAAAACACACAATCTATTAAGTGTTTGATTATTACAAGTAAAAAGATGAACGCACACAAACTTTACGAGTAGCTGCACGCCATCGATTGGTTTTGTTTCGAAAAAAATATTTATTAGGACCTTTTTGAGACAAACGTACTGTAACTTGTCGAGTCATTCCTAATGATTTTAATTCAATATCCTGTAATTATTTTACTACTTAATAAGGAGAATTTTTATGAGATTAAATTAAATCCCGTTTTACATTTACAAAAAGTCGAATTAATAACATTGATAATTCTTTAATTGAAAAAAGCATAATGTTCTTTTTTTTATCAGTCTAAAATATCCTATAATAATATTATTTATTTTGTAAAAAAAAAAAAACGGAGTTTCAAAAAATTGAGCAATTTTAATTATAGTTTCTATAAACACAAAAATGATATAATTGACAATTGTATCTTATAAATAATATAAACATTCTTCTTTGGTACCCTAAATATTTAATTTTTTTATCATCTAAAGGTTTTCTTTCATAATAATAAAATAATCACTATTAATTATTTTACCATAGATAACATATTGGTGTTAATGAAAAAATTTATTAGTTAATTTTTAGTTTTAATTAGTTTAAACACACACAGAAAAAAATTATTTCTCTGAAAATAATTTTTTTCTAATAATGACTTATTATAATATTTTTTTTTTTAATTAAATCAAATAACATATAAAATTACTTTTTACCTTAAAAAAACTTACAGATAAAAATTCAACATAAAATTTAACTATAGAACACTAATATAAAAAAAAAAAACAATTAAATGACCATTCAAAATATTGTGATAATTGAAATATTTTTTTTTTTTTTTTATGCGTGTTAATATAGCCACAAAATATATTTCATTTGAAGCATTTAAATATTGTATTTTATCTAACATTAAGATGGCGACTGTATAATCCACTATGCCATACTAGGACCCGATCATAAGATATATAAAAATTTTTTTTTTTTATTACAAAAATTAATTTACTATAGTTATAATTATTTCTCTGTGAGACATTAAATATTAGTCACTGTATATATGTATATACAGGTTGATTATTTATCATTGACCACTCAATTACTAATAGTATAAAAATAATTTAAATTTAAAATCTGTGATCCCATTTGAAAAAACAAAGTTGAAACCCTTACAAGGTATAAGGTATAAACTTAAAAAAGTATTATGTAGCTAATAAATCAAAAATAAAAAATACAAAGAGTACAGTAAATAAGGTAACAGGCCAGTTTTTTTTTTAATCTAAGCTTTGGAAGCTAGACCATTAGTTCACTAAAAATTTTATTTATAGTTAAAAAATGTTATGAAAATTAATATTATAATTAATTATTAACAGAGTTTGTAACTTTTGATTTAACCATTTAAATTATCATAAATAAGAGCAAAATTCATAACTAGGTAAAATAGGAAAACAAAAAAAAAATTTGTAAGTTTCTTAACCCCCCAACCTCTTTCCTATTTATATGTTTTAAGTTAAATAAATTATTAATATTAAATTCAATTAAAAATATGTTCAATTGTATATAAGTTCTTTGAGCATTACTCTAACAAAATTATAAACGCATAAACTTATGAGCTCTGATTATCAATAATAGTTCAATTAACTAATAATATAGTTTTAATAAGAATTCACATTAAATAATATAACGCCAATGAAATTAAAAAAATAATTTTATAAGTTTTTAAAAGTTAATGGATAAAAAACTATTTTTTGTACAAATATTAAAAACATTTATTACTTACTGGATTATTAAGGATCAAAAGAGACTCAAACCATAGTAGATAATGGGTTGTGACTAAAATTACAGGTAATGCATACATAGGCCATTCCAATTGGGTGAAAATTACTACTACATGGTTTGTGCAGATAGTTTGTCTGATTGCAATAAGTCCATAATATCTATGAAACAAATAAATGAATGATTTATTTTCATATTAACATAAAATGTATAAAAATATAATCTAAATTCATTCTTTTCACAATTTTTTGGTTAAAAAAAAATTAATTTAATAAAATTAACTGAAGTTACACAAGAATCTTATATAAACTAGTAACTCTTTTAGCTTCGATGCGAAGCTGAAAAGGTATTAATTTTACTATGATGCGTTTTTTTATTTGTGTCTGTTACCACTTTTACTCAGCTCTCATTGAACCGATTTCTTTCAATAATATGTCAAAAGATTACAATTCATATCTAGTCGAAGATATTACCCTCAAAAATTAAAAAAACTTCCCTCGTTCCCCGTAAATGGGGGAAATCTCCAAGAAAATCACAAATTTTAAAATCCCTAATTTTAGACATTTTTTCAATTTTTTTTATTTACTGCCATAACTTTTTAAAAATGACTAAATCAATATAATTTTTTTTAATATAAATATGTGAGGTACTTACCTATTATTTTGTATATTTTTTTTATAATTTTGACCCTTTACCTGCCCACAGGGGAGATTCAAAATGACGTGTACCTGGGCTCCGTGTGTCCGTGTATTCTAATACCCGTTCACAATCGCGACCTCTAGTATTTAGTATTTAAAAAAAAGAACGGAGGAAAAGTGTGGTTGCTGCTATTTTTATCATTAGACATTCTCGACCGTATTCCTCATTCTGACTAAGTATAAAAATCTAAATAACTTTGAAAGTACTGGTTTAAAAGTTATTATTGACCAGTAATTTTCTTACTCATATCATTTTCTATTTTATCACATTTTTTTTTCAATATTGTACTAATTTTATTAGTAATTGAGTGGTTTATGATAAACTGTTCACTCTGTATACTTTTTATTTTAAATTTTATGACTGATTAATTTAAAATTACATTATAAAAATAAATCAGTTTGTAATTTTCTACTTAGAAACATCTTATTGTACAAAAACTTTTAAAAAATTAGAATAATGTTTCTAATTCCCCAGTTATAGAAATTATTTGTTAACTATATAACACTGCACTTATTACAAAAAATAGAAGTTCATTTTTACCTAGCAATAGGTGAATCTGGTGGTAGGAGTAATTGAGCCCATTCCATTTGATAAACAAAGAGAACAATAATATGAAGACATGCAATTAAACATACAAAACGAAACAAATATGCAAATCCACGACTTATGGGATGACAACATGACCACCAAGTCATAATTCCTATGAAAGTAATGTAATAGAATGCACTTATAATTGAAGGTACAGAAATTGCAGCAAAACAAATGGCAACAAGACATAAATATTTTCCTGAAAAAAAAAATAATATATTAATAAAAATGTGATGGAAACTGAATCAATCAAATAATTATATTTTTATTCTTATGAAAATATTATAATATTATTTAAAGGCAATATGGTAATATATATTGATTAAATATCAAAACAAAATTTTTAACACACAAAAAATACAAATAATTTTTCATTCAAATAAATATTAACTTCCATTACCAATTGAAATAGCAACACATAACAAACTGTTTTGTTGATCTGATTCCCTTATATCAGAATTTGAAACTTCCATGAAATTTTCTGATATTTGGTAATTTCTGTTGTTAATTTTAACTAAAACCCTTTGAATAATAGTGGAAGTACATATCATTATGAATTCTGGTAAATAAAACAAACATAGTTGAATTATATCTAATTTTGATATGTCAATAAAACCAATATGTCGAAATAATCTTTCCATATTACTGCCTGAAATTTAATACAGAGTTTAAAATGATGATTAAATGAATTATTTTTTTTTTTAATTTCAATAGAAAATCAACTATTGCTATCTAGACCTGCACTATGTTACATTTAAATCAATAAAGGTTTAACAGTAATTTTACAAAAATTCATATTTACTAAATTATTAAATAATTATTATTAATATATAATTAAGTTACAATATATAATTAAGTGTTAAAATATACTATCAAAAATAATTAATTATATTTTACTATTTTTTTGAATAGCTAATTTTCCATATTTTAAAGAGAAATAAGAAATTTGTTGCATTTAATGATGATAAAAGGTAACAAAGAGTAATAGATAACATAGGCAAAAACTATTTTGCTGTCTACATATCTAGATGAATTCTGTATCGATTTTCAACCCTGATACCAGATCTAGCTTAAAATTTTTTCCATTATATCTAATTTTTGAGATAATTAAAAATTATTAATTCAGCATTAATTAAACAATTATCATTATTATTTATTTTCTAACTTTTTAAATATAATTAATACTTAGTCACTCAGTTTTTCAAATAATTGTAAAGTCATAAATATTTTGCTAGGTATGTTTGGTTGTTCAGTTTTATATTCAAAAAAACTACGCCAAATTTAATTACACTATTGTTTTAAGCATCAAAACTCACAAAAAACTGTATTCAAAAACTTATTCTTTTCTAATTTATGAATTTTACATATATTTTTTTCATAATTGTGCTCTTCCTAAGTCATTTTTTGAAAAAAAAAAAATTATATTTTTGAATTCCTCATCAAATTATTTTTTTAATAGTAAAAATTCATAATTATGAGATGTACCCAAAAAAAGTTACAATGGAAATTTCAGCTTTTCTCTTGAAAAATATCCTATCAAATTCAAATTTAATTGGGTGTAAAAATGATTAAAATTGATAGAAAAGTCCTTAAATTTTTAGAACTTTTAATTAGCATCATTAAATTATATTAGAAAAGTTTAAAAAATTATTTTTAAGTTTTTATAATGATTTACTTGTTTACATTTAATGCTTTATTGCTAATTAGTAATTATAACAAAAAATAGATACAATGGAAAAAATCTGATACCAGAATCAGAATCAGTATTCAAATTACTTATGCAATTCGCTTATATTGTCGACAACAGAAAATGTATCATTTATGTTGCCCTATTATACTTTGTATAGTTTATACTTACAAGCTGGTTCTAAAATTTGTGCATAGGGTTGCATTACAAGAACAATAACTTGAAATATAAGTTGAACAAATGCCAAAAGCCAACTTATAGCTGTGACTAGTCTTAAGAAGAATCCTGGACTTCCTATAAAAACATGTTTCATCAAAACTATATCTGTACATAATATGAAAAATGATCTCATATTAAAGTTGGATAGTTATACTACCATTTATATTGTTTGGAGTTGGTGTTTTGATAATTGGAAGATATAATAGTAAAAAAAGATAGATACCAGTCAATGCATTTTGTTTCAAACAAACACCTGAAAATATTCCAAATTTAATATTTTTGTAGCTACTGTAGTTAAATTAATTTTTCGTATTTTCTGAGATTTGTTTATTTACTATAACAATTAGTTTAAATTTTCCTATGCAAAAATAAAACTTATAATGAACCATAATTTTTTCAATAATATTTATGTATACTTTTTAAAAATAGCCTTTAAATAAGGGTCATTGGCTTCTTATTTATATTTAATGTTATATAATTTAAATATTTTTATAAATAATATTATAAATATTTAATGCACTACTTTTATTTTTCTAGTATCTCATTATAAAATATAATTATTCAAATATAAACTGTAATTAGCTTTACTAATATATAATTTATGAGATACTATTCATTTTTCATTATAATAACTATAATGTATAATACATTTGAGTAATGTTATTCATATAAAAGTTTTTTTTTTAATTAATTATTAAAATATTGTAGTTTATGATAGTTTCATTATAAAAATGACAAGTATTAATGTTTTCAGTTAAACTTTTTAAAATGATATGTTATTATTAGTTGATTAGAGTATAGCATGTATACAAATTCATAATTAAACACTGTGTTAGGAATCAAATGACATAATATATTTACATTGCATTATTTAATTATATTTTCCATCATAATTTAAAACCTTGATAGTTTAGAGTTATTTTCAAGAAAAATAGGTATTTATTTTGACAGTATTAAAATTACTAGTGGCTACAAGTAAAAATGATTAATATTCAAATTTTTAAGCTTAATTTTGGAACCAAACTTAAAGTATCTCTACACATAAACAACATATATTCCATATATATCTTACAAATATATGATAATTTATGATTTAGCAATAAAATGTTTAAGAAGGTCAAATTTCAATCTATCCCAAAATATGGCTACCAATTAATAATATTAAATATTATTCATAAGTATAATAGACATGCATTAATATGTATTAGTTATACAAGTGTCTCACCATGTTCAGATAAATCTTACTTAAAATCTACTGAATATTTTTTTAAAAACTTATTAAAGCCTAGAACTATAATGATACAAATAAAGATAGTCAATTTATAAAGCAGATTATAAGAAATAATTTGATACCAAAATCTATTTTTATTAATTTTTTATTTAAATTTTTAGAGCATTTTGAAGTTTGTAAAAATTAAAATTGATTTTATAGTATCAAACGTTGACCAACGCGCATCAAACATAATAGAAGTAACACTATATTTACACACTAATTATTGATATAAGTATAGAAATTTTTAATAAAAATTATCCGTGCTTAAATGAGCTTTTCTGGATGAAGTCAAAAAAAATAATATTTATTTCTAATTTTATAATTTGAATAATTTTTTTTATTATCTGTATTTGTGGTATAAATAAAATATTCATAAATAACTATATAGTTTTTTTTGGAATTATATTTATCTTAAAATTAATATTAAGAACACATAATGTAGGATTAAATGACACAAAAGTACTTGGATTATAAAATTGTACTTATAAATTTGATAATCATAACATTATTAGCATAATTATACCTAAATATAAGCCATTTCACAATTATATAAAAATATTTATCAATTATTAATTAAACAACATTAATTATACATTTTAATCTAATAGTATTTATAAAATTTTTAGAGCTCATACAAATGTGGGTAATTTCCATAGAAAAATCCTATAGATATTTCATAAAAACTGTGTTACTATTATCCTTGTCTAGTGAGCATAGATCAAAGTTTCATACCATAAAATAAATACAAAAATACTTGAATTTTTAAACATTTCAAAATGCACTAAAAATTTAAATAAAAAATAATAAGAGATTTTGTTACCAAATTAATTCTTATAATATACTTTATGGGATACAAAGATAAAAAGTTTTCACACAGTGTATTCCAACCAATTTTCGGAATGACTAAAGATTTACTAACTTTGACTGCTGTTCTGCAATTCTAATTTCTTAACACATATTGATCTCTTCATTTCAAAAAAAATATTTTTTTTAATAAAATAAAAAATAAAATTTTATTATTAATAAACTTAGGTATAAATAAAATTCTTCCAGGTCCAGCTTATTTAGAGGGGCTTACAATTTTAGTATATAGAGTGAGATTATACCTGAACTTTAACAAGTTTGTAAAAATATAAATAACAAAAAATAATTAATAAATCAAAAATTATAAGGTTAAAACATTGTAAGACAACCTGTAAATCATACAAATATTAATACAAATATATTACTTATATTAAAGCAAACTAAATTTTTAATCTATATATGTATTTTTGATACAGGTTAAAAATTGAATAATTTTGCCAATACAAAAAATAGACCATATTTTATTGATCATATTGTTCCTCAAAACAATATGGCTGAGACGATAACGCAGCAGTGCCTGATGTGCAAAATATTTAACTGTTATTAATAATAATAATAATAATATTAAATGAATCTATTATATAAAACATAACTATTTTAAGTCAAAATTCAGTTTAAATATAAAAAAATACTTACATGTTAACAAACTTAAAGGTAGTATTATATGAAAAAGCAAAAGTGATATGATAAATTTCTTCATTGTTTCTGAAATTACAAAATTGAAAAATTCATATTATTTTAAAATAATGCAAATAAATATTTTCCCGTGCAATATGATACTTTTTTTTCTGGATACAAGCCAAAGTAATAAATCATCAAGTATATTCTGTTATAAAAAATAATAAATTAAAGGTTAACTAATAAACATAAAATAAGAAGTTAAGAATAAAAATTGAGTGTTTTGTAACATTAACTTAAATTGAAAATAATTTATTATTTAAAATACTGTTATTTGAATAGTTATTTAAATTAACATGAATAAAAAAATTTAATTTTATCAGTAAGAGTGAATTGTATTCCACAACATTATTAACAAGAAAATAAAAATAATTTTAAATAATTCGTACATGCCAATAGATTTTCAGTCTTGGAAACTCGTTTATTTACATTACAAAAACAAAATCTAAAGAGATTTAGCTTAACAAGCGTCACGCAGGTGTCATCGTTTGAAGCCTACTGACCGTTCAATAAGCACGAGAACTCTCAAAAACTAAAATTATTATAATAGATTATACAGTATGGATTTTTAATTTTATAAAGTTCAAACCGCACTCGTAGTTGTTAATGTTATCAATATTGTTATTGATGTTTTGGACAGGGGCTCTCAAAATAACCATTCACTTTTTATCGAAAAATAATGATTCATACTATGAACTACTAAGATGGTGTTGATACGTATCTTTATAATTAATGCGATTATAATGTTGTCTATCATTAACTGATTTGTAAAATATACTATCAATTCGTCATCACAAAATGATGTAATATTATATATAGCACATATAAAATTAATTTCAATGGAACACGATAGCATTAGTTAAAAACATATTGCATAAATAACATAACACAGCAGATATTTATTCAAATTTTCCACGTGATAACAAATCACTAACTGTTAAAAATCCGTCGATTGCCACTAGATGTCGAACATTTTAATATTTTTTCTATGATTTAGGTTTTGCGGATTTGTACACAGTGACTGTTCGTTTTTTTTAATAACATTTAAGTTTTGTACAAAACTCATAGTTAATTTCAATAATATTGTCTTTTATAGAAGTTGTAATAAACTTCTATAATTTGTACTAATTAATATGTAGGAAAAAGAATAACAAGTCATTTTTTTTCTTGGTGAACTGATTACTTTATTAGAGTCATGTCGTTCGTAAACGAACCATGACATAATATATCTATATTGTTGAAAACTTTGATTAAAATAGAGGAATCTAATTTATTATGTTCTTGTGCGTTTTATTTTTTAATAGAAAATTATGTCGAGACTTACTTAATATTATAATAAAAGAATCCCGTTAATAATTTTTCAAGAGATATGAATATTTAAAATTTAATAAACGTATATAAATTTGGTATATAATTATTTTTAAAGGCATTTAACAATCACAGAAATAGAAAATCCCTTTGTCTAGGTTGCACATGGTTACAATAAAACCAATAACAAAAATGTATAAATACATTCTTATGTAGCTTTCAATACATAGTATTGTTCTAATTTTTAAAAATCAATTTTAGAAATAGTTTGGAGGGTATTTAAGAATCAATCCCAAGACTTTAGGACAAAAGAAAATAAATGTTAATCACAAATGAACTATATTATTAATTGTAAAAAAAAACTAATTAGTTTATTATTTCTGAAAATATTTTTTATTAATAAAAATAAATAAACAAAAAAAAATGTTTTTCACTAAAATATTAATTAATACTATGATGATATTTTTAAAATAATTTTTCCGCTACTTTTGTTAGTAACAAAATGTTCTAAAGCTTCATTAACCCTTTCTAAGTCCAGTATTTCAGAAATATTTGGACTTATCATACCCATTTTACACATAGTTAACACATCTTTTACAGATTGCCTGCAATGATACAAGAAAAATAATAAATTAATACATATTGTTATACATATAATACACAGTAAATAAAATAGCAATTAGAAAATTTACTTTAAAAAAATTGTATTTAAGTTTATCAATAAATATGCTTTCTGTATTACCAGTTGGTGTATTTATAAACTCATAACAATGTGCAATACTACCATAATTAAAACATATATGTATACACCAATTATTTTTAAAACCACAATAAGTGGTTACAACATGACTAAAACTTCATATGAATTAAAACAAAACAATTAATCTATTTCAACTATAAAGAATTTAATTTCAAAATAAATTTGAAAATCAAAAAAATATCAGAATTAACATAATATTTTAGAGTTATTATTATTATTCCATTTATCTTTAAAGTCCTGTTTAAAAAGCTATTCTTGCATTAGAAATAAAAGGTATATATAGCGTAAAAGCATCAAAAATCTGTACTTGGACACCAAGGTACCATTCATTACCGACTAAGCATGGTAGACCGTCTAATATATTCCTATAATGTGTATATTTTTCAAATTTTTATAAAGGTCTTTTAAAAATTTAATCATATTCACTTAAAGCCATTTTCTCCGGGACCAATGAAATTAAATACACAACTATAAAATTGTAAGTTATAAAATATTATTTAAAAATGAAATATCCCAAATGATTATTTGTCACATCATAATATTGATTAAATTGTGTTGAATTAGATATTGTCATTGAGAAGTTTAATCAAGAGATATCATTATTATATCCCAATCCTCTATCCTAACTAATTGGGATTGGCTCTATTTTTACGATTTTTTGGAATTTTTCTAAAAGATAAGACGTGGGTCACTACTCAAACCCGAGGACCGGTTGGTGCTCAGGCGGATGACCATGCTCCAGTGGCGGACTCGCCTCTGGAAGAAAACTACGAGAGGCGAGTGGAACAGGTCTTTCATAGGACCCACGGTGAGATTACATATTGTTTCACTCAAGTGATGTCAACCACGACTGCTTTACTTATACCGTATTCGCAAAGCAGCCGCGACAATGTTTGGATCGCTTGAGAGAGGCTGATAGCTCTCTGCACACCTTTAGGAGCACGACTCTTTAGAGTCCCGATTAGGGTACAAGTTCCGTATCGGGTCCATGGAGGACCTGATGTTGAGAAATCGAAAGGCGTGAAGGCTCGTCTAGGCATTTACTGATTCTGTCTTGAAAAAAGAGGAAGCGGAACGCCTAAGCCATGCCGCCTAGCACAGGAGGACCTGAGGCAAATAGAATTTATTATTCTGTTAGTAATTGAGTGGATTATGATTAAAAAATGCTACCTTGTTTAATTAACTAGTTTATTTAATAGATAATGATCGAATTAAGAAAATGATTGATCAATAATAACAATTTTTGAACCAGTATTTCATTATTTTCAGATATTGAAGTATTTATATCTAGGGAAGAGGAAGAGAAATATCTAGTTTTAAAAATAGTAACACCTACTCTTCACCTCCAGGAATTATTTTACATTATTGATAACTTCTGAAATTATAAGCTAGTTAAAAATATATATTGCAAATTGAATAATTAAATTACATATACTAAAATATAAGGGATGAACATATTTCATAATTAATAGATTGAGAAAAACTTTGAACTACATGAAACCAATAAAAAAATTACAATAAATAAATCACACTGTATATCTTAATTATTTTCATTAAATCTGAATACCTGTAAATTTTTGTAGAATGGGCTCGATAGTTATTCAGTGATACACCAATTAGACTAAATGATGGACGTTTAAGTAATTCATCAACATTTAATTGAGGAATCTGTTGAGATGAGAAACCACCTACTACTACTTTTCCTTCATGACCAACGCTATTAAAATAAAAAATCAAAATACATTTATTTAATTTAACTGTTTAAAATGTAAAAATGCATTTATTATCTATAAAACTCTATTGAGATTTGTTACCATCTATCTAGAAGTACAATATCTTACCAGTCTAAGGCTGATTGAAATATTTCACCCCCAACTGCATCAAATACAACATCAACACCTTTACCTTCTGTTTCTTTTAAAACTGTTTTACACATATTTTCAGGGCTTTTAATTTCAAAAGATATAAATGCTCCTTTATCACGAACAACTGAAGTATTTTGTTCCAAACGACATGCTCCAATAACCTGAAAAATAATATCAACACTAATTAAAAAAAATAATTGTAATAAATTTAAAAATAGCTCAAATTATTTGTATAACCTTAGCTTTACACATATTTGCTGCAATATCAACTGCAGCCAAACCTAAACCACCAGCAGCAGCTGTAACTAACACAGTTTGGTCTTTTTTTAAATTGGCACGACGAGACAATCCTATTAGTGCTGTTGCATAACTGTCTCCAATGGATGCTGCAGATTCATAAGAAAGTTCGGATGGAATAGGAAATACATCCTAAAAATTAAAAATTACAAAAAAAGCTTTCAAAACAAGGAGATTTTTAATTAACAAATACAAATAATATAATACTACATATTATTTTTTAATAATTAAAAAAATATATCAACTATGACTCAATAAAAGTTAATTTTGATAGAAAAATGAATTATCATAAAAATGAATGCATTAACGCCTAGTTTTAAATATATTTTTATTAAATAGTTTAAAAAATGTATGATATGTTGCAACAGTTATTATTATTTATACATACTTTTTCATCTACTATACATTCATTGGCAAAACCACCAAGTATATCTTTATTTAAAACTAATACACGATCACCAACTGTAATGTCTTCTTCTTGATCATCTGAATTAATTGCTTTTGATTCTATAACATCACCAGTTAATTCAAATCCAGGAACAACGGGTAAATTATACTGAGTTTTAGATGCACCAGAATACAAAAAAAAATCGGATGCATTAACGCTGCAATATTTAACTGCGATCCTTAACTAATAATTTTTTTCATTATTATCAGTATTAATTATCATAGTTTATACATACATACTTGTCCTTCTTTAAGTTTATCAGGTAATTTGTAATTTTGTATTAATAATGGTTCATTAAAAGCGTGCAAAACAGCGGCTCTAATTAATTTACTCATTTTTTTTAACGTAATTTTCGTCAAACATTCAGAAAATAATTATCCGGTATCATACTCATTCATTTTTGTTAGATAAAAAAATTAAATATTGATAAACTGATATCTGAGTTTTAATACTAGTTTTGATAATGATTCTCAACACGAGCTAAAATTCGTCTGTGAAAGTTAATATAATTATAGAAAATCATATACCCTTTATCTGATCTAGGTAATATTTTTCATAAGCTATGAATCCGTTTGAAAATTTAAAAATATCAAATCAATGGAGAGATCTATTTCATATTGATAACCGTCAACCTTGTACAAATTGCTCAAAATCTAGAAAATATTTTTGTTATACTTGCTACACTATAAATTCAGATTTAGAAAATATAATTCCAAGGCTCAAGGTGAATAAAATATAAAAAAACTTAATTATTTAACTCAAATATAAAATATGAGTTATACTCAACATGTCAGTAATTTACAATTAATTCAGCTAGAAGGTTTAGATTGGGTTGGTTAATTTTATTCCTTATGTCTAGACTATGTAAGTTCCTTATTTACTCTTCCTCGTAAAATATCTTTTAAGAAAGATGTTTAAATATAAATATATAATATTCATTATATATTTTGTACTAACAACAAATTAAACTGTTTTTTAAATGTTTATAACTATATAGCTACCATTGAAAATTGATATTATAAAACACAGCCGAGAAATACCAGGTAAAAGTACAGCAATTCATGCAGCATTATTGGCTCCAGAAGATGTAGCCATTTATATTTATCCAGATATGCCCACTTATACAAAAAATGATAAAGTAATTTTTTTTTTTTTTGTATTTAAATTACCTACCCTTAAATAATCAAGATAGCAAATAACTTAAAAAATAAATAATAGAAAATATAGTATATTCAAATTTTTCAACTTTAATATAATAAAGTATATTTAGATATTTTGAAATTTTAATAGCTTATTTTAATTTGAACTTTAAGGGTTTTTGAAAATTTTAAATAAAATTTGCACAATTAACTATTTTACATAATGATATTTTTATGTACATAAAATAACTGCTGTTGAAACATGTTTTATGAGTATTACATTTTCAGGTAATCCTGGTTTACCCTGGAAAATCTTCTATTAGTCTTCAAGAATTCTACAATAAAGCCAAAAAGTAATTATTTAATATAATGTTTAAACTCATTTACTTCAAAAAATGTGTAAAGTTATAAAAAAACTATTTATTTTATGTTTATTGACTTATTATGTATACAAGTAACTCATTGACTATAAAACAATGGTCTCATATGTGATCATTGTAAAAAAAAAATATTAAATATAGGATTTTAACTAAAAGTAATATAATTTACTTACATTGCATTACTTAAATAGACCTTGTGTCTTGGAACCTAAACATGGCCAGCAACCACCACAATCGAGTGATGAAGAACATTTAATGCGATCATTGCGATTCCACATATAGCAAAACTGATTTTTGCTGTAATGGGTTATGCAGAAACCATCTGCAAAACATTCATATTCTATCTTACATCCTGTAAGTTTTTTAGCTGCCGAAAAACCTGAAATTCTAAATAATTAGGATATTTTTGCTCAAATTAGTTTTTATATTAATTTACTCATAACAGTTCGTCCTAAAGCTACAGCTACATATGACATGAATCGCCTATGTCTTTGAGTTAAAAGTTGATAAGATAATTTCTGTTCTTTTTTTGGTTGTAAATATATAATTTTTGAGGAACCAACTAAAAAATTTATTATAAAAAAATTAATTAAAACAATATAGAATATTCGTGACATCTTAATTTATAAAATTATTTTATAGATCTACACTATAAGACTCAATCTTACATTCTAACATACATATTTATCAATAAATTTTGTTTCGTAGCAATATCATTGGCCATATTTTATTTTTATAGAATTCCTGTAATATAATATTATTTCTATCATCATTACAATAAATTATTTGTTATGTTCTCCATTTACTATCATTTAGTATATCATATTACCATTGGTTCTAAAAAATTTAAATTAGTATTTCAGCTAATCAACTTACACTTTATAACATTTGTAAACTACAATTTTTTAAATAATAGTAATATCACCTTAACACAATAAAATTTTCTATTTTTTTTTAAGGCTACCAAACTGAAGAGCTAATTCCCCTAACGAAACCTGTTTTATTACTTTTAATATTTAAAAATTCGGAAATATTTACTTTATTCAATAACTTGAAATAAAGTTTTTTAATTATAATAGAAAAGTTAGAACTATTATTTTTAAATATGAATAGTTTGTTTTTAAAAAATGGAATCTACACCTCAGAATCTTTATTTTTCTTGAAAATATTCATAAGTAAATTAAAGGATCCCGTATAGTCATGCCTATTACTTTTTGAATTATTTTTTATGAAAATCATTTTGCATACAAATTACCTAAATTGTTATTGTTTATGTGTCACAGAAGTATACAAAATAAGTTACATAATATTTATGAAGAATAATAATTGTTAATACATTATATTTTTTATTTTTTTTTTAGACAAAAAAAACTGAATAATGATGATTTTGATGATAGTTTTTCTGAGATTATTACTCATGCTCTGTTTATTGATAGCACTTGGAGTCAAAGTAAAGGAATTTTAAAAGATCCTAAACTATCAGGTAAAAATTAAACAAATGAAAATGTAATTTGTTATCTTATTTGAATTGAAATCTATCTGTTATCTTAGGTTTACCATGTATAAAATTACAAATAAGATTGTCTCAATTTTGGAGACATCAAAAAGGAAGTCCTAGATGGTTTTTAGCTACTATTGAAGCTATTCATCAACTATTAATTGAATACACTTTAGTCGAAAATCAAACACATTTATTAAATAATTATGATAATATATTATTTTTTTTTCGATTTATGTATGAAAAAATTCATCAGTTATATGAACATGAAAAACTTATGTCATACAGACGACCTGTAAATATATAGTAAAATATATTTATTATATTAATTAAAATCATATATTTCAAAAATATATATATATATTTTATAAGTAACATTATTGGTGTAAAATGTTTTTTTTCAAAAGCTAGTTTGCACTGGTTAAGCTAAATTTAAAGCTAATAAATTAAACTTTTTCAAAAATTAACAATTTAAGTGTGCCAATCATTATGAAACAATAGCATACATAATTTTTTTTCAAATAAAATATTTATGAACACATACACAAACATTAAAACATAAATAAATGTGTGCGTGTGTATACATAGTGAAAAATTAGATAGTATTAACACTTACAATTTAAATTTAAACAGTAATAATAATAATAAAAAATAAAAAATCAATATAATAATAAATATAACAATATCTAATTGATATTGAAAAAAACATTATACATTTAGAATAGAATTACTTTAAATATTCTAATATACACAGTCTTAAAAAAATTACAAAAATAATGCGGAACATAAAATAAAGTTTAAAAAATAAAACAATTATTTTTTTACTGTTAGTGATTTTTTGAAAAGCCCTATTATTTAAATTAAACAACTAAATTATAATATTTACATTTAATTTAAACTTTAAAGATATTAAAAATATATAGGTCTTCAGTTGAACAAATGACATAGATGGTTCATTATGATATACCAAAAGAACGACACTGTGTATTATTGAAAACAATAAAAATTATACCTATAAAAAAAAATAAAGCTATTAAGTCAAATTAAATTTATTACAACATAAAATAAGATTTAAGTATAATTTTTGTTAAAAATAAATGTATGGTAAAAATGAATTCTAGAGAAGGTAATAAGAAGAAACCTTGAGAATGCCACTTCATCATAACATAGCTTTTATACTACTAAATTTATTATATGAATTTATTAATATAGTACTACTACAAGTATTTATTATAATAATAGAATCAATAAAAACCAATTTATAACTACTTCATTCATTAATATAAAACTAATTATATTAATATGAAGACAATAATATTAATTTACCTCCAATGATGAGCCATTTTTGTTTTCAGCATTATTAATAGAATTACTTTCAGAATCTAATACAAAAATAAATACAATAAATAATGACATAATTTTATAGTCTAAATATAGTAATGTAGCCTTTGAAAATACATATATTTTCAATAAGTTAAACAATGTTGCTTCCTTCTATGGGTTTAATAAAAATTAATTAAAACTTTCCTATTTTTAACAATGAAAAATATTTGTGTTTCTTAAATCTTCTATTAAAAAAAAGTTTAGATTATTACCTCCATTCTCAACATTTGAAGTTGATAATGATTTTTCTTGAAAAGCATGCAGTCTTTCTCGATATGTTTGAAGTTCTTTTCTCAATTCTTCTTCTAATTTACCATGTTTGGTAGTAGATATCTAAATTAAATAAAACTAATAAAATAATGAACTGAGATTTAAAATAAAACAAAATAAATTACACATATTATATTATTTATTACTATTTATTTAATTGAAAATTTTATAACTACAAAATAGTTAGAAAAAAAATATTAATTACCAATAATTCAGTTATCTGAGAGTTTAATGAAGTTACAATGGGTTTTACTTTTGTAAGACGAGATAATTGTGTAGCATAAGCTTTATAAAAGCTACAGTTAGATGTTAAATTTGAAGAACCTAAACTAGCTGCAATGGTATCTATATCTGTCATATTCATAGATTCATTCAATGCTGTAATAATTTCATTACCTAAATAATATTTCGATTAATATTAAATATTAACTAGCATAATTATAAATTTACCCTGAGTTACAGCCGATAATAAAATTTCATTTGGTTCATCAGAAGATTTATATTGTCCTGAAGTCAAATTGGAGTTAATTAAAGGTACTTTTAATATATCAGCAACTAATTGTAAGCGCTCATGTAATGCTTCTTCAATTACTTTATTATTTCGTCGCAATTTTTCTTTAAGACACAATAGATCAATTTTTATTCAAAATACAAACTATAATAATAATTAAATTTGAATATAAAAAAAATCCCATACCTAAGTGGGTGAGAACAGGTTCAGCTTTAAGAACAGAACTTTGTGATATCATTACTTCAGAAGGCTCTATTAATGGAGACTTTTGAGTTTTAGTTATTACTGGAGTACTGTTTGCAAATGTGTTTTCATCATTTTTTATGAAACTATCTTCATTGTCTAAAATTGATTTTAATTTATAAAATATAATAAAAATTAATCACATGTGGTTAATATTATTTAAAAGTAATACTATATTAAAAATATTATTAATTTAAAACTAAAACATATTAATAATATTTTTTTAATATAGTATTAATTTTAAATAATAAAATAATTTACCATTTTTAGTATTATTACAGTTGGTTGATTCTAATGATGTAGATAAATTAACAGTTGTATTAGAAGGTAGTTCAGCGCCATTATCTATTAGCCTATAAGTTTAAACAAATAGAATTAAAATAAAAATTATCCTTTATAAACACAACATCAAACATAAAGGTACTTACGATTTTTTTTTAGTACCCTGTATTATATCTTCATAATCAACAGTATGAGGATTTTGTTCTTGTTTTCTCATTTTACCTTCTCGAGCTTTATAAGCATCAGTTGCTTCAGAAATATGACGAAACCATCTAAAAATAAGTTGATTTAAGGTTAATTAGCTAATTTTTGTTATGCCAGTAAAATTATTTAACTTAATTAGGTTGGGTTTTATCATATTATACTCTATGATGTTAGAAACTAGTTAAATATTAATAATTAATCTATTAACGTTAAATAAATTATATTTTTATTAAAATATTTAATGCTCAACTATATAATATTAAAAAAACTTACATAATGAATACAAAATATAAAAAATATGTTAAACTCTAACTCACGTTTTTCGTTCACTTGACGATGTTGTAACTAAATCATAAATCTGAGCACCTGCTTGAGAAGTATTCACTAAGAACATAGCTTTTTTATCTAGATATTAAACAGTTAAAATTATAATTTTAATATTTTATTTTTATATTTTAAGTACTAATGTTTTTTAAATAATGTTAAGTTGAATAATAAATTGTAAAAACAATATGATATGATTAAAAAAAAAAATGTATAATATTTAAAAATATTTGAGAGAAAAGCATAATTTTTTCAATAGATTGATCAACAATATCTAAATTCACAACATAAGTGAACTATTTATTAATAAATTTTAGGTTTTTTAATAAGATAGTTTCTTACCAACAGCATTGTGTCTCACTAGAGCAGTTGACATCTTAATGATTGGACTTAATGTTGGAGTACGATCTTGAAATCCATAATACTTTAATACATATTTGTCATCAACTTTATTTAATAAAATAATTAAATCTTCCAATAATAAAACATGTAGCTCAATCATTTTTTGACGAGTACCTCCAATTCTCAACCACAAGCCACCTTCATGAATAAGTTTGTGTTTGGTAACATCCAAATTCTAAATAATAAATAAAAAAACAATTTTTAAACATATTTACAAATAATAACTATAATTCACAGTCTTCGATGTTATACTAGAGTTACTTATTTTAGGATTATCGTATTTATTAGGATTATCCTATTAAAAACTAATATACTTATAACACATACCTTATATTCAACACTAAGAGGATGATCAACTTTTTCAAATGGTGTTGCATCCAATTTCTTCTGTATACCAAATAAACGTAGTTCATCTTCAGCTTCACGCACTGCTTGATTAACATGATTTAAAATAATTTTACTTCTTTCAAAAGCTCTCTTGACATTTGCCAATTCTTCTTCACTGGTAGTACACTTTACTAAGCTCTCAAACAACAATGGATATTTGGTTAACCTAAAAAATAAATAGTAAATTACTATAAAATTTAAAATAGAGTGGACTGAAACAGATTTGCACACAATGTTATGTTTTACTCTTACATCATATTGATAAAAAAGTAATATTCACTGTGTTAATTTCAAAAATACTGATCATAAAACAACAAATAGATATACCTAATCATCCCTGTAGGTAATATGTCTTTTAGTTGAAGACGTTTACAGACTGGATTTCCTTCTGCTTCAGTTAAAAATATATTGAGCTTAGTGTCTTTTTTTCTTTTCTCTTTTAAAGACTCAAGAGCTATTTGTTGACGAGCACAAAATGTGGCAGCAGCTTTTTGAAATGTTTCACCGGCTAATCCATCAAACTATAAAAAAAAATAACTCTTAGCAAACAATTCATTGTTAATTTAATTATTTAAAAATAAAATTTCAAGCTATGATATTATGATGCACTAATCTATGAAAATACAGGTGGAAAAATTTTCTTGATAACCACCATAAAAATCACTAATTGCCCCATTGAAATATATTATTGTTGTCTCTGGTATTAAAAAATCAAATTAGTTTTGAATTCCTATTTTAAATCCAAATCTTTTAATAATTTAAAAAACGAACGGTTGACCGGATAAAAAAATTATAAGAATAAAATTGCTTGTAGAATTTCTTTCTATCATATAATTAAGGTAAAAATAGGGGTTCTAATTTAGGAAAATTATAAATAAGGATTTTCATCCCTGAAGGAACAAAAAAAATTATTATTTAATTCATATTAATGTAGTTTTTTTAATAAAACAATATTTTCCTCTACAAAATTTTAAAATTTTCTAGTTTCTGAGAAAATGAATGTATTATTCTAAATTAATGACTCTGTATATTAAAAGTATAAAAATGAGGACCAATAACTTCAGCTGAAGCCTTAACTAATAAATAAATAATTATACATGCAAACTTACAGTATTTAATAAAACATGGCCAATATTTTGAACAACTTGATTATCTTTTCTAACAGCTTTCACAGTAGTACTAAACTGTGAATGTAGTTCATACATTTGCTCAAGGTTTGCAAAGAGCAATTGAAGCTGATCAGGTGGTAATATTTGTAATTCTCTCATAGGACGATGGAAAACATGCTCTAATACTTTTAATCCTAAAAATTAAAAATATAATTTAAATTATATCTATAAAATATAAGAATATAATTATGATAATTGTAACTATAGTAAATTATAATTTTTTTTTATTAATTAATGTTTCCACATATATTTACAAATGTTTGATCATACATTATTATTTTAAAAATTATATAAATATACCTCTGATATGAGATCTTTCTGTATGATAAAGCTCATTGATGATTTCTTGTCGTTTTTTCTCTTTAGGTGACAATTTATTTAAAATTTCAGATGGAACATTACTTGCCCAATCAGGTAGATCAAGTTCGTGATCTGAATCACTATCTAAACATGATGTAACTTCTCCACCCGGACCAATACCTTCTACAGATGTACTTCGACTATCTAAACTTCTAAAAATAAAATAGGTTTTTGTCTACTTATAAATTTTTTTATACTTATAATTTGTTTATAAAATTAAGGATTTACTTACTTTGTTGATAGATTGGAATTTGATGAACTATCAGAACGACTAAATGAAAACTGCATATCATGATCTACATCACTGAAAATAAATATCAATTAATTAGTAGAATAAATTTTTTTCTAGTATATTTAACATTTTTTTAACTAAATAATTCTTATATTAAAGAGGATGAGAAAATCTTTACAATGGTATAGAATTGAACCTCGATACTTGTTCAACTAAGAATAATGCATTCCTAACCAAACTATACAGGTTTAATAAATTAAATACAAATATTTAAATGAATTTTTCAAACCTTTTGAACTTAGAAGGAAGATTGGGATCACTAGTTTTTCTTCTTTCACGAATTTGTCGCTACATAACAAAAATAACATTAGTAATTTATTTTTCAATTGTGCAATCACAATGCATAACCCATACATTTTATTTATAATGATTTAAAGTTAAACAATAAATAAATCAGTATCTATGTAATTACATATTACCTTTATAAAAAGACTGTTGGTTTATTTAATAAAATTTATTTCTGGTAAAATTGAAATAAAACAAAAAAAACTGTATTTTATGCATCATGACCCCTTGATTGTCATTGAAAAAATTTTATTTTTATTTTTGCTTAAAAAGATTAAGTGCAATATTAAATATTTTATTATACCTTTTGATGAATTCTTTCTTTATAGCTCTCTGATCGATTAATTGATGCAGGTTTTGTTTTTGAACATTGTGATCTGTCAATAAATACAAATCATATATTATGGTAAAAAATCAACAGAAAAATATTAAATAACGTTATAAATGATAATTATACATACATGTCAACAATACTTGTATCACCTTTTTCAGACTTAAAACTATCATCAGCTCTAATTTGAAAGCTACTTCCACTTAAACTTGTTCTATCTGCAAACAAAATATAAATTTGATAATAAAAATACAGGTCACTTTTATCATTTAAAATTTACAAAATAACTATTATTGAAAGATATCAAAAATTAAATTGTATAAAATATAACAAAAATAAACATTATATAACTGATAATAACATAATTATTGAATTTAATTTAAATTTAAAAAAGATAAAGTAAATTATTAGTTAAATCATTTAAATTATCTTAAAAATAAGTTTTTGAAACAGGTTAAGAGGATATTGTTTTAATAGTTGCTTTTTTATGTTTATATATTCATATACAAGTTTTATACAAGATAAAACATGGGAACCCACATGATAAGATACATTTTCATTTTTTAAATGATGTAAGATTGTTTTTTTACACTTGATAATTTTTAATTAAAATTTTTTTGTTGACAATATTACCTAGATCTTTTTCGGGAAGTGCTCCAACTACATCACCAGCATCCTCCATTTGTCGTTTTGATTTTTCCACTATAAAAAGAAAAATAATTAGTAAAAGAAGAAAAAATAAAATTACATTACATAATTGAATAAATTAAATAAAATATTACCATTATACACAAATTTGGGAGGTGGGAGTAAAAAAAAATATTTTTGAATTTAATAGATCTAATATGTATACAAAGTGATTCATTAAGGATATGACATTAATTTTTTCAGAAACTATAGAACATTTTAAATTTTTGTAAAGGAAAGTATTTATTAGTATTTAAAGTATTTATTGTTTGATTCAACAAACTACAATAATATGTAGTTAAATAATTTTTTTTCATCCCTTCAGTTAAAAAACCTCCACAAATCGGATTGCCCGGGAATGGCTGATAACGCTCTGCACATCCTTTTTCGGTGTGAGGCGTGGGCTCAGAAGCAGGACTCATTGGAGTCCTGACTAGGGTCCATGTCCCAAGTTGGGTCCATGGTGGACCTAATGTTGGTTAGCCAGAAAGCGTGGCTGCTCGTCCAGGCGTTGGCTGAATCCGTCTTGAAAAAGGAGACAGCAGAACGCCTGAGACAGAGACAGCCATGCTGCCCGGCACATGAGGACCTGACGCGTTGGTTTAGGACGGTGCCTTAGGTTTTTGATTTTGTATTATGTTTTTTGTCTTGTGAGTTATTTTGCCAACCCTCCTTAACGGTTCTCATTCTGGGATCCGGTTAACCGGAGGGGGCAATACCACGTTGCGAATCAGCTCTTAATTAATTTTGGGCTGATTCAGAACATGGTGTCGTGAATTATTTAGACGGCGTGGGCCACCCTGAAGTAATGCCTAATGGCAGTTCTAAGGCGGCCCACAGTAATGCCGACCGTTTAAAAAAAAAAGGGTTAAAAAACCTTAACATTAACATTCTTAAATTAGAACCCTATATTTAACTTAATATGATAGAAAAAAATGTACAAACAATTTTGTTCTTTAAATTTTTTTTTTTATTTATCAACTGTTCATTTTTTAAATTTGGATTCAAAATACAAATTTATCACTAATTTGGTTTTCATAATACCAAAGGCAATAATCTATTTCAATTATTCATAAATTATTTTTATGGTAGTTATCAAGAAATATTTTCCCACTGATAATTGAACTATGTATGATAGCAAGCCTATGTGGAATATAATAGTATGTGTCTATTAATAGTCATCAATGACTCCTATATACATAACAGTAGAATAACAATAGAAATATGGTTCAAAAACGTTTAACTTTAACAAGAACAAATTTTTTTCTATCATATTATTAAGTTAAAATGGGTTTTAATTATACTTTGGACAAAATTTGTTAAAGTTGGTTTCCTCCTAGCTTCACGTTCTGGTCTAATTTTGTCCATAAGTTTACTAATACGATCATTTGCTCTATCTTTTTTAACTATTGGACCAGGACAATTTTCTTCCAGTACTTTTACACAAACTCTATGAATATTCAGGATGCAATCTATATAAAATAAAATTATTTTAGAAAATAAAATAATTATGCTAAGAAATTTAAAAACATACTAGTGCATTGATAACCTTGTGGTCCTATACCCCAAATAATTAATTGACAATGATTACAATAGGTCACAGTAAAATACTGATGAGCAACAAAATGATGTCCTTTAGTAGTGAACTATTAAAATTATTTTTAAATAGTTAGTAAAAAATAACAACACATTGCATGTAAAATATTATTTTATCTATATATTTTTAAATAAATTAAAGTTAATATAATACCTTTCTACATTTTCCAATTAATTTGGCTTTTAAAGATTTTTCTTTTGAAACAAAAGTAGGACAACGTTCTAAAAGAGAACTAAATTGTGTACCTCGAAGACCAAATATTTTAGACATAACTGTAGCTAGTGCAGCAGCCATAGTAAACCTTCTATCATCTACAATATCTTTTTCCATATCTTCTCTGTAAAATATCAACAATAAATCATAACATGTTTTAAATTATACATTAAAAAATAGAATATTCAACAATTTATAAAATCAAGATTATTACTTATACATGAATAATCATACATAAATTATCACATTATATTATTTAATTATTTTAATTTAAAGCAGAGGGTAAACAATTTAATGATTTAAAATGAATTATTTAACAACAATGTCTAAAATTCAAAATATAATGTTATCACATTAAATACTTAGTAGTTAAAAATAGTTGACAAAGTAATTATTTAAAATATTTTTGCCTAGACAGAATTATAAATGTTTATAAAGTACTAATACAATAGTATAATTGATTTCAAGTTTACAGGCAAGCTATTCCTCTAAGTTTCTAAAAAAAAGCAAAATTAAGAAAAAATTTCACTTAATTTTATATTATTTTGCAATAGAAAATTTCAATAATAGTATAGATTAGTAGTGAAATAATGGTTTTACATAAGGCCACACAACTACAAATTTAAAGCAATACAAAAGAAATAATTCATTTATCAACCAACATTTTCTAGGACATTTTCTGTATTTACAAAAATAATGAAACTTTTATTAATAATTATAAATGAGAGTTTATATAAATGTGCTATCTAAGAAATGTAGTAATAACTCAAATATGTGACTTAAATTAAAAAAAAAACTAAATATTGTCATATTTTCAACAATAAAGGAATTTAAATACATTTCTATGTTAATTACTGGAAAATTTAGATTTGTCTTATTCAAATTTTCTGTTTTCTAGATATATCTTGATATAAAATATCATAACTTACATAAATGGCTCCATGTTTGGAACAAGTATCATCTCGATAATTTTTAATTCTTTCATTTTATCATTAATACTATCATCAAGTTGTGAATCAGGTGGACCAAATAATGTACCAAGGCCGGCTGTTCTCCTATGTCGAAAATCACTTAGTTGATCATTCAACTCTTCTTTAGCTTTTGTCCGAGCTTTCCAAAATACCTTAAAAGGTAAAAATTGATTTATTAATGAATTAAAAAATATTATTTCAAATTTTACTTACTTTACGCAATATTTCTTCTCGATCAGAGTCATTTTGAAGAATATCATCAATTTCACGAACAATATTATCCTCAATATTTGTAAGTCTTAATGGCTTTAAGTTTAATAGTACAAGTTAGTAAAAACTGGAAATTATTAAGGTTTTAACTTCTTAAAATAAAAACTTACTGCACATGGTACAAGAAAACTAGAATGAATTTCATAAGCCCATTTTTTCATTTCTTTGGCATTACCTTCTTTGTATAAGTTAGTTACTAAATAGAAAAGCTGTAAAATAAAAATATCATTAAATAAAAGTCTTTAATCCTAACTATTACACTTAAATAGTATACTTCAAAAAGTAATTCAAATTTAACTTACTAAAGCTGAAGGATCACTATTTGATATAACATAATTTAAAAATACTGCAAGATGTGCATTATGTTCCACCAATTTTGTGAAACTTTTAAATGGGCCATGTTCTTCTAAGTGACTCTAAAAATATTAGTAAAATTAAATATTATATTAGTTAAATAAATATTTATTTGACTTACAGATTCCTGGTCAGAAACATCATCATCCTCCATTGATATTATAGGGGTCTGGGATAATTTTGTATCTGTACAATCAACTGATTCAACTAAACTTTGATTACCTATTCCTAGTTTAGTCTATTAAAAAATAAGAAATTATCATTTAAGTTAAAAATTAAAGCAATAAAAAAATTAATATTATTTTACAGTATCTAAGATTTTATCAATAGGCAGTATATCATCAGGAGATCGGTTAGGAGAATTTTGACGTGGAGGTGAAACAACATCCCAAGCCAAACCACCTTTTGAATGTTTAACTAAATGTAAGTCATTGAAAGACTCGGATAAACTTAATTTTTTATTATCTATAAGAAAAAAAATTTGTTATATGCCAAAAATTATACATTACATCTAGACAATTTATCAACTTACTGACTGGTTTACCTTCACCCAACTGATCTGGATTTGATTTTGTCCGTTGATGACAGAGCGATAAATTAGGAGAATCCTACAAAAAATATATTCTATAGTACACTAACTAATAACTATTATAATGACATAATAAAAGATAGTCAGTTATTTAAGATCAATCAGTTGAAATCTTTACAAAAAGATAAAATAAATATTTTACAAGTAAAATCAAAAACAATATCAGGCATTAAAAATTAATTCATTAAAAACAATAGAAATTCATGCAATTGTTTTAATTAACTACTCATTAAAATATAAAATATAATTAGACTTTACACATTGAAAGATTTAAAATTAATTCAAATATGATTTCTAATTTTGTATAAGAAACAACCGGTCATCAATTTAGTAGTTGTTATTAGATTGTTATTTTGATTCTCAAAAAGTTATTTTTAGTTATACTTATCTAAGTGTAAGTTCATATTTCATTTCCTATGCATTTTAAAGACAAGAATATTTAAAAATAAAACTTTTTAATAACTGTAGCTTTCTTAAGGAATGTTCAATTTTGCTGAGCAGTATAAATGAATAGTGACTGATAATGGCTGTGGACAATGTGACTAGTACTTACAGTTTCTTTTATATTTACACCGGTGTTATTTGAATTATTTGACTGCTTATCACTAATTGGAGGGGCTGATGGATTTCTAGGAGGTAGAGGTGGTGGGTTTCTTGGTGGTAGTGGAGGAGGCTGAAGTGAAGATGTTTGTGCAACAATATTACAAAGCTGTCAACATAATAAAGATGCAAACAAAAAAGTTATAACAATACAAAAAAAGAAAAGTTAAAGGTAAAAAGCTCAAAAACACTACAAATTGAGGATAGATTTTAACTAATAATATTTTTAATGAAATTTTCTCATAATTTTATTTTAATAATAGCAATCAATTAATATATAAAAAATTATAAAAATTGATAATTTGTTAACAAAAAATTAGTAAAAACAAGAATTATTAATTACAAAACAACCAACTTTATTATTTAAGTTCAATATTTTACACACAAAAATTTAATATTTCAGGGTTTAATTATTAAACAAAACTATATTAATTAATTTTAGAAATTAAAAACCTCTTAACAGGTTGTAATAAAAATAAAAGATCTAAAATTAATATGAAAAATCAGACATAACCAAATTGACATATAATATGAAATTTTTTCCTTTTTTGGATCTACAACAAATATTAAAAGTAATTAAACAAAATAGTTTGTAAAAGCAATACAAGAAAGTAAAAAGAAAGTCATAGTAAATAATAAATGTTTGACTTTTGGTATATAACAATTATTATAATGTGGTTATTCTATAACCAAATAATCACATATTTTTAGTTTTTGTTACTGGAAAAATATTAATTAACATTAATACCAACTACCACAAATCCTAAATCTATGAGCTAACATAGAATTACAAACTACAGTACAAAATATACTGGACCTAAGAAAAATATAGAAATTAAAGCCTACAACCCTAATTAAAATAATGTGCCATGCATTATAATAAATTTATTTTATACTGATTTCATGTATAAATGTTTTATCATAATAATTTATACATTCAAATTTGAATTTTACGCTACCGGTATTTCATTAAATGTTGTAAGTTGATCTTGTAATGTTTTAACACGTCGCTCTGCTCCTGTTAATTCCCTTTTCAACTTGTAGTTTTCTCCACCTGTTACACTTGAAGTTCTTTGTAATTCCTTTTTTAATGCCTCTACATACCTTTGCTCTTTTTCCAGCATAAGGCGAAATGTTTGCCAACGTTCTAGTTCAACATGCCTCATTTGTTCCACCTTGAAAATTCAAGTTTATACAGTATTTCAAAAGATATTTTGCTTTTCAAAAAAAATTTTTTTTTTTTTGAGATCGTAAGGAAAAATAAAATCTAAAATACTTGAAATGTAATAACATTAAATAATATTCTCTCTTTTTTGTATCTCCAATTAAAATATAAATCATATGTGAGTAATTATTTTTTTATTACATTGTTGCTCATCATATTTTTTAACATTTGATTGTTCATCTATAATAGTTTTCAATAAAATTAATAGACAAAATGTTAGTGTGATTTTCAGTTTCAACACACAATAATACACTAATTTTCAGTTTTAACAAGTATAATGTTAGTAAATAAATACTCAAAGCAACACAAATAATACACTTTTTTATAAATTTTAAATATGCATTAGACAACTCAGTATTCTTTCTAAAGGTGACATTAAGTTAAGGGAATTTTTTTTTATAACTATTTGATTTAAATTAAATTTAGTTGAAATAAAATAGCAATAAGATTAATTTTTCTTTTAAGTAAAGAATGATATTTATATAATGTGATTGAAGTACAGAATACATATAAAATACTAATAAATTTTTAAAACCACTTAAAGCTTAAGAAATTTACAAAATAAAGCTTTATTTTTCTTACACCAACAGAATATTCATTAAAAGTTAATTTAAAAACCCATAACATTAAATATTCCAACACAAAAAAAGTACTTAAAACAAAATGTATACAATTTTGCAATAACACTAATACTTTATATACACATTTGACTTATATATATATGTATATATATTATTAAAATAAAACTAATACATACATCGACAGGTTGAGGTCCTGTTATTCTATCACGAGCAGGTGCCGAGTGATGATGATGTAAAGGCCTTGAGGGTGAAACTGTAGAACTTGGCGAAGTAATAGTAGTAGAATTCATTGTTTGCAAAGGTAAATGAGGTAATGTTAAGTTAGTATTAGGTGGATTAATAAACACAGGTCTTTTTTGCACAGTTAATTCTACTTGAGAGGAAGCTGTAGAAAAAAATCCTCTTTACATTTTTAAAAAAATAAGAAATATCTAACTCACATTTTATAAGTTCGACGACTTCAGTATGAGTTGAATGTGTGACATTAATACCATTGACTTTTATTATTTTGTCACCACTATGTAAACCTGCTTTTTCAGCTGCACCACTTAATTTTACCGACTGAACAAATACTGGGTTATCACCAGATACTTTCATACCATATCCTCTTTCATCTTTAACTACTAAAACAGTTAGAGTAGTTGTAGCTGGTAGAGTTAAAGAAGAATCCAGAGACTCAGCAACTGAAAGTTGAGGTTCGGCAGATCTGTTTCAATAAAAAAACATTTAATTAAAATTTAATTAAAATAAAAATACTCAAATTTATATTTAGAAATAAATGTTTTGAAAAATAATTTAAAATATTCAACATTTTATAAATTTTTACTACAATATAAAATTTAAATAAATAAGTATTGGGTTAAAATAAAAAACAATATAGACTCTTTAAGTTTAAACAAAACTTTAATTATATTTATATATTTTAGTTTTGAAATAAAACAGGATTAAAGTAAATGTTAATTTTTTTACATATAAATGGAAATTTAAAGTTTGAAATGTTTACCTAAATAAAATAAGTAGAAAACTTATCAATGGTCACATTTTAATATTATTTTTAGGGATAAGAGCATTTTATAATAGTCATGAAAGATCAACAATATTTAAAATATTTTTCAAATTGTATTTACTCAATGCTAATGATTAACTAGTCCCTGAAAACTGCAAAATTTCTATAAAATTACATTTATTATAAATATTAAAATATATTTGATATAAATAATAATGACTTACTATTTATCTATAAAAAAACAAAACTACAAAATTAAAATATAAAATAAGTTATTTCTATAAGAATAGTATCCATTAAAAATTGTTGAAACTAAAATGTATACAAAATATTATGGATCCTTTTAAATTTTCAGATTCTATTTTATTTAGAATATTCATTAATAAATTTAGCTCAATAATTCAAATCAAAATTACTTTTACTTTAACTATTAACAAGGAATTTTGAATTTTTTTTTACTACATTAGGTTTTAGAATTATTGTTTATTATTTTACTAGAACAAAGACAATGAACTCAATCTGTTGATTTTTATCCTGAACTTTATTTGATTCAATTTTACAATAAAAGAGAGTATTAAGAAAAGCTAAGATTTAACCTATATATATAACAAAATAAAGTAAACAAAAAAACAAATATAAAACTATCAAACTATTTAAAAATAGGGTGAATTATAAATCATTAGGTTAATTATAAATACATTTTTCTAGATAAATGCATATGTTTTTATTAAGAAATTACATATGATATGACAGCATGAAGTTCTGGTATTAGGACCAGAACTTATCAATATAAATAAAATCTTCTCGATATTTTAAAAGAAAAAATAATTTTTACAATTACTCCAATTGTGTACATTTACCCTAGTACAACCAGCAGCATATTACTTTGAACAAAACTATTACCAAGTAATTAAATACTTAATAGATCATAGAATAGTTTTTCTTATCACCACATAGATAAAATAAGTTCAAGAAAGTTTATGGAAAATAAAGTAAATAATATATTTTATATTTAAAGTAATTTGCTAAATAAAATTGATAAAATATTTATATGTTTTCAAAAATTATTTAAATTTATTGTCATATTTAAGTAAATAAGATTATAACAAACATTTAGATTGGAAGTAAAAAAAGTTTATTCATTTTTCAAGCATAGAAAATAAATAAAAATATCACAATTACTATAAAACTTATATGTAATTAATGACCTAAAATGAGATATTGAACACTTAATAAAGTAAAATACGTAACTCTTGCTTAAAAAAAATTAAGTTTTGTAAATTTTTGTGAAAAACATTTGTTGATGTGCTCACAAAATTAAACATAATACTTTTAAGGGAAAACATTTAATCTAAAGGAACTACATTTGACCTTGATTTCTAAGTTAAAGTATCTTTGCCGATTATCATCAACTATATCACATAATAATAACCATATAAAGAGGAGTAAATTTTAAAAATTATTATGTACAACCTTTAATCTAACAAGATGTGTTCGAACATTCCCAACAAGCTTTTTTAAAGTGTAATATAATTGTAAGGGCAAACATAAAAATTAAAAACAAATGAGTTGGACGTTACATTTACCTCTCTTTAAGCGTATCTGCGACCGTACCGTCCATTGCGCTGACAAGCTAAGTTCCACTCTTGACACCAAGAGCTTCTACTAGCACCCAGTACATATCTACATGATGATTGCCTTATCATTAGTATTCGCAGAAAGAGCATTCAAAGAACAGATATTATCCTGTCATTCAGAGATTTTTTGGAGATAGTAAACCGCTTTCACATAAGTTTACAAAAATTTTGTTCCCGTTTTTGTAGGTATGTCTATGTGTGTTTTTCGCGCGACTCATTAACGAAGAAAAAACGAATGACAAATACAGCGGCAACAATGACGATGACGACGAACAACACGATAATACAAAAATAATTAATAAATAAGTATCAAAAATACACAAATATAATAGCAAAAACATAAACACAAATTTGTAGATTAAAAAAAATAATAATGTAATCAACAAGTAAACTTCAATGGTAGCGAGTGCACGGTGTACAAAAAAATCACTTTATTATCACTGACAATGTAATCATAGTCGCTGGGCTTGTAGTTACTTGAGACCCGTACGGCATACGCTGGGGATGGAACGTGTCCAAACGCAGTGGACGACAGTGAGGCCAAACTGATCCCCCCACCACTGAGGTTCGTCGTCGCAGTCGTATGGTTGTGTTCAGTGTACTCGTCGCCGCCGCCGCCTCTTCGGTTTTGTACACCGAGAGCAAGCAGGTCTGCCGCTATCGGTCACAACTCTGCAAACCTAGATCGTTCTTCATACCGGCCGCCGATATTACCACTATTTTATGCGCTCACTTCCTATTCTGTACTCAGCGGTCAACGGAGTATTCACTGATAGCCTGTCGCTATCTCGCACGAAAATCATTCATCTCTACATTGAAGTCACTGAATGCCTAATACATATTATATCCTATAGAATGGAAACAAAACGGTGGGGTTGCTAAATACTCCCGTGGTATAAATTCAGCAATTAAATGACATTGAAATTGTATCAGAATTTAACAATTTTTACTTATTAATTAAATATGGAGACTATGATCTACGTATACTTGCCATTTACACGTTATCATTGATGTAGTACACAATTGTTAATTAATAATATGATTGACCTACCCGTCGAATTCGCCACGTTAAGTCCGCTAATGGGATTAAATTTCAGTTAAATTTTTCTTAGAAAAACACTATTCATAGATGGGGGAATTCGACTATATACTTGAAGGGGGAGGATAAATATAAGAACTTATTTAGACGTACTAATTCAATTATTTATTTAGGTTTATTTTGTTTTTGAAGGTTAGGTCGCCTCTCAATAAAATTGATATTGTTCACTAGTTTTTTAAATGAAATTTATCTACGTTACAATTTTAAATAAAATCACATTTCTAGTACGAAAGCAATGTAAATGAGAAAATATTTCATCTACCGGATTGTAACACATTTCAATGAGTTTCGCCGCTGGTTTCTGGTACTTGGTTTTTTATTGCAAGTAAAACTAATAAATGTGTCTTCAACCTTTTAATAGATCAAGCCGTTTGTCTTTACAGTTTAGTATTGATAAATAAAAACTATGGTTCTAGATTTGCTCGTTAAATAATAATTGTACTTAAATTGGTTTTAACGTTCCAATGTAAATTACAAAGTAGCCCGCATGACACGGACCGGGAAATAGAGTGAAAACTTCTCGAGAGACACAAATAAAACTTGGACACTCATTAAAATTAAACTCTATGCTTTTATTGTGAATTATAGCAATAACACCTATGTAGATGTATACACACGCCGACATTAAGCTCAGCGTGCAACTGGGCGTAATCATATAATGTTTAACTTTTTTTTTTCCAGTAGCACGCAATGGAGTAAAAAAAAAAAAACCCCAAACATAATTATTACACTTGTTCGACATTATCATTAATGTAGCCGATAATTTACATTTTTCCGGTTAATTTTTCACAAATTAACTGTAAATGTTGACATGCTTAAACCATATATTTTGTTGACATGTTTCACGACCGTTTTCATGCAAGTACACATTTGCAACTATCAAACACTACTGTAACACCATGTCGATAATCAAAATCGAAAATGAGTGCAGCAATGACATTGTTAAATTGTCTATAAAAGTGATTATAAAACCCAACCATTTCGATCCACGACGAATAAAAATAAACTCAGTTAAAATAATTAAGGGTTACAAAGTCCATTAGATTCAACCGTCTAAAATAAAGCTATTTGGTAAATATTAATTAAAATTCTAAATAAATTCAATACTAGTTAATTAGTAACTAATTAAAATTCATATCGTGACCACGATAAGATTAAACTTAATTAGTTATAGTAACTCTTTAATCACCGAATTAAAGCAAACAAATTAAAGGCATAAAAATAACATGACATCTTTCATAAGCTAAAAAGTAATCTAGCAATTTTTTTTTAACAGCAAACAACAATCTTTGCGCATTAAATTGAAGCTGCTGTTAAATGTATGCGCCCTTGGCTACCTCTTGATTACAGGTTTGAGACTTACTTAACAATACTATTTACTCTATGCTAATATTTTTTAACAAATAGTATACAAATTTCTTAGTGCGTGTCTTCGTACTTTTGTATAAGTGCACCACTGTTTATATCTAAATTCTGAATTTAGCGAATTAAAATTCTTTATCATAGTTGCAAGACTTCTTCAAAGAATCTCAACATTCTTATGACCTTATCCTTAGGCTCTAACTGAATACTAATAATAAAATAATTGTTTTGTCTAGATTATTTATCATGTATTGACTCTCAGGACATGTTTTGATATTTTTATTATATTAGATTTTATCAGTTGATAAGAAATCCGTGTTGTATTATCAGCTAACATAGTTGATATTATTGACGAATCATTTAACACAGAATTTTATGTTTTTATTATAATATTGCATAATGCATGCACGTCCCAGGAGCTTAAAAATCACAAAAGTTTACATAATCTCAAAAGGAGATTTGGCGATAACACATATACACGTTTAATATAATATAAACATTGTTTTGGTGCTAACCACAGTGATAAATAGACAACCACTGCATAACAGACCCCATCAATGAAATTGAAATGAAGCCAGAACTGAATTTACTGTCATTATACTTTTCAAAGAAATGTAAAATTAAACGAATTGTCGTAATAAAAACATTTAAATGATGCTAACAAGAATTTAAGTAGGTTTTTAATGTGTTTGAATTGAAGTATTCTAAATTATTATTAGTTGGTCATAAAATATTTTATTATTTTTTAAGATCTTTCAAAAAATTCGCTTTTAAGAAAATTGTTTTAGTTATAAGAAAAAAACATTGAACTAAAAGAATATCAATGATTTAATTGATAAATTTTCATTTTAATTGCTAATAGTTATCTAATATAAAGTAAGAAAATGTACTTAACGCATAAAAATAATTATTAATTAATAAATAAAATAGGTTTTATAGAACTTATTTATAAATAAAAAACAATTGGTCAATTGATTTTTAATCATTTGATTATAATGAATTTTAATAACTTGTGTCATATGTAAGAATAGAGACATGTTGTGACGCAACCTATCAATCAGTAGTCGTCTTAGCGCTGATGTTCAGATGTGCTGATTGTTATTAGTATCTGGATGGGTGATCATACGGAAACTTTAACAGTCACATACACATTGCTCTTACACAGGCTTCCTTGGCCGTATTGAGGTTTCGTCAGGAAGACAGTCAGTGTAAAAAACCTGTTATATCATAAGATACAGAAGATCCTAAATAGTTGGAATAAAAGCTATGGAAATGATGATGATGACAAATATCAAAAATACATTTTTTCAGCTTCTATCCAAAGTTGAGAAGGTGTTGGTTTTACCATGATGTGTGTTTTTTAATATTTTTGGCTAATATGAAAAACTGCTACACATAATCACTGAAAAAACATTTAAATGACATTCATTAGAAAGTTTTATGCAACGTCGTGTAGTTAAAAATAATTATTATTTTTAAATTAAAATATGAAAAACAGTATAAAAAAAGAAATTTTTTTTTTCATTTTTAGATTTATACTTGCGAAGTTCTTTATCTAGAATATCGATATGTGAATAAGTATAAGGTATGACAAATAAAACTTGTATCAAACATGTCTAACCTTATCCTAACATGTATAATTATGTCTTAAATTTACATATTATACACATATTTAGAAATGTTTTTCAGGAGGGGAGGTTGAAAAAATTATTATGATTTAGTAATTACTTTTGATGACATTTTATTTTGTTCGAAATTATTCTTTAAAAATCATTTTTAGTGAAGAATTAATGTCATTGCATTAATTTCGAGAGGGGATCGCGCTTCATGAACCCCCTTCATAAATACGTCCATGAGTTTTATTAAAAAGTTTCTTCGAATAAAAGCAGGTAGCAGAAATGCTACGAGGTATATTAATTATACAAAGGTATGATATCAGCTATCTTTTGAAAGGCCGAAGCCCCAAAAAGTTGTTTTAAAGCATTTAATCGGATTGAGTGTATTGCCACGAGAAAAACAACACCCACACATTCTTTAACCGATTTATTAATTATAAAAAATTACAGTTTCCACATGTTTTTTATACTTGAAACTATTCGACATAATATTAATCTGCCGCCATTAATTACACATAAAAATTTTTAACTATCTTAAGATGAAATCTATCCAACAATTTACTAAAAACTAACTTAACCTTGATCCTTGACCAACATATTTCTGGCTGAGTCACCAACGGATAGTTTTGAATAAAGTTATTTTTTGACGAATTTGTTATCATACTTATTGTAAGCTAACAAGGACAATTTTTATAAAAAAAAAAGTTTGCAATATAGATTATTCTCATTATTTCGGGCTTCTAGTTCATCCTAAAACCTCTGTATTAAAAACGCAATATTATAATTTAGATTTGTCAAATAAGTAATTTGTTATTTAAATTCGCTAGAAAAATATGTGTGTGTGTGTGTGTGAGCGGCGGAAAAATAATTAACGTACCTTACTAATGTCAACATTAAACTTGGAGCTTTACCTTATGTACACAGTTGACATTATAACAGACGAGAAACAATACAATGTAAGCAATTTCCTGAATTATAATTTATGCAGTCAGTTACACTGTTGACGTGTTAAAAACTGATTTACAAGTTGCAAAGTTAAAACAAACTTTCGTTTCGAGAAGATCAAACGATTCCTCACTAAGTTTTGTCCAATACCTAATATGATTAAGTAATGAAATAAAAACGTTCAGGTGCTTCGACACGCCCTTTGAATCCATCACTTAACAAATCTTATCGCATCGATTACTAAACACAGGCCGGTGGTATAACAGCTGTATATAATAGCGCACAGTCACGTCTGGGCAACACAACAAACCTTTCCCCTCTTCCAGTCTTAATGGTGTTTGCAAAAAATCTACTAGGTTCCCCACCTCATCGCTTCGAATGATTAAACAAAACATTCTTCCAAGAAAAAAAACGATTGTATAAATACTGAAAATATTTGCCCAACAAGCATACACAACAATATGTTAACGCAATCCGTCGCTCCTTAATGAACTGCGACCACTATTTTTGCGCTTAACAGGTTAGGAGGAAAATGTTCGACTCGAGATACATCAGACTAATACGGTCATTAAACAAACACGTCTCATTTGTTATTTGATATTCAATTTTTCTAATAGTCGAGTTGAAAAATTACTTCTAATGGTTCACAATTAATTTGACTTGCTCTTCAGTTACTAACAAACGTGCCGAATTCAGCCAAACAAAAAATAATAATAATTCGACGGTCTAATACTTTTTTTGTTTTCGGTGTCGAAGGGCGAGTAGCTTAAAGTTTTTAATAGTTCACTTTTTTAATTTTTCAAATTTTAGACAACGCCTGTAGGATGGAATAAATGCGCAAAGATTATTTGTTCACATCCCTTCGAACTTGTAAGCATCAGGTCATAACCAGTAGTTCATTCAAGATTTTTCGAGTGCACAGCAAAATAAAAAAATAACATCTCAACGTGTTTCTGGATGTGTATAAATAATATTATGAGCCCCCGTGTTGTGAAATGCGGCCTAACGCATGTGCCAAGTGTGGAAAATATATCAACTCTTGTTGCTTTTTTCACACAATTTAGTCGTAAAAAAAAAACATTTATACGCTTGTATTGTGATGAATGTGTATACGAAATGGTTCGCGTATATGTACATGCCAACTCGCAATAATAACATCGTAAAGCGCATTTTTCTTTTACCTGAGAGCGTACGTCAATAATTTACACTCACTTGTGTTTTTTTTCTGCGCTTCTGACAGTGACCTATACACTAGAAAAGGGTATGGGTCCCTCTAACGGAGGGAAGAAAAGGAAGACGGGCAAGTCATGTTTCAAAACATCACACCGCTGCCGACGCGGCGTCGCCGTTTCTTCCTTTTTTACGCGTCAAAAAGGGTCTATATATATATATATATATACTGTGAACTATCTTGCCCTATTTTTCCTTTTGTAAGTTCCTGTCATTTAGGCGTCGCTCGTCCGCCCCCTCAATGCAATGTATACGTAAAGCCAACACCGTTTGCACGGGGAGAGCTTTCCACGAATCGGACTGTAACAATAACATTAGGACATCGAATCGATCGATTCAATTAACGATTACACAAACGAATTTAATTATTATATTTACGGTGTTACTGTAAGCGGCGGTGATTTTTATTCATTCGAGTGTCGAGGTTTTTGGATTAAGCAACACAATAGGTAGAATAATGATTATTTATTTTTGTGGCAATCGATGACGATTACTTTAATAAAACAAATGGCTCCATTACTGACCATTACTAGACGTTCAATAGAAGATTATTATAATATTTTTAATTATTCTGATATTGAACATGAATTTATTCAAGGAATAACAAGTTTCATTACTGAATAAGAAGACTAACACTTTGACACAGATATAATTACTCAATAGCGTACTTACACATTAACTATTTAATTCTATTGGCACATGTAATAAATTCTAATAATATTATACACGAATTATACCATAAAAAATGGTAGGTTCATATAAAAACATAAATTAATCACTAAAAATTCAGTATACTTTATTACAACGCAGTAAAGAAAAACTTCAAAATTGTCCGCAAGTCGGTGATGCCGGAAACTTAACCGCATTGATAACTTTGGCCGCAGTGGCATGCCAGTTAATGATAGTTTTCTGAGACGCTATTTGTTTCTGACAGCAGCTGTACGACTGCTTAACAAACGACGCGGTGATACCGAAATCGCTTAAACTTTTACTGACTAACTGTAAGTACCGCTTAGTGTTGGGGGACATGGCTTCACTAATGGCTGACGATACGAGATCATTGCCGGTGATGTTTTGAGCGACGGCTGCAGATGAACATGGATCGATGTCCGCGCGACGTGCCGGTCTTTGCTTATCGTCTGGTTGTAGAACAGAAGGAGGGGTAGACGGGATAGTGGCGGATGTCGAACACGGTGGTGCGTCTTCGATATCGTCCGGTAAGTCGTGCGCTAATATAACGTCGCTCACAGTCAGTCGCGTCTCGCTCACGTCAACCACTGTGTCGTCTACTGTGCGCGTTTGAAAGAACGTATTCCGGACAAACTTAAAAAACGGAATGATGACGAAGGTAAACAAGCGTTTCATGAGCGCGAAAGCTCGTCCTATCCATTGAAAGGGTTGAGGCGGCGGTGTAGTTGCCGTGGGATCGTCGATGTCTTCGTATACCACTTGACGCCTGTTTTTGGCCGCTGTACCGTTTGACCGTATTCGTTTCACGGTTCGTTGTTCGTCACTGCTCGCGACAGTCGCATTTCCGCTAGTGGTAGTACCGTTTTGCCGCGACGTTACCGGTTCCACCACTGAACCAGTCATGTACAATCCGTACACTTGCAATCGGTTCAGACAGGGTGCGTTATCATCACCCACTATCCCATAGCCTGTCCCCTGCAATTTCCAAACATCCATTGTTGTCTGTAAAAACATAATGAGAAATTATTATTTTTTTAACGTTTTATAGGCCCATTAAGGGCCATAGCGGCCTCCCCCAAAGGAGGTGATTTTTTAAACATTAATATTCCGGGACGAATGGTGGTTAGTCCGACGCCGTAAATAACTATAAAAGCAGAATAACTGTAAAATAATAATTGCTAAAAGCACCTTAGTTTAAATGTAAAAATCATTTAATTTAGCTGATAACTCTAGATATTGCGCTTTCTTTTAAATAATTTTTCAGAGTACTTAAACTTCATGTCGTTTTAGAAAAAAAGTTTCTATCATCTGGCATGGAGTTTTGCTCATGAAATTAAAAAGTGGAGCAAGTGGATTCTGAAACCAAATGACTCATTGCATGATTTTTTTTTACATTTGGCCTCGAAAATTTGTATCGGACAATGATAAAAATTGGCCGTTCCTCCAAAATAGAAACTATGTTATAGTTTTGTCTCCGAGGATATATTGTTCCAAAAAATATACTGAAGTTACAAAACATGACTGAATCATCGAAAATAAAAATTGAACATCAATATATTTATTAATATTTTGAATCAATTGCTGTACAATCAAAATCAACTGAACAGAGTGTTAGCGGTCCATTAAACCAAATTGTTACAGTCACCATGACATTGTTTACTCAACTGTATACTAATTATTGTACTTCAGGCATGAGCAAATGTTAAAGGGTAGAGGGTATGATATCTACACAAAGGAACATTTCACGTGTATTGTTTGGTTACATTAATAAATGAAATATAATTAAAAAAAAAAAATCGTTTAATAGTTAGCACGGAAATATAAAAACGCAAACGATAAGTCTTAAATGGAAGATGCCCAGGTCACTGCTAAATTATAACAACATGCATAAATGTGTTAATATATTTTATTTGCTTGTAAACAATAATAGTGTTTTATTTTTTGTGCGTCTATGTGTGAGGTTGTGTGTGTGTGTGTGTGTTTGATGGAAAATATAAAATAATACCGGAACAAATGGGTCACGATATTGTGCTTGAAGTACCGTATAAATAGTATTGCTGCCAGTAGGTATACAAACAAATGAAGTCGATATTTTGCGATGAAGTTACGAGATAAACACGTGTTGGAACGTGTCTTTCCATACGTTAGTCAAATGAAGCCAATTAGTATAAATGTCCAATGGATTTCAATTTTGCCCCGAACGCAAAAATTGCTTGCCCCAAGTTCCAGTTCTTTCATTTTGGTTAGATTAATTGACATATGCACCCAGTGAGATTGTTTAAAAACTAAGTCATGTTTACACTACATAACCAACGTTTGTGTATTAAATGACGTTAAAATAGATATAATTTTTTAATCAAACTTGGGGTTTCTGACTTTTTAAATTACGCGTGTAATATTATAATATAATATAAAATATACACAGAGACAAACTTAAAATATTGGGCAAAGTTTGCCAAATCGGAATTTTCTACCGGGGGCTTTATCCCAACTAGCCTCTGAATATTACGTACTGTAACGAATTGATATTTCAGGAACAATTTTTGATTCAAAATCAAATTTTGGATTATAACTTTTTAAGCTCAACAAATGTATTCAATAACGGTTTAGTTTTGATTTAAAATATTCGGTTGTATTCGGTTTCCAGATTAGTATCATCTGAACTATTATTAATATTGTGTAGCACAAGAAGCTACAAAATGAGTATTTCCAATAATCCATAATAATAATTAAAACCCGAAACAAACAGTTGATTAGTTGAGTTATTTAGAATATAATTTAATTATATCAAAAAGCAAACAGATAAATGACCAAGAAAAATGCGAGCTCTTTAAACAATGCACGGGACAATTTTAAGTCCGTTCAACTTTAATTCAATGTTAACGCGTCTATGACTCATTGTTTCAAAAATAAATCATTTCGAGAAATCCAAAAAATATCAATGCTGATAGAGTGACAATTAAGTTTGAAATTTTTAATTAAATTTTACAGTAATAACTTAGGTTGAAAATTATATAAGTTGTAGACGTTTATAAAATATATTGCAGTTGTCAATGAACACATGCGACTTGTGGACTACTGCCAAATTGTTATATTCAATCATGATTGCTATGAGAATTAGTACCAGAAGTTTGGTTGACGGATATAATTAATTTGACATGGAAGTAACATGTTAAATATGTACAAAAAAAAAAGGTTTTTGTACTCGATAGTCGAGAAAAATTTTTCTCAATAACGTCTCAGGTTTATGTCTATACACCAAAATCAGAAGAATCTTAGAGCATATTCATACCCTCCCAACCACATTAATTACTGAATAATATGTATTAATATTCAAATATGTACGTTTTAGTGAACGAACAAATTCATTATTATTTTCTTTTAGTTGTAGGTAGGCTTTAACTTTTGAAATGGTCTTTTCCTTAGGTATTAAAAATAAAAAAATTAAAACTCTTTAGTATTCATAAACATTATTGTAAAAGTAGTAGTAGTAATTCTGTAGATTAGTCTCGGACACATATTACTCGAACAAATCGCACGATAAAATTTACATATCTTTATGTTGTACTGTGTAAACTCGAAAGTGGTAATTTTTTCTAACATCTGTTTACGAGAAAAGCAACACGATTTTATCTCATCTTGTAATTGATTAGCTTTCTTAATGTGTAGTAATTTTGTACAGTCGTGGGTCCAGTGCACATATACGGAAACGGAGAATTTAGAGTAAAAAAATATTACAACTACACATACCACAAATGAAATGATACATTTGCACACGACACACAAGGTCACCCCTATCCTCCCTTTTTATTCATACTTGATGATTATAAAAGGGTTAAAATGTTCGAGGGCGAAAAAAACCGTACAAAAAGAACATTTTTTGAGAGTTAAAATGTAAATCTTAAAGATTGGCCATTTAGAAGGGGAAAAAAGAAATATTCAGACAATTGCAGTCTGTGACGTAAACATTCATAACTCACATTTACTTTGACGCAGATATTAAAGTAATAAAATATTCTCGCATTTTCACTTAATGTGCTTAAATTTTTTTACGGTCAACTGTTAATCATAATATTCAATACTGAATTATTATCTTTATTAGCGTCGGTCATTTATTTCATTTCATTTGTTACTATTGACTGTTCCAGTGACGCTGGTTAATATTTAAACTAAAAATTTGTAAGTATCAATACGTACACGACTTGGTGTACAAATCATTGGTACTTAAAAACGAGTAACTAATCATCGACTGTTTTTCATGGAGTATCGATTAAATAATAGTGTTTGTTTAATAACAATTGCTAATTGAAATTATTCAGTGTAAAAACCTGCTGGTGTTAAATAATTATTTAAAAACAAACGTTAACATTTCGGATAGTTTAAATATCATTTTGACTATTCCTTTGCATCCTCTGTAATTACGTTTAGAACCTTTACTTCATATCAATAACGTTATTCTACAGCGTTAATAAAAATGTTCAACGCATGTATCATAAAGAAATGAGTAGCTCGGGGTTTTTCAGTTATACAAAGCAAACAAAAATTATCGCAACAAAAAGGTACACGTGAAATGAGATTAATAAATCATGTTAAACCGTCGAGATGTTTAAAGTGTAGGCGTTGGCCGAGGCCTGGTGAAAATACATATTTTAATTAATCCGCAAACTGTTAGTTGGCATACAATCAAGAACTGAAACTTCCAACTAAATGAAAAAATATATAAATCACAAAGACTTTCTAACGATTTTATAAGTATGTTAATTTGACGAAACAGTTTTCAAACAATAAACATAATACCTGTTAACCGTAAGATGAATAATAACACACAATAGACGGACGGCATGTGGGTACACTCAACGCTGATGCCTAAAAGAGATTTATGTGTCTTCCGTTAAATTGTGTGTCCACACGCATCATAATACTTACCGGCACCTATGTAATAACTATTTTGGGCCAATGCGAAGATAATTACTTACGTCACTGCTTCCTTCGTCGGACGGTAGCTGTCCTACTGAATGAATTTTCACGTTCACGAACATGGCCCAAACACCAGTGGAACTTTTTAACTGGAAACACAGATGATTCCACTGACCTTTGGTCAACCGAACGTTTTCCGATGCAACGACTTTGCCCTTGATAGTCACACGCACAATCTGTTTAGATTTGACGTGCAGCCGCCATAAGATTACCGTGTCTTGTTTATTATCTAAATGCACACGAAATGTAAGAAAGTCGAACAACTTTCTAATGGACGTTCAAGTGATATACGTATTACACATGCTTACTATTCAGACGGAAAATAGTCTGAGAGTGAGAGATATTTGTCATTTTAATCCAAGTGCACACTGTAAAGTCTGTCATGTCGTATGACACATTACTGAATTGTATGTACTGAAATCAAAGAAGAAAAAAACGTATAGGAAATTATAATAAGGACTTTTTAACAGCATAAATGTAACATTATTAGTGTATAAATGTAAATCATTATTACGTGTTGATAAAATAGTATGTCTATGTTTCATCATCAACCGTTAGACACGTAACAAGTAGGAACAGAGTATTCACATAAGTTTGTCGAAGAAACATTGATATTATTGAATAATATGCTAAATAATTGATTTTATCACTCTGATTAATAATTAGTGATTGTATTCATAGGTATAAAAATTAAGTGTTTCTTTTTTGTCTGTCAATGAAAATTCTTAGCACTCACTAGAACGATTTTACTGATTAATACGTCCAAAGAACCCAATTTAAACTCGTTGAATCTATTGTCACAGAAAATTAGAAAAGAACCCTCAATTTTAGAAATTTATAAAAATGTTTCAAAATCGTCATAAAATATTGCATTTTCAAAATATATTTTCTGCATTATAAAACTTCTATAACTTAAACAAATGTCTGATCCTAATGAAATTTTAATAGAGTATATTAATCACAATAAACTTTCTTTTGGTTTGCTTTTTGTATATTTAGTGCAAAACAATATCCAATAAAGTTTAACAAGTATTTAATATTTTTATGAAATTTTAAAATGTATAAAAATTGTAAAATGAAATATAAACAAATTATAGTAAAATATATCAGACTCGCATGGAGGCGTTTTTTTCGATAATGATGTAAATCACTGTCAGATTATCTATACTTTTCCCATCTATGCTTGCGAACCCACTGTACTGGTTTTTTTATATATCAGTTAATACAATCTTATATTAATTTAATATAAGATATGTATCTTATCTTATAAATTTGAGGGTAAAGCTTTTTCGATTTTAATTGCACTTATTTAAATAATTGTATTTAATTTGTATAAATACATATATAAATGTTTGTGAATGTGATAATTGCCTAGATTCCAAGGAAAAATAAAAAAATAAAATAATTAACTATATAACGGATATTAGTATGAAATGCATCACTTTTATATTTTTTTCTGGTGTCGTTTCTGATTTTATGTCATTATAATTTTTAAATTTACTTTTTAATATTTAATAGATTTTGCAGTATTCATTTTAAATTAGATTTATATAATTCTTATGTATATTATCTACGGACGAGTTATACTAACATAGTAACATAAATTACTTGACATAAAAGTGTAAACAAACACACACAGCCTGTATGAAAATATAGTATTTATAATTCTAAGTCACCAAATAGGTAATTACTTAGAAAGCTATTTACTCATCTACTCGTAAGTCAAATAATTTTTTTTGTTGATTTTTTAAAACATCTTGTCACAATAAATAGATATTGCACAACCAGCTAAATTATCATTCATTTAGCAGTTGCGATAATTAAGTAAGGACCGAAAAGTTATTTAATATATACTAGTTATCAATGACAATATCTTATACATTTTAATTATTATTCAATAACCTCAATGTATTAAAGATGTGTACTTTCGATTGCGTGTTTCCATCTGATTGTCAGTTTTGTTTATCTATACTTGTACATGATGATTCGACAACTTTAATTCATTCACACGCAACGTGTTAAAGTGGTTTTCATTTCATTAACATAATTCTAAATCTCTTTACAATAAATATGTCATAAACGTTCAAGTATTACTTATTAACATAGATAAAGGAAGAAAATGTTACATTACAACATATACATTGTATTGTAACAGATTTTTAAAACATCAAAAAGAGTGAGAGTATGTGTTCTAAGGAACAATTCAGTTTCTATTTTTTTAAGTTGCAAGATTAAACTCGAAAAAAAGTTATGATATAAAATTATTAAAGAAATAACACTTTTAAGCGGATTTCATTCGCAGTTCTAAATTACTAATTTTCATAATATTTGATATTTTGTTATAAATTATGCTTGGGGCATTATTAGTAATTTATAATGGGGGGACACAAATAAAATGTTTTAATTGACAAACTACCATCAAAATTTTGTTACTAATTTTGAGCTGATTTCAAGCAAAATAAAAGATCAACAAACGTTTTTATATCAACGCTGTATGGTCAATAGGAGGCACATGCCGCCCCTCTAAATACACCACTGAATTAAGCTAAGCGTGAACCGTGTTTTTACTAGGCTATATTTATAACAAGTATGAAAGAAACGTTCATAAAATAAATGTACACATAAGCAAAACTGATCTAACATGTAACACCTAATGTCTGATAACATTTTTTAATACGATGATATCTTAAAATATATTACCACTTTTATACTAAGACTGGAGGAGTAGTGTGGTTCATAAATGCCAAGAGATAAAAATAATCAGACTAATGCTTCACCTCCAAAAATTTTAGTAAAGTGTTAATAGATACCAAAATACCAGTTCAGAATTTATTGATGACCGGTCATATTTTTAGTTGAACTATTTCTTTGTTTTTAAACAAGTTATACATAAATGTTTCTATTTAAAAATCTTAAATGTATACTATTTTAAAAACGAGAGAGGGGGAAAGGACCAAATTTTTTTTTAACTGTAGAATATAGATTATTATTTACTTTTGAAAAAAAAAAATCATAATAATATTATAATTTTAAAGTTATTTGCATGAGCATAGATAATAAATCTTCTTGTATATAATTTAAGCAATACTATAAAACAACTCATCTTTAATTTTTAAATAGCTATTTATTTATTTGAAACCAACTTTTTATAATTTTTGCAAAGCAATAAAATAACACCAGTTAATACAATTATAATAGTGGTTGAGGAATCTTTTACTTAAAACACTCAAACTCGAAATATGCCACTTTTTAAAACGTATTTAAATATTTCGCTATATTCCATTAAATTCTCTGGCAATTTAGCAATACAATCAATATTTTATCAACTAATTGAAACAAAATATGGATCGTCATTAATTTTACGAATATAGAATGCTTTAAGAGCTGTTAGCATTTAAACAAATATTTAGGTCACGGGAAAGAGCCGTGTTGGAGTAGTGTTTTTAGATGAAAGTAATATTAACTTTAACACCCCTTTTAGTGAGTAACGATTAAAGTTGTAAGGGTTAAAAAAGGTCAACTTGTATTACCGAAATTGCTGTCTTAAAAAATAACAAATATGTCAAAAGTCTAATCAGTGTTATGATTAATTGAAAAAAAAAGTTTTACGTTTAACGAAATTTATTTAGTAGGTGTTTCAAAATTAGGAGCATAGTTTCTAACATTCAACTGTCATCAATGAATGAATTGACTTTTTTGGTATAGTTTGCAAATAAAAAGGACAGTTTATTTAACAAAAAAAATTTGGCTAACGCACTGAAGAAAACTAAAATTTGATAATCAATTTTGTTGCTCTACTATATTCTTAAAAACATCTCATCACTATTATACTATTATTTTTATATGAATGCTAAATTATACCTTACCTGAATTATGTTTGTAGGTGTCATTTCTACTTTGTGACCATTGATCGTTTCAGGAAGTGCTTCTGCAGAGCTCACTACAGCAAAATAAACCAAAATAAACAGCACCGTAGTCATTACGTTGATTTAATTTCACTTGGCGAGTACACGCGGATACTCTTGATCGACCGGAAGATTGTCGCCGTCGTACCTTTACCAAACGACTACCATGCAAGTCTGCATAACACATTGAGTAAGTATCCGAATACAAGCCGTCAGTTACAATGGGGAGGTATTCCACCAGATCCATTCACATTGTGAAACACATGCACAGGCATTATCTATTAAATAATAATAATAATAATAATGTTTTTGAGCTATTACGATTTCCACACCGCAGCCACCACTGCCGTTGGCGTATCTGATCGCCCTAACAGAAGTGAAAGTACATTATGTTTTTTCTTTTTTTTCGCGCTGTCGATAAGTGTAGTACGTACTTATACGACCATTGACAACGGTTGTAGCGGACACGTTTTTATCACTATAGTAGTACTCCTTTGTCACAATATGCAAATCACTCGAAATCAATAAGATTCATCGTCAACTAAAATGTTGCTCGAACGCGTTGTCATTTGACTAATTCGGGTCATAAAACTAAACTTCCTCAAAAATCAATATCCGCATTTCGTTCGATCACAAAAAAATGTATTATTTTAATAGCTCATTTGTTCTTCGTTGTTACCGATAAGAGTTCATTACGTCGCACAGTTAAAGAGTTACACATAGCGAACATGGACAATTCTAAATGCGAACAAAAAAATAGTGTCTCCAGTCAAAATACATTTTGTAATTAATTAAAATTTGTTATAGCGCAGAGTAGTCATACTCGTTCCTCTTCAATATAAAACTATTTTATCAATCGCTTTTGTAATATTTATCGTCTCCACCTATTGATTGATCATAAAACTAATTGTTTTTAGGTTAATTAACGTGAAAGTGAAGAACCTTTGAATAGAAATTCGGCATATTTTTATAGATTACAAAACAATTATGCAATCGGCTCATTCCGTCCTTTCCGGTAGATTTACCATTTACGGTTGTTTCATTCATCTTTGATTTCATACATATATGACATACTTGCTGTTACAGTTTACTAATACACTAATAACATATAATATAATATTAAACACGTCCACAATAGTTGAAGGTCTTCGGATAAAACTCGACGAACAGTGGAAAATCAATGTGGGCGAAGTAGTTGTTTAATCCAATAAACTTTTGTTAACGATGACCATTGTTGTAGTCTATTATTGTTTTCGTCATGGACAACAGCCATTGGGCTGACAAAGAAAAAAACGTAAGTAAATTTTTATAAATTTGAAATCCTCGTGTAAACTTATGTTACGGCGCCGCGTATAGGCAATTTTGGATTGCACCGAACATTTGATTCCTATAATCCGAATTTTGTTTGAAATCATTTTACGAGTTCATTGTTTTAGAAATAAATAGTTTATAAAATGAACAATATCTACATTTCCACTAGACATACATACAAGATGGTTTAATTAAAAAATGTTGTGTTTTAAGCGTCAATTATTATTCTCCTTTTGTTTTAGCATTTACTGAATAACTTTAGTAATTAAATGCAGAAACATTTTAGAGAACCTAAAATAAAACTGACGAGAAGCAATATATATTAATATAACAACAGTGAAGTTAAACGCTCATATTTGGTAATTGCTGTTATGTTTACAAATAACGTGTACCCCACAGCTTCAAGCTTCTAAATTAATCTAATGAATATCTGAAGCTAAAGATTATACTATTTTATTAACCATTAACAGACTGTTGTTCTCATCGTACGGTCTCGTTTAATCGTAAAATTACTATGAGGCGTTTTAAAAAAACTGACCATCAATCGTTTTATATACAATACCTAATTATTGTATTTTTCATATTGAAATTTTCAACAACATTGTCTGTGATTATGATTTTTACTCCCAATGCGTTCCTATCTTGCATAAATTCACTCGGTGTGTTTTGGTTTGTGGCCTGAATTCCATTTAAATTCAGTGTCGAGTGCCAACAGCCGTCAAAACTGCGTACACCGCGAGTCATGTCAGATCCGACTTGACATTGACTGTGCATACTATCCGTAATATCTACGTGTAGAAATGTCTAGTCTATTCTGAAATGTTTAATGTACACGTGTGATTATATGTGACACGTTTATGTATCATTTCAATTCAATAATATAAGGTTATCTTATTTTTTACATTCTAAAAATGCAAAGTTAAAAGCAAACCGATACCTCACAATTTATACACGTCATAAACGACTTTTGTTTTTATTAAAAGAAATGAATCGTTTTATCATTTGTATAGGTGTAAAAAAATGCCATAGAACAGTTTTATATTGTAATTTCCGCGAATTGGGAATATTTACGATAACTTTATTTGAAAATTGCACAATCCTTTGAAATGCCTGCTCGACATTTTAGCATAAAAAATATATACAGTGTTCAGTAAGTAAGGAAACGTGTATCTATTGTTCTCATTGTTTGTAGTAATTCACCTGTTTTCTTACTTACTGAACACTCTGTACATATAACTATTATAACAATTGGACATAAAAATATTTTAATCAATTTCAATGTTTTGAATTTAAATTGAAAAGAGTAGAATTATGCTTAAAGATTGTCAGCCATTATATATTGGCGAATTAGCCAGAAGTATCTAAGTACGTCGCTGATTACGGCGTCGTTAATTAAAAATACATGGTGACATAATAAGTTCTATAATTGCTTTAGGATGAAGTCGACCTGGATGAAGTGTTGCCTATTGTCGGCGAATTCGGACGATATCAAAAACTATTATTGTGGCTAGTTTGTCTGCCTGCTTGTATTCCTTGCGGCTTCGGTGCCTTCAATCAACTTTTTATGTCCGACGTACCACCTTACTGGTGCAAAGTACCACAATTGACCAATTTCACTGCTGAGCAGAGGCGATTAATTTATGAAAGAGTGAGCCCAGCTAAGATTTTTCGATGAGATAGTAGTTAAATATTTAAGCAAAAATATATCAGTAATATGAGCAAAACGAGTCTTTTGGTAGTGTTTAGTTAAAACAAAATTATTCAATATTATAACTGACATATTAAACTGGCATAAATATCTTACCACGAAAAACTTTCTTTTTAAGACTCATAAAAATTAAAGTTTTGTTTATACATTTTTTCATTGGAAATAATTGACACATTGTTATTATTGTTGTCTTTCGAATCATATTTTATTTCTTACAGGTTTATTCACAGCTTGATCGTATACACACACCTTTCGGTTTCTCATTTTAGTCTCCCCAATAATAATTGTATAAATCTATTGTCTCCAAGTATATTTTTTATTGTCCGGCTATTGAGGTATTGGAGTGTTGTTGACAGACTCGCATGATAAATTATTTTTATATTGCAACGATGTTGGCCAATAATTTAATCGAATTATTACTCGAAAAAATGCCGTAACAAATAAAAGTAAAAATAATTAAAATTGGGTTATATTTGTTGACGGTTTTAGAGTAACAATACTGCAGTAAGAAATGGATGCATGAGATATGCTGTTAATTGGACAGATATCCTAATGATGACGGGTAACAATTATGGTTTACAACAACTTGTGAATGAAAGTTGGCCCGTTGAAAAATGTTTGGATGGCTGGGAATATGACACCACTTACGTAAAATCTTCTATCGTAATTGACGTGAGAACTATTAAAAATTTTAAGTAAAAATATTTACCAAAATATTTCGAGTCCCACTAAGTTTGTATTATCGCACCTATGATTTTTTTTCATTCTTGTTGACACGTTTTTATGAAATATTTATGACATAAATATAAAAATAGTAATTGGATTACTATTTTTATGATATGCATTTTTTTGAATATATTTTAATCACTTGATATGAGATAAACAAATTAATATTAGCAATTACTTTTGTAAAAATAATGATAATTATTACAAATACTATAGATAAAGTATCAATATTCAGTGAAAACTCAATGAAGATTTTATTTATTGTAAAGCAAAAAAGAAATACAAACTTACTAGACTATAGTTGTTATGATTGTGTCGAGTTGTACAGGAATATTGCTCTTTAACTAATTTTCAAATAGATTTTGGGACTTCTGAAGAAGGGTACTTTTAAATTTTTTTAAAATACTTTAACAATTGATTTTATCCATAAATGTTATAATTTAATATTTAATACTGTTATATATAAAATGAGAAATTGAGTTTAAAAAGCACTGAATATTTTTAAATTATTATCTATTATTACTGCTAATTACGTATTAAGTAACTTAAATTTACGTTTTAGATAAATTATCATCAGTAGTTTTGAATTTTTAAAATATTGTAAAAACACAATAGTGTGGCACACAGTAGTATTATGCATATACTATAAGATTATCAGAAATTTGAATGAATACACAAAACGTTAATTGACTTTTTTGTAACCAAATTAGCGATACATAAAAAAATGATAACGAAATAAGTATTATAATTTGTGGGTTAAACCAAATAATAGTAACTACTTTTCTAAACCACAAATTATCGTATTTGATTTCTGACTAGCAGCAGTAAGTTGTTGTGTGAAACCAAATGGAATCAAATATTTTTATTCTTTGTGATAATTTCTTCCGCGTAATTACTAAAATAGGATTTATAGATATAAATAATATAAAAATACATACCGGTAAATATAAAGTAACAGCTCATATTTTACAGTTGACGATGAAGACAACGCTAGTCAACTATACAGCAAAATTCGTTTCCTGCAGGCGTGATAAACGTGCGTGACGAGAGTAATGACATGTAGTCGAGATCAGTAATTCTATGAACTAATTCTTAAAAACTAAAAAAAATTAGTCTGATAAATCATTTGTAAACAAATCCGGATTAAAACTTAAATTAATTGGTATAATGTAAAAATAATACAACTCGAAGACATATGGATTTATTATTATGTATAATATTTGCAATGGTAGCCATTAACTAGTTAATTTTTTTTTTTTTATAGACTTTTGAGCATAACTAATTTCATTTTCTGTTCAAATAACTTAGCTTTTTCAATTAATTAGTTAAAATAACAGTTAAGCTAAATTCTAAATTTCATAAAAAATGTTTGTCTGCATACGTGGTTAAATTAAAAAAAAAAAATCGAATTTTCCCTTATACTAAATAGTACATTTATAAAACATAAATATAATTTTCAGAATCTTTCAAGTGGGTAATTTTGAACTTGAAGACTGATTTCACTAGAAAAATCAGAAAAAAAATACTTTTATTTTTATATATATATTATAGTTAAAAAGTACTTAGAAATTATGATTAAAATTCGCTTAATAATATTTATGTCTAACAATAAAGTAAAATAGAAAATTTAAATAAACAATGTATTTATAATTCATTTTATATAAGAGCTAAGTTATTTAGACACTATGAATTTACTAATGTTTTATGTTGATTATTTTTAGTTTGATTTAGTATGCGACAGAGATATTTATCCTACCTTTGGATTAGCAGCTCTTAATATAGGCGGACCAATCGGTGTATATTTTTTCGGAGTCTTAAATGATAGGTTAGTCGAATTATAAAAATTACTATTTGCATTATTTACAATACAACCTATAGTTTTGATGTTAAACATCTGTACGGTTACTCACGCCAGAATACAAGCTTGTCAACTTAAATGACTACTATATTGCATATTCCTCAAGTTTATTTGTATTTTTTTTCAGATACGGTCGTAGAAAGTCATATTTTTTGTGTTTAGCCACTTTGATCATTGGCAGTCTATTGACGGCAAGCGCGAAAAATTTTTGGTGGTGGGCTGTTTCCAGAATGATTGTCGGGTTAACTATACCAGCGGTTTATCAAATACCATTCATTATTTGTAAGAAAAAATAAAAAGCCATTTATTTTAGCTAATAAACATGTTTATAATAAGTCTATAACAATAGCAGAATATCGTTACCTAATATCATAAACTTTACTAATTTCGTCGAAAAGATTCTTACTAAACAAAACTTGGTTTTATTGCGTATTTCTGATTTATACCATTTAATAGAACTTAGATTTTTTTTGTGTGTGAAATTAAGTCTAATGTGAATGAGTTATTAAATTGTCAAAGATTTTTGCAATAATTTATGCTAAACTTTAAAAATTCGAAATCAATGAAGCGCCAATTAAATTTGTTGATATATTTACCGAATAAGTAATGATAACTTACACTATTATTATTTAACTTGTTAAAAAAGATCAAATAAATTTTTCATTATAAAACAAAGATTTTTATAGTTTCATAATTTTTTTATTTTAAGCTCTAGAGTTGGTTGGTCCCAATTACAGATCTTTCATTACGGTTATGACTTGTATGTTTTACACACTGGGACTAGTACTATTATCTGGAATCACTTATTATGTGCGCAATTGGACGTACCTTGCTTTGGTTACTTCAGCGCCATTTATTATTTATTTTATATACTGGTGGCAAGTTAGAATTACAACAACTATTTAAAGCGCACAACATACACTTGACAGTTGGTACCCATTTTTCAGGTTCTTACCAGAATCACCTAGATGGCTTTTGGCCAAAGGTCGACTTGAGGAGGCGCTTAAAATTCTCGAAACTTTAGCTAAAACTAACGGAGCAGTACTTCCAGAATCGTTCAAACAAAAATTAAAAGTATGCGTGTTCAAAATGTCATAAAAAAATTCTAATGTCTGTTATCCAATAGCAAAAAATGATGATGGAGAGAACGTTAAGTGAAGAGCGGCGTTTAAGAAATGGACCAGGTGTAATGGCTTTATGTCGTACACCTAACATGCGCTTGAAAACAATTTTGATAACATTTAATTGGTTAGCTAAAATAAATTTCCTTAAACAATGAATTTATTCAACTTATTTAATTTTTACTGTACATAGGTTTGCAAATGATATGGTTTACGTGGGATTGAGCTATTATGGCCCGTCTCTTGGTCAAAATCAATATCTGAGTTTTTTACTATCTTCCCTAGTAGAAGTGCCAAGCTATCTTGTGTGTTGGCTATTAATGGATAGATGGGGAAGAAGGTGGCCTTTATGTTTAGCAATGACGCTAAGTGGTTTAAGTTGTATCATTACCGTCATTTTACCTACAGGTAAGATTTTAAATAGTCTACTAAAAAGATTTAAAAAATCACTTACATTTAATTATTTTCTTATACGTCATAATTAAAGTAATACTAAATTTCTCTTCTTGTATACAAAACTTCCTGGTTTAAAATTTATTGATTAACTAAAAAAAAAAAATTTTAGTTAATTAATAAATTAAGAAAAAATTTAATTTTTAATCTATATAATTTAGTTAAGAATTCGTCTTGTATAACAAATTATAAATATAACTATGAGTAATTAATTTGGTAAAAGATATTTTTACTATCATTAAAAAAATATATTTTTGTAATATGAATTCATTAGTGCTGTATAGTTTCCGAATAGTTGAACTTAGTTGTATATTTTTAGTACTAGAGAGCGCTTAATGTATTTTATTGTTTTTCAATTAGAAATAATTGTTTAATTAATTTAATTATTGTTATTATTTAACATAACATCCATGCAATAGTCTCACTAAAAGGCTGTGATCTCTCTAAAAAAAAAAAATTATTATTGAAGTATATTTCATTTTAGACGAAAACTTATGCTAAATTTCATTACAGCTTCAAAAAACATTTTTACAACACAGCTTATAAATAACAAAAAATACTCTTGTAATTCTAATAGCTTAAAAATATACAATGCATCTAATCTGTTGATAAAATCAATTTTTATAATTAAAATTGGTATTTCGGTTTATTTAATTCTCAAAAAATTCAAAATTTTTGAAGATTAAATTAAGACGATTTTTTAAATTAAATTTAATAGTATCATGTTCTTAAATTAAAGTAAATCCAAAATAGACATATAAGGTTAATTTAGATAATAATATAATAGTATAAAATAAGTTTTGTAGTTTCAATTTTGTTTATTATAATAAAATTAATTATTTTTGCTAAAAACAATGTCTAATTAAGTTTAATTTACAGATGCAGTTATAACTACTTTGGTTCTTTTCTTATTTTCTAAATTTACTATATCTGCTTCTTTTCTAATAATTTATCCCTTTGCTGGAGAACTTTATCCTACACAATTGCGAGGGATTGGAATCGGAACATCAGCTTACATTGCGGGTCTTGGATTGATCTTAATACCGTTCATTAATTACTTGGTGAGACCACATATTCAAACTAAGGTTAAAATAAAACACTTAAGATACTAAGGAAGTGAATTGTATGTTTTTATAATTTATATTAACTATGAATATTTTATGGAAATCAGCACCGGCTGAAGGTAAAATCATAAATACTGTCTATTATACGAGACGTCACATTTTAATGTCTTTGCGTATAAAATACCATAAAGTTCAGAGTACCTGTAAGACTTAACAAAACAACTGTTCACCTCTTGAAAAAGCCTTTAACTTTTATTTAAAATGAAAAATTAAAGCTGAAAGAAAATAGTCATTTGTTTAAGGACATATTATCTAATAACACTGATGACTAAGAGAATAACAAATTTAGAGCAGTGTTGCAAAAAAAGAAAGTTTTAATAGAATAAAACAAAACATATATATTTTTGCTATTTTAATGTTTTCAACATAAGATTTGTTTAAAATACTTTATTGTACTGTTAAATAACAGTATAATAGAATAGAATAATGTTAAGTAAACTAATAAAATGTAAAACCATTAACACAGGCATAAAATATCTTACGAATATAATCCCTTTAGTTATCGACTTAATTACTTAATAGGGACAGACAAAAATTAAAAGCTTTCATTGTCATAGAAGTTATATTTACCAACATATTTATTTATAGTTATATCTATATTTATTTTAACTTTGCATGTATTAAAATTAAGCTATACTAATTAATTGCAATATAGTAAAACAAAGAAAATTTAAACAAAAATATCGACAAGCAACTAATACTTTTATTGAGTTTTAATAAGTACTTTACAAAAATAAAACTGATATAATAACGTTATGTCTAAATATTATTAAACTTAAGCATTTATGGTTAAACATTTTAACAGATATAACCTATAATAATATTATCAAAAAATTATCATTTCTTATCACTATTATAAACTCGCCAAATTTCGGTTATAATAATGTTAAGATATTATAAAATGATTAAAATATAATTTTAACCTTTTTTTAATTCTGGTTTAAAATATTTTACATACAAATTGTTTTAAACACGTAAAAGGCATGTTTTAATTACCTNTTATATTTTAACCTTTTTTTAATTCTGGTTTAAAATATTTTACATACAAATTGTTTTAAACACGTAAAAGGCATGTTTTAATTACCTCGTTTAAAACATTTTGCAACCCTGATTGCGGGTATAATTGTATTATTGAAAAAAATGTTGCACATTGAGATCGTACTATAGTTGATAATTGACAATGATTAATCTCTTCTACAATAAACGCTTCTATGCGAATAAGTTAAATTTCATAGTTTGTATACTTATAGTTTAACAATTTCTATGATTAAAATTTCACTCGAATATTAAGTACTGTATATGCTTTGACTTTTAGCCACTCATACTAGAACAATAACCGATGCAATTTTATTTCTAATATTATAGTACACTTCAAAATTTATAATTTTATAAAGGTTAGAAGTTATTAAGTCATTTCAGAAATTTTCAAAAATCGTGTCGAAATACTTGCGTACGTGGTCTCTTTTAAACCGTTAATGTATTTAAGTTTGTCATAAGATTTAAAAAAAAACACATCAAAAGAAAGCTTTTTGATTCTAGTATTCTTTATTAAAATTCCATTTGGATCAGTATTTTATTTAATAATTACACACCAGTATTAAAATGTAGAAAAAATATTTTGAAAATTCAATTATTTACAGTATTTTTTAAGATATTTATTCATTTTTCTAAAATTAAGGATTTTTTTTTAATATTAAATATTAGCCCCCTCAAAAATTTAATTCTAGTTGCATCTATGGATACATCACTAGCATATTATTTAATAAAATAAATGTTTGTATATAATTTTTGTGTAAATACTCTTGTTACCTTTTTTGCTTTGCATAGAAGCTTTTAGCATTATTTTATAATGAAACTGATTTTAATATTTTGGAGGATAGTCATAAGCATTGTCAGAATTTTTTTGATAGAATAAAATCATAGATTTTATTTCTTTAGCGTGCTAAAAAAATAACATAAATAAAAATATAATCTTTTCAGTAAGTATATATTTCATTTCATATAGCTAGTTTTGTAACGGCATTTTAATGTTTATATGTGTATACAATACTAAATTCGTTTTTAAAGCGTAATATTTCTTATGTTTCCTTTCCATTGACTTATACTATTTTACTTCGGTATGTGTGCCAAAATAACAACCGACGATTATCAAAATAGCGATTAGACACAACAAATACAGGTTATGTATTAGAGTTAATAAACAATCATTTAATTTTTTTTTAATAGTTTGAACGATTCAAATAAAAAAACTAGAACAATAATGGCATAAGGTCAAAAACCTAAACAAATGAAATATAACACTTAAAGAACTAGTAAATACAAAAAAAATAAATCATTGATTTGAATTTTATTGTATGGTGGTATATAAAATATACATAATAAATATAGTAGCTATATGAGTCGCATAATAATACAATGTTAGTACGAAAAAAATAATAGGCACATTGTAAAATAAAAAAAAAATTTTTGTGACTTAATGGTCAAGTCAAATGATACATTTAAAACTAATAAATTGTTCAATCATGCTAAGCAAATGAAAGTCTCTAAAGAGTGAAAGAGGTATTCTTATGTTTACGTTAAGTTAGATTAAATAATAATTTATTATTAAAATTATTAGTTTTTTTAAATTTATACACAAGAGGTTTAAACGGAGTATTTGAAGACCCAAAACTATACATTTATGACCTTTAGATTGTCAGGGTCACTAGTATTATCCTTTGATAATGTCATCGTACATTATATACATAGGTGCGAATTTAATCTAACTTAATTCACTTTTTATTAATAAGTAATTTGTTATTTTAAAATTGAAAAACTGGTCTTGAAATGCTAAATTATATAAAAAACGGTAGCACAGTGGGGTCGCGGCACAGTATTAGTGTGGCATAGATTTAATCTGACAGTGATTAAAATCACTATCATAAGAAACCCTTCGATGCAAATCTGTAGATAGTGTTTAATTTTAAGAAATTGGTGGATTATTGAAAAACAAAATTCTAACTCAAAAAAATTACGGAAAAATTGCAAAAAAATCATTGTCACGGGCAATGATTTTTACTGTATCAACAAACGTTCGTCGTATTCGTTTTTTGATAAAATTGGCAATTTAAGCAGATTTAAATGTTAAAATTAATTTTTTCGACTTTAAAGAAAAAAAAAATTGAAATAAGTTTAACATTATATTCTATGTCAATTAAATATATATAATATTCATGAAAATCAGTGTACCCCCTTATAAGGTTTTTTAAAATAAAATATAATACAGTACTAAGAATTTTAACACAAAAATAGCATGTTTTTTAACTACGGAAACCATTTGCACATAGAAGATAAGTCATCGGGATAAATTTTTTTTTTGAACATATACATTAGCTTTATTTTTACATATGTTTAAAGCTCAGAGTATTACCGGAACATTTTCAAAACTTAAGTTGAAAAAGTTAAATTTTTGTGCAGAAGGTGCTATTTTGAATCCCCCCTGTGGACAGATAAAGAATCACATTTTCAAAAAATTTATATCAAATGAAAGAAAAATATCTAAGGTTTCAATATCAAAAAGAATCGTTTTTATTTGTTTATTTTTCAATAAGTTATGGCAATTTTTAGAGAAAAAAAAAAATGAAAAAAATGTCGAAATTTACCGATTTTAAAAATTGTAATTTTTTGGGGGATTTTCATTATTTACGGGGAATGAGGGTAAAATTTTTAATTTTTGAGGATAATGTCTTGAACTAGATACAATTTGTGATCTTTTAACGTATCGTTGAGAAAAATCAGTCCAGTAAGAGCTGAGAAAAAGTAGTGACAGACACAAAAAAAAAAAAAATAAACACATTATGGTAAAATTAATACCTTCTCAGCTTTGCAACGAAACTAAAAATGATTTTATCAGAATATAGTAACACTATTATACGATATGGATGCAAAACAAGGTATACAGCTTAATGAATTTGTTAATAAAAGTTGGGCTTCTATAAAAAGTTTAGAATCCAGATCAAAGACAGATTCCTAAAATGTTTGAATTTTAAAATTGATCCAACTAGTTTTTTCCTTCACCTAAGACCTTGTGATGAGCTCAATTTAACACGGGCCGGCAGCTGTGTTAATCGAATATGTAGATTTAATTTAAGAATACATTTTTCTTTAGGGACGCGAAAACCTAGTTTTACCACTTCTCATCATGGGCATACTTTCAGTCATAGGCGGAATTACAGGCCTTAGACTACCAGAAACATTGCATTATAAATTGCCACAGTCTGTAGAAGAAGGCGAAGAATTTGGAAAAAATTGGACAATGAATGATTGTTTGAATTGTATACCTAAGAAGTAATAATGGTTCATCTTTATTCTTAATTACATCGATTGCTACAGAATGAAATTTTACTTTCAGGCCAGTCGAACGCTCTAGTTCCTATGATGATTTGACAGAAAATTTGGAGATGTTACAAACACCAGAACTGAGTAGACTTACTGGAAATACAAACCGCCGATCCCGGTTTACAAGACAGCCGAGCACTATGGAAACTCCATTGGATTCCGCTGGTGTAGTTAAAATGACTTGTTGGTTTTGATTTCTGATAATTTTTAATTAGTGATAATTGATGAAATGGTAAAAATCTATACATACTTAAACGTATTAACTTAAATGATGTTACTTAGAATAGTTTTAATTTGTCGTAAACCTACTGTAGTTGTTATTTGTGATTAATTGATTTAAACAATGTTTTTGTACAAATTGTTTATGTAAAAAAATCTATTAATGTTGTGAAAAATAAAGCTATTTAATCGAATTTCATTTTAAAACGTTCACTTTTAATATTGATAAAATCAATATATTTTCATTATCCCGTTATATTATTTTAAATGGCGTTACTAATATTTGAATATCACCCTAAAATAGATGGAATTAAATAACTTGAGTTACAGAACATATGCCTACAAGTGAATTACTTAACATTGATTCATCAATTATTGCACTTTGTATCCATATAAAGTGCTATATTTTAAGAATAATGTTGTTCTAGTATAAAAATCATTATTAATATTATTAAGAAGTTTATCTTTTAGTTAAGGTTATATATAATTTTAGAACTGCAAGGTGTAATTTATTTACTGTATCAAAATTACGCCGATGAATTGTTATTATTGAAGACAGTTTTTGTTTATATTCAATATTGTTTTAAATATTACTCTTTCAGTCATTGCCGTTCATTGTTACAATTAAACGTCGGGAAAAAACAACCGAAAATAATAAATAAACATATTTGTTGAGTATGAGACGAGCATATATTTACGAATAAATAATTCTTATTACGCATTAGATTTATTTATCAAATATTATTATTATTTGATAATACGCAAAAAGTAAATTCTGAAAATTTTTTCTTCCCCGGAAATTAGTCCAAAACTTTAAAAAGTTGTGGTTTGTCCTTACATTTAACAGTCCTTCAATATTCATGTTAATGTTTTTTAAACACCATTATCAACGTAATGTATTTACACTCAAATTATGAATTACAAGTTACAAATAGAACATCAATAAGTGATGCTCATCTAAAGGTTATTTACTCATAGCCCCTATACTAGTTATGCGGTTTACAAGCAAAAAATATGTTTTAGCAAAACACGTTTTGTTCACCTGGTAAACTTTTTTCCTATAAATGAATTTTATCAACATGAAAATCGTCTGTAGTTAACAAACTATCGTAATTGAAGTGCATAATTATCAGTTATTTGGTAAGTAATATTTTATCAAAAATATTATACTTAATTATAAAAAGACATAATTATTAATAATAAAAATCAAAGGTTGCAACTAACAAATTTATATTACGTTCAATATTTTTATAACATTTTTATTCAATGTATGATAGTGAACATTTCTGTTTCTAAAATGCTAAACAGTGTTGATACTATGATTTGCAAGAGTTCTTCATATTATTGCGCAGGGTAAAATATTATGACTTTTTCATAATTTCCGTCTTGTATTAAGGTAATACGAGTTTTTAGATGTGTTTTAATCACTTATCTCTTAATATTGTCCTATTCATAATACCCTTTCTCATTTAGTCATCATCAGAAATAAAATAATAGTAATAATAATAATTTAATAATTAAAACTTTCCGGCAATGAGAAAATTTGATTTTCATCAAGAATCGCACGTTCAATTTTTTTACAACATATTTCCTGGAAATTCGAATAAAGATTAATTGAGATTTTTATTGTTAAAATTTTAACAACAAGTAATACTTTGATAAATCATAAGTTTATATTATAATGTTCTTTATGTATTATCTGATTAATAAGACCTCCTGACAATCTTAATGGAAATAATTCTAATATCACATAATATGTGATTATATGTAATATATTTCATCCTCACTGTCATATTTTTCTAATAAAAATAAAAATATACTATGATGTATAGAACGCATGCGATATATTATTGTTATTACTGTATTCAATACACATTTGTAGTTCATGGGCAATGATATTTTTCATTAATAAAATCAATATTGGCACGCGTGTCAGCAATTTTATTGATAAAAACCAATTACTAAAGAATTAATATTCATCAATTTTGACAAATTGTAGTCATTGTTTGACCGTGATTTTATATAATGTCCCAGTAATCAAAATAATGAACTTGAGACAGAAGCTCAATTAGATATTTTAGAACACAGAGTAGTGGATAGATTCACCCCTCCACTGCCCTTGTTAATATGATTTTATGTCAATAAGGGAGTCTTTAGCCGGAACTACTTCTTCTGGTTACGTTAATGAGTTCTAAAGTATTGCTTTGTAATATTATACGAGCTTATTAAGGAAATAATTTTGAACTATTATACTAGCTAGCTTAGATATTGTTAAAGATATTAAGCAATATTTATTATATGTATTTGTTTGTACTTTTTTATTTATTTTAGATTGGAACGAGCTAACTAAGTAATCATGAGTGGATACTTAACATTAATAAGTTAGTATATAATTACTCGCATAAAATGTGTAAAAAAATAATGATGAATAAATATTTATGGAATAATTAATGCAGTTTAAATGTTTTTCAATATATTGAAATATTTAAAATTGAAAAATGCTCTATGAGTCAAATTAAATTAAATGATAATTTTCGTATCTACTATAACAACATATTCAATCGCCTTTGTGCAATCAAAATAAAAAAGTAAATTGACTGTATCTTGATGTTTTTAATCGACCAATTTCAGTGTATTTTTACAACCCATAAAAATTTTGAAGACAAAAATGTAATTTACATTTAAAAGTCTCGCTTTATTTTTGGATATTTTCGTTTTCAATTAAATACAAAACAATTAAATGTAATTACTATAAAATGTATATATTTTTTTTTTGAATAGAAGGATTTAGATACTTTAATCCATTAAATATTTTAAATAAAATATTTTTAAGTATAAAGTTAAATTATACATTCAAAAAACAATATAAAGATCAATTATTTATTATTTCATCATGATACTAATATTCTATGAACTTTATACAGTATTTCTTATGCATTTTGTTTGAGGAAAGTTTTATAAATTTTAATTTATTTGGTATACTAATTTTAGCTTTGATGCGAAGCTGAAAAGTTATTGGTGGTTTCACTTTGCCATTTTTTTTTTTTGTGTGTAAATAAATTTGTACTGAGCCGATTTTTCTCAACAATACAAGAAAATATTACAAAACATATCTATTTAAAGCTATCATTTCCTTTTTAATTTTAATGGCTCCTTTCTGTACTTTTTTACTATTATTATGTAGCTCAAAAATATTAACTATTAATGTAAAAATAATTTATGTGAAATAACTATATTTTTATGTAACGTATTCTATAATTTGTATATGATACAGATTGAACTATGTACGTGAAACGTAATTGTATACGTATAAATTGTAGTTGAATAATTTAGTGATAAATATATTCAAGTAACTAGTTTATGTTTCACCTTCCCCCTTTGTACATAACGNATCAATCCATCAGTGAAATTAGTATAAATTGTAGTTGAATAATTTAGTGATAAATATATTCAAGTAACTAGTTTATGTTTCACCTTCCCCCTTTGTACATAACGAGAAGCCTAATGTAGATGTTCAATAATAACAGTTTATTTAATGTTTTATTAACTGTTTTATGCATAGGTTTAATATTCTTGCAAACCCTCGGAGTTATGTATGCAGATGATTATGCGGAAAAAGCAGTCCAAGAAAATGGAATTTGGTTAGCTGAGGTGGGAGGAAAACCGATAGCTTTGACTAGAATCGAACGCAACGACCAAGAAGAAACGACAAGCGATTTTGTTGTGAAAGATGCAACGCCATTCCCGAAAATAGCCAGACGTGGTTATGCAGGCGAAGAGTTTTTCTTAAAAGCTTCCAAGTCAGTTCCTCGAATTGGTCGTAGAAACGATGATTCTAAAGCGTATCCTAAGAGATCTACGGATAAGGTTTGTATATCCTAACTATATTTTTACATAAAACATGCTCTGCTATTAAATTTCACTTCACTCGTTTTATTTAACTTGTTATGATATTATAAAGGATCCAGCTTCACCGGATGAATATTGGCCATGGCTCCAATATAATGGCCATGTCGACTCGGCTAAAAAAGAAATTGACTTTCCATTTGGATGTCAACAACTGGATGCCAAGACAATATTTTTGGTAGATTTATATAATTTCGTTTGCAACGATCAGTTCTACTGTTGTGCAACAACAAAACGTTCCCTGTCTGCATAAAAATTTAATCACTACAAATGAAATTTTTATTTAGTTAAAATAGTCTTCATGAAAAAATGTTTTTTATATTAATACATAGTATAAAACAGAAATGTAAAATTTTAAATAATATAATCTCTTATCGTGTTAATGTATGTAAAATTACTAGAATCCAATTAAACAAACATGTTGATTCAATCATTATGAAAACTCATTTAATATAAAAATATACATTTTAAAATTAAATACCTATACATAAATTAGGAGAAAGTTGTAAGATTTCAATTACCACACAATGTTGTGAGTAATACTGTAATGTACGACAGATAAACGTATAGATACGTTAATATAATTTTTTCAACTTTACATATGTGCCGACCATAAAACTTTAAAAAAATGCAAGTAAATGTATGTTTAAGGGTATTGCCCTCATATTAAATTTTACTCGATAAAGACAATTCATAAACTAAATTCAAAGTAATCTATTAATAATTAAAGGTTGAAGATTTATTAAAATCAAATTAAAAGTGAACAGCAAAAGGTTCTCATGCAATACATAATAACACTATTATTATACACACCCCTTAGCCACTGCAACTCCATGAACAGGCAACAAAGAGGAAACTCGTCACGGTCCATGGATGACATAGTGGGTTAATTATAAATAAATGATTTACACGATATTTCGCCGTTATAATTCATAAGCCCAATTATAAAAATATAGAGAATGAGTAGAAGTACATACAAAAAGAGTAAGAAGGAAAATAAGTTTACCTTAAAAGTTAAAATTCAACTTGAGTAATATTTATTATTGTAAATGATTAAAATCAATTAAGGTAAAGATTTTATGTATTTAATTGCAACAGTTTCCAGTCAATAAAATAGCAGACCCTCTTACCATTTTCTCTTTTAATTTGTTGCTATCATCCAATTCTATTGATTTTAAAGACTTTATCTGCTCTTTTCAAAAACTTCTTAAATGATTGGTAATATAAATGGTCTACCTTACCTTCAAACTATGCCTAGCGGTACAGACAAATTTGTTCCATTATACCTTTTCGGTCATGGTTCCACAACTTGAATCATAATGGAATTTTTATAATTAAATTTTTTCGTTTTATAGATATGGTCACTACTTATGAGTCTTATTTTTTATATCTTAACTCTCTTCTTTATTATACTTTTCAGGATAATGAATAAATAGGTAACTTTAAACATTATCTGTTAAACTGTCATTTACTCTCTAAAAATAAAACTGTGTTAGTTAATTCTTTATCTCTTCATAATATTCATACTCTCTCTATCGTTATCATTTTACAGACTCAATCAATCATAATTATTTATTCTATTATTTCCTTTCTCCAGAGTACAATTATCATTATTTAAATGAATTTATTCAATATTTAAAATAGACGAGGTGTAATATTTGTATAAAATGATATTTCAATAACTAAAAAAAAAACCAAAAATTCAACTGTTACATAATTATCAAATGCGATTAAAACTTGAATAATAACGAAAGAATTTCTTTTGAAAAATTAGAAAAAAAAAATACCTTAAAAAATTGCTTATACATTTTTTGAAAAGAACAGTAATAATAACATAATTAACTAATTATACATAATATATAATAAAAATATCTACATACAAAACATTAATATAATATAATGTTGAACTATTCCACAATCGTCGAGTTCTCCATTTCAAATGTAAAGCGACTAAAATGAAAAGGGTTCCACGGTGGTGTAATGGATATAATTCACTGAGCGTGGGGGATGATTCAATCAAATGCAATTTACCGTGAAATATTGTACCAGATTATTATGCCTTCAGTATAATATGTGCTCTAGCTCATTCCCCTTATGTTCTTGTATATCATACGAGATTACAATATCGAATTTGTATATATGATCGGTTTGTTGAGCCGGATCTTAGGACGGCCACCATCACTTACCGTCTTGGTTTCTTGGCAAAACTTTGTGTCAAACGCTTCCCTGGGTTTAATATTATATTATCATTGTGTAGGGTCAAAGGGAACGACAATTTTCGAACGTATGAAATTCAAAGGACTGTCGTTTATCCCATAACACTTAGTGGTTTCAATATTATACTATTATTAAAAAACAATTACCTTCATGTTCGATGTACTTTATAAAGAAGGAAAATGTTTGGCCTATATATTTTAGTTGTTTTGAAGATATGTAAGTTAGAAATTAACTTGTTTAAGATTAATTCGTGGTTTTAGAATGTATTACGTGCGGTATAAAATATTTTGTAAATAATATTAATTTTTTTATAATTATTATTTTCATAGAAATTAATTAAAAATAGAAATTTAGAACTTCAGGTAGAAATAAAATTAATTCTCAATGAATAAGTTTGATTATATAACATTTGGATACAAATTTATTTTTGTTTTCTAAAGAAATATTTTTGTTTCGCTGAAATAAAAATTATTAACTGAAATTATATAACATTTGAATAGTAATCAAAAATAAAATTTAATGATACATTCGAAGTTAATTAAAAAAATTAATTATTATTAGTTTATATATATATATACATAATATGGTTATGTTGAATACTTTTAGCTATTAATAGTAACATTAAACACATCGACAATACCTGATAACCCGGTCAAACTGTGTTTTATATTTTAATTTGTTTTTATTAAGTGAATAGTTGCAAATAGTAAATGAATGACGTGATAAATGATAAAAGATAGCTCTACACTATGATTTCATATCCCCATTTTTTTAAAAATTTAAAAAAGTTAAAAAAAGAGCAATTTTTACATTAATATTTTATAATGATTAAAATTACTGTCCTATAACGCTTCAGTTCATATATATATAATAGATAAAATTTTTAAAATGTAACAAAAATTACATTGTTTTTGACTTCAGATGTTGATTACTCATAAAAAAAAAGTCACCGCTAGGTTTTTCTTTTTTTATTATATATTAAATTAAACAGGCATTAATTTGAAATAATCTTAAATGATCTAAGCATTCCGGTATTTTATAAAATAAAACAAAATCGGCTAATTTTAACAAAAAATTATATGATTTTTGTTCAAATGCACCCAATGACTTCTATAAATCAAGATTTTGGATAATATATATTTTTTTTACATTGAAATTTTTCAAAATTATGGAATTCATAGTTTTAAATAAGTATGTTTTGTGATATTTTCATGTATTGTTGAGTAAAAATGGTCCAATTGCTGCGGAACAAACATAAATTGTGACATAAAATAATAATATTAAGGCAGATTAAAACCATTAACTTTTCAGCTACGCATCGAAGCTAATTTAATAAATAGGTCAAAAAACTTGAACGAGTATAGGAACACCTATATAAAACAAAAATCCTTGCGTAACTCTTTATATTTTATAAACAATTTTTCAGAAAATAAATTCTAATTACGATAACGATATATACATAACTATACTATAGTTATAAACCATATATCAAGATATATAAATATTTTGTGGCATTTTTGTTCTCTAAAACGAATTTGTAACTGCAATATTTGTTATTTGAATATCTACTTTTAAATATTTAATAATATATCATATAAAAAAATAAAAAAATAACGTTTAACATATTAAATGTAAGGTCCTAATCTAAACATGTTCTCCTACCTTAACGCACAACATTTTACACTTTTCATATCAAATGTCATGTTTAGTTTAGTATCGAATTGTTTTTCACAAATTTAAAAATTTATATTTCTGAAATTCACTAATTAATATTGGTATTGATATATGGAGATGATGACATATACTGTTTTCTGTTTATTAATTATATGCACTTAGGTAATACGATTGAAAAATAAATAAAAATGATTTGTGGGAAAGAACTGCTTGCAAAACGACTAACGTAGCGGTTATCCATCGGTAAATAAAAGCAATAGTGAAAGTATATTATAGAAGGGGTGAATGAATTTAGATTATTTAATTGGTCGCTGTGTTGACTATGGGGCGAATGAAACCTATGAGATTGTTCTGACCCAAATTAATTGATAACAGGTACTCTCCCCTAACAATTTATTTAGAATTTCAATATGCCTTTGAGTCGATTGTAATTACAATTGCATCCAACAAAAAGCGGATTAAACAATACCCCTTGATTGAAGCACATGAACTTCCACGTGTTTAATACGTCAAGTATAGACCAACTAATCATCACATTAATGTGTAAAGTCGAATAAAACGTAATTATTTCTAATAGAAGCTAAAAAAATCATTCACTCATTTCATTAGTATGTAGTAATGTTATGAAATTAATTAAAGTATTTACTGTTGATTTATTTAATTGAGAATGTTTAAAAGCAAAATACATGAATTCAATGTTTGAGTTAATACATTTTTTTTTAAATAATTTAAAGAAAATCATCAGTTACTATAGTTTAAAGTTTCAGTAAAAAAATGACGAAGTCTTCACTTTATTTTATAGATGATTGACTGGGTGACACTGATGTGAAGTAAATAGGGTTATTCGCGTGGAGCAATTTTGATAACTCGAAATATAATGAACATAAGGGTTTCAAAGTCTTTTTAATGTCGTTAATACTTAAATGAAATACTCATCTATAGAAATATAGCGAGGAACATTAGCATATATTCTGTGTAGTTTTTTACACCACAAAATACATAACGATGTAAAATGATTAATAATTCATTTAAGAAGAACTATTTATAATATGAATAAAAGAAATTTCAAAATGATAATATCATGTTATTAAGCTAACCTACTTAAAACGTGGTTGTACACAGTACTTAATGTAAATTAATAAATTTATTGAAAGTAACACCAGAAAATGATGAATAAAATTGATAACTTTATATTTTACATAATGTTGGATAGGGTTATAGCGTTAGAAGATTAGTGAAGTTTATATCCCTTGGACAGAAAAATATTTCTATGCTGCTATTTATTCCAACACTAAATTAGTAAAAGTTCATTTCAAAATGGATCAAACAAAAATTATAAATGCAAATAAATCCGGACTGTAATTATAATAATATTACAAAATACCAAAATTGTCAAGATTTTAGCCATGAAAAACATTCAGTAGTACAGATATCAAATTTGATGGGTATTGCATGATAAAAAAAAATTATTGCGAGATCAATCACCATAGAAAAGGTTAAATCATAATGGTCAGTTTGCTAAACTGTAATAACGAATTAA